AAGAGTTAGCTCTTCTTTTCTTTTCATAAAGATGCCACGCTGCCCTCCAGGGTTTAAAATAACACATTCTGTTGAATCAAAAAAGGCCCCTCGGGGATATAAAGTAAAGAATACCTTCCGCCAAATGAAAGGCAGACCACAAGTGCCAAAGAATACATCAAAAAGGATTAAATAAATGAAAAAAAAAGCAGGTATATAAAGTTTCCTGCCAAACCCCATTCATGAAATGCAAAGATAATAGAAGAGTATTGTCACGTTTCCATGATATTAGGCTTTACTTAAAAAATAAGCAAGTGAGTTCCAGAAATTTAATAGTAAAATCAGCACACAAATTACTTTGTAACAGGAAGAAAATAAGAAGAAGCCAAGGTTCACATATTTCAGACAACTCTTCTGATTTTCACGAAACACCTTAGTAAAATAATTAGAGGGGTAATATATAAAGGTAGTTTTTTGAAGTAGCACTTAAACACATCGCTAAGAGACTTTTTTTTTTAAACTAATTACATTTCGCGGTGGTCTGATTCTTTGATTCGTTTTAAATTGAAATTACTCAACCAAATTATGCAATCATCCTCAGTAATGGCAAATCAATTTTGCTACTACTTAGAAAATTGCTTAGATTGAAGAACGTTGAAGTGGATGAGTTCTTAAAATAAAAATGCAATAAGTGATTTATTCATTATTAAAAACATTACATTCCTACATTTTTGACTTATACACTGTGGTGACTATAAGTTCTTTTTCATTTATTTTCAAATAATATAATATTGTTAAAATAAAATTTTAATAATAACTCATTATAATATTTTTTTTAAAAAAATAGTTATATACAGTGTGCAAAATAAAAAAGTGAACTCTTTGAATAACTTTTGATCCAAGGATCAGATTTTCAAGTACTAAGACTAAATAACTCTTAATGGTTCGCGGACCTCACATTAAATATGCTTATTAATTAGTGTAGCAAAAAAAAAAAAAGATACTTTTTCTAAATAAACATACCTTTCCTTCCCTACACGAATCCGGATTTTTGACCTTCAAAATATGACAGGGGTGGGGGGGAAGGAGCCGCAAGCTGAAAAATACGGTGCCAATAGTGGTCGAAAGTTTGGACTTTAAATGTTAATTTTAGTTTTTGCATATTTCATGTATCTTGCGAACCATTAAAGTTTACCGACAAATGCTTTTTTTTATTTTTTGCTATCTACAATTTTAAGATTCGTTTATCTACTAATTCCATGCAAAAAGTTATTTTTTATAATTATTTATTTTATTTAATAGCAGCCGAAAAAAGTTTGAGTTGTGAGATAGACAGTAGTAGTAGTACTTGATTTACTTTGTACGACTAGAAGTGTACTACGGGCTAGGAAACATCGCTGAGGATGATCTGAAGGATGGCATCACAATTTTGAACTCCTGCAAAGGTGATGGCTCCCCCGCTTTGGAAGGACGACACCGCGGACCCGCATCAGGTTGATCATAGTGGTCACCCACCCGCTCACTGATCGTTGCCAGTAATGCTTAAATCATTGGAAAGAATGTCATTTTAAGTTGTATAATTAAAAATTTGAGCGCAAACAAGTGGAATAATTTCTAAATTATCAAGTATTTAAAGAAAATTACAAATTCGATTTCTCACGAAGAATTTGATCCGACGCGACACATGAAAGTGCCTAATAATAGACTTTATTGTATGTAAATAGAGTAATGTCATATTCATTGACAAATAATACTGCCGATAGCTGATATTCCAGACTTAAGGGTACATTTCCCTGACAATTTCAGCTTTTTCACTGGTATTTTCAAAATTCGCTTGTTTCACAAAGTGAGTTGTCATACTGATATAATACATAAAATGCTTAATGTTTCTAAAAAGGCTAACATTATTTCATTATTACAAAATCACAGAATAAATAAGATTATACTAATACTTATTAATGCTCAACGTCCCAACGGATTTTTTAACTCTCGTTGAACAACCAACACAATTTTTTGAGCTTAAGGCTACAAATGTTCAACTCCGAAGCTTTGTAAATTTGAACCCATTCCAGAAGAAAAGGGTACTCCTGGAATGAGTATTGGGTGAAATCTGCCTTCGTGGATGACATTTTGATGGAACTAATCCGTATTTGCGTTACAGGGAAAGGAAAACGATGATTAGTCTGACGGCAAAGGAACTACCACTGATCCGTTTACTACGGAGGGTATTTTACGTCACCACAGCAATCACTGTGGTATTCGTATCGACCAGTCATCGCTGGGATTCGAACCCAGTTCACCTCATTGGAAGGCGAGAGCTCTACCTCCTGAGCCACCACAGCTCCGCTCTTGAGAATTGTATAAGCAGAAAACAAGTTTTTCTGAGAAAAAAAAAAATGGATCTTGACAGAACAAGTCTTTTCTTTTTTTTTCATTGTATTAAACAGCATATTTTGTAAGTGTTTGTATTTAAAAAGAAAACTGGGACAATATAAATAGAAACTATAAGACATTAAATAATCAACATAAAAATAAGCTTATTAACAGCGAAATATAGCTTAGAAGTAAATAATCATATGAAATTTTCAGGTGATTTAAAGTCATATTTAGTCATTTTTTAAAATCTATTTCAATAAAATCAGATTAAAACAAAAGGCATGAGTTTATTATAATATTAAGTTTTTGGTGTAAAGCTTTTATTTAAGAATTGTCATAAAATTATTTTGTTTAAGAATTCGAAATTTTAATTTTTAGAACTATTCATAATTGTGCAAAATAGCTCAATGCATTTCAGATCAATGTGATCCAGCTTGTCTGAGATGTGGATTCACCCGGAGTGCAATACTGAACGCATCATACAATTGGTTTCAAAATTGTGAGACCTTAATTTCCATGACTCGCTAGCCAACAAACTGGCTCTTATGCGGGTGCTTTACTACATACATTTTGTTGAGGAGTTTCAAGGTGTTTTGATTAAAATCACGGCCCCCTCTGCTTCACTAATGAAGAACTGAACTTTATAGAGATATTTAAATTTTTCACTTCATAGATATAAAACAAAAAAATTGACTAGAATCTAAAATAGCTATAGTCCTCCTCCCCTTATATGGTCAGACGAAATATCGTTCTGTTCATTTTATTGTTTTTTATGACAATTCTATGTTCATCATTAAAAGGATATAGCACATCTGAACAGCCAAAAATGCTATTTAAATTTATAATTAGAAAAAGTAAAGCAGTGTTATTTTACTTAATTTACTATTTTCTTTCCATTAACTGAACTAAAGATGCATAAAACAATCAACATAATTGATTGTTAACTTAGTCAACTAGCTGTGGAAAATTCACATCCTTGCTGACATTTGGGCGGCTAATTCAAATAAATTTCCGCAATTACGATGGCTCCCGTATTTTTGTAAGCTTATCGCACTTTGCGATTTGTAAAAATCAGGCTCTCGATTGGCCAAATTTGTCCATCGTATTTGCGAAAATTTATTATTCTTTCAGAAAAAAAATTATTTACAAATGAAAGAGATGCCAAGAATAAATCCTAGTTCTCATGTTTTTAAATAAAATATACCAGAATTTTTTGATAAATGTGATCGATGATTTCTTGAAACTTCTACGCCTTGGATTTCCGGATCGTGGTTAGCGAAAAATCCGGGGTAAATGTATTTTTTTTAATAAAAATTAGCATTACTAGGAGAACTGAAGAGAGTATGCTAATTTCTTTGTATGAACTCTTATTTATAAATTTAATTTCCTAACGTTTATTTGTCAAATATATTCTCTTGTTGATGTGGTTTATTTACCCTATTTGGCAGCTTAGTGATTTTAGTCAAAATTTGGAGTGTAATTATTGATGAAATATCCAGTAATACCTGGCAATGCATGTAAAGGTGAAAATTGCATGCCCTACTATCTGCTAATCTATAGTAAAATCTGTGTATATTTATGGAATCCTATTTGATCCAAGACTTCTTTTTTTTCCTCCTCCAACTCCTGATATTGGTTGCCAGAGTCAAGGTGGTTTAAGGGGTAGAGCGTTAGCCCCCCAATGAGGTGAACTGGGTTCGAATCTCTGCGTTGGTTCTACGATACAAATTCCGCCACTGGCTCGCACCTGCCACCGTGCTGATGTGAAATATCCTCAGTGGTAGACTGATCATGGGTTAGAGTCTTCTGGTCGTGAGACTGTCGCATGGAGAGGAGGTTCTCCTCTCCATGCNTTACATAGCTGTAATTATCTGTAATCGATTACAGTTGTAATCGATTACTGTAATCAACGGCCAACTCTGGCGTTAGCCCCCCAGTGAGGTGAACTGGGTTCAAATCTCTGCGTTGGTTCTACGATACAAATTCCGCCACTGGCTCGCACCTGTCACCTTTCTGATGTGAAATATCCTCAGTGGTAGACTGATCATGGGTTAGAGTCTTCTGGTCGTGAGACTGTCGCATGGAGAGGAGGTTCTCCTCTCCATGCAACGCAAATGTGGGTTAGTTCCATCAAAAAGTCTGCCACAAAGGCAAATTTCTCACAATACTTGATTCAGGAGTTCTCTTGTCTCCTGGATTAGGTTCAAAATTACAAAGCGACGGATTTGAACATTGATAGTTTCTAAATCAAACTTGGGTAGGCTGTTCAACGATGGTTATAAAACATTATATATTAGTCACCAGCAAATAAATACTGTTATTTGAAAATATCATATACTGTTTTCATGCTATTTCAAAATATATATTCTTATTGAAAATTTCAAATGCTATTTCAAAATTTCATTTCATTCACGATAATTTAAATTTCAAATAAATTATCTTTAAAAAATCTACCCCTCAAGAAGACTTAGTGATTTGATACTGAAGTTTTAGCACTTGTAGCATTCTTTGCACAACATGAAATCATTACATCAACATACTTCATAAATTATTTGCATCAGAAGTTAATCTGATGTAAATAATTAATGAAGTATGCTGTGGATTACAAAACTGTTAGTGTAGTTAGGGAATAAGTACACCACTAGTTAAAATAAATATTTATTCTCTCATAACAAAATAATATGTACAAAACAAATGAGAAGCATAACCACATCACATAAAAAATGATCTAGCTTAATAATTACAGAGAGCTTGTTCATGAGGAGAAAAAATATGAATTAATCACAATGACACAGATAACTGTATGAAATATAAACAAAGTTTTTATCATTTATCTAAAACAATGAGATTTTCTTCAACCAGGTCTTCGTAAACTAATCTATACTGTCCATCAACTTTTGTAAAGATGTCCACTTGTAAAATTTTATCAGGAATCTGAAGAAATGAAGAAAGTTTAAGTAAAAATTTAAAACTCTTTATCTATAAAATAATAATTTAAGTTGACATTTAAAATAATAATAAAAATTTCATCTTAAAAGATATAAAGAAAGAAAAGTTATTGAAGAAAAAATCTGTATTTCAAAAGATTAAATGAAAAATAGATATGTTATACTGACCACAACTTTAGCCTCAAATTCTGGATTTAGTTCTAGACTTTTCTTCACCATTCTTTCATGGACACTAGGGTCCCAATCAACACCTTTAGGTTTTACACCATGAAGTTCACAAAAGTATACTTGCACTGGAAATTCAATAAATCTGCTTTCTAATTCTCGAAGGCTGAAAGAAAGTGAACTGTATATACATATTTCCTTGACATAAGGCTAAAAGGTTGCTTTAAAAGTTAATTTTTCCACTAAGTAATTTGACTTATTAGGATGGTAAAATGAAAAGCAATTAAAGTTTTTCTTTAATAATGCTTAACTGTATACAAATGTATGTACAACCATAAAAATATAATGTAATTAACACAAAAATGTTTTCTTTCCCCTCACAAAACATATATTAATAATTATACAAACATAAGACTAACAAAAGCTTTGCTTATTATTCATGTTAATTGATATTTGAATAGATAGAGGGTAGATTTTAATGAAGCGAGAGTCAAAAGTAATATGTAATTAAAACGTAGACTATCCATCACATGGCCATGAATTGATAACTATTCTGCTATGCAATTTTATTTTGTAACCGGCTTTGAACAGCCAACTTTGGGTTTACAACTACTAATGTTCAACTCCGTAGCCTCGTAATTTTGAACCCAATCCAGATGACAAGGGAACTCCTGGATCAAGTATTTGGAGAAATTTGCCTTCGTGGAGGTCTTCGTGGAAATGAAAATAACATGCAATTGCGTTACATGGAGAGGAAGACTACGAGAACCTCCTGACGGCAAGGGGATTAACCCACAATCCTTCTACCACTGAATATATTTAACTTCACTGTGGTCGATGCCAGCGGGGTGCGAAATTCGAATCGACCAGCCATCGGTGGGATTCGAACCTGGCCCACCTCATTAGAAGGCTAATGCTTTCGAAAAAAACAATGTAAGTGCTTCAAGGTAATTTCGGAGAAAAGTGGTAGAAAATTATTTTCTTTCTATTGCTAAAATAGAATTTCTGAAAACTGATAAAACAAAAATTTTCAAAAAAAGTCCTTTTGTAATCTATAGTTTATCATAGCAAAAATATAAAAACCTCAATTTTGATTTTTTTGTTGCTTATGATGATTTTTCTACTGCATGACAGTATTGTCTTATTGTAGTAATGGGTATTTCCCTAAAGTCTGCTTACTTTTCATAACAAGTATGATAAAACATTATTAGGTGTAGTGTGTATCATACTTATTATCAAGAATTAAGAGTAAGCATTAAAGGCTAGAGAGAGATAGAGATACGAGAAATCAAGCATATTGATTTTATAACAGATAAGAATTTATTTTAAATTTTATTTGAACAATTAAAAAAAAATTGCACTAAGAATAGTGAGTAGAGCAATTATAAAATGCAATTTAAGCCATCAAAATTAAAATTAAGAGGTTTGAAAGGAAAAAATCATATTTAATTGTTAGGCTTATTTAAGGACTTTTTAAAGAGCCCGGCATGATTATTGATCTTTTATGAGGTCTTAATAAAATATTAATACCTATGGTTTAACCAGTGGTCGGAAACAGCGCACTACAAGTAGGGAAACTAATGTAGTCGCTAAATTTCTTGTAATTTACAATGTAGCGTGCTATTTTTTAAAAATAAAGTAGTCTGTAGTGATTCTTGGCTAATACTTTTAACGTTAGTTTAGTATAGAAAGAAGGCTCTAACGTAACTAATTTTTCTAATTAGATGGGTATAAATCTTCGAGAGTCCGTCAATGGATGCAATGAAAATGACCCTGCAGCTGAAGCAGAGCTAACAGGAATGACATATTAAGAATCACGTATAGCTAATATTTAAAATAGCCTTTACGAAAAATAATTAATCACTTTAATCATACTTTCACATGCGAATGTACACTCGTGAAACATTGATGTTATTTCAAAGGAAAGGAATTATTCAATTCACTAGAGGAAATAAAAGAAAGAGCACTTAAAATTCACTACAAAATAAACACTTAAAATTTCAAGTATTTAATAATTTCGTATTTTTTAAATTAAATATTCGATATCGAAGAAGGCATAAAAAAATTTGAAGGTCGATTGAACAAATTCGAAAAAAAAAAAAACATTGCTTTGTAATAACAAAATGGTTCATGTAAACATGAATAACAATTTTTTAATTATTCCCTTACATTTATACATTATGTAAGCTTATTTCTTATTCAAAAACATTTTGAACAATGGTGTAAATTAAGTGCTTCAGCAAAGTTCGTCTCCTTAAAAGAGTGAAGTAGTTACTACAATTTCAAAGTAGTGTGTAGTCACTACATGTAAAAAACTAGTTATAGTTAAACATATTTGCAACAAAGTAGTAAACTACAAAAATAAGGTAGTTTTTCCGACCACTGCATTTAATCAATACAAGGTAAATAAATGTCAATAGATAAATAAATATCTAAAAATCTCTTACTCATTTGGAGACACAACTTCTGTGTTACCGTAATCTACATACAGGACAACCACACCATCCTCAGTAAGATCTGTTACCTCACAACGATACCAGTTTTGGTCATAACTGTATTTAGCACAACATGGCATACCTATGATACAACAAGAAAACATTTTATTTTATAAATTATAAACAATAATAAGAGGAAAAAATAACTATTTGCTAGTGCGATGCCATTATGGGCATTTCCTAGGTTTTAAATGTCTTATTTCATGAATTTAATCATTGTCAATCTCTCTTTAAATAAATAAATCAGTTAATTACCTTAAATTAAATTTTATAAAGAGCGAAAACAAATATTTCTATTTTCAATAAACATAATAACTAACCTCTTATTTTAATACAAGTGAGTAACCAAAATTATTATTCAATGTCAGAACAACTGAATTAATGAGTTATGCATTTGTACTGAATTAAAAAGTTAGCAGTTACATTAATTGCTAAGAAAATAAAAATATTTATATTCGAAAATTAAATAACTGATTTATTTTTTTAAGAGGGATTAGAAATGATTAAATTTTTGAAAAGGAAATTTAAAAGCTAGGAAATATGTAATGCCTATACTGACATCACAACTAGAGTAAAGTTAGAAGTGCCAGGTTGGGGTCAAAGAGTAACTAATAAGAAAAATTTCTATGCACTGAAATTTTCCTCTATATTGCATAAGTTATTAATTTTATATAACACTCATCTAGTTGAATAAAATTAAAAAGCATTTTAGGGTCACCCCTAAAGGATTTTAACATAAAAGAGGGTAATGTCACCCCAGACTATATTTCCCGTAATTTTGCATAGTTCTGTTAGTACTGCGCAGTTCTTATAGTTCCAGTCCCAAAGTAGAGTTTAAGCAAGTATCAAAAAGATTTACTAAAATTTTGAATGGTTTGTAAGGAGGTGAAAAACTAAGGATTTGTCCGCGAATTGCAAAAAGAGTAATTCAAAAAAAAAAAAAAGAAATTTTTAATAGTTTTCAAAATTATAAAGGTATCTACATAAATAATAATAACATAATGAAAAAAATGATGACCAATCCATGCAATTTCAAAGGACGCATAAATAAGATTTTACGACGCAGGTATTGTTCTTTAAGTAACTTAGAATGAACCAATTTCATTGGTTGTCAGCAGCATAGACTTAAAAGTTATTGTTTACATGTCAGTATTTCTTTAACCCAAATTTAAAGAATCTGTTATCTCACATCCGAATAAAAGAAAATGCACACGCAGACAAGCTTGCAAAACAAGCGCCAAATCAAAATTTCATTTCACATCTTTCATCACCTCAAGACCATAGACAAGCCTTCCTTAAGGAACTGATAAATAAAGAACTCTGTGTATGGAAGATTTGCAAATACATCATCTTCATGGATCTCAAGATCACTGTCCACTAATCAGCTCCCGAAATCTCTATGGACTAATTGCCACACACAGAACTAAATCTCTTCCGAGAAATGCGATTTTACTCAAGCATAAATTGATACAAAACCCAAAACTGTCTGTACTGCGTAGGTATCGACATGAACAATCACTTTCTTCGAAAATGTCCCTCATTTCAGAAAGCCCCTAAAGAACCTTACCAGTTCTTATAGCTTCAGAATAAACTGATATCATGAACTTGTCTTTCAATCCTCGGGCCAAATTCCAATCCCTCTACAAATTCTTTCAAGCTACAAACTGCTTCTGACTTTTTATTGCAACCTCCTGCTATCTATCAAGTCTCAACCCTAACATGCATTAATGGAAATACAGAGCTATAAGCTAATGCAACCTGTTATATTTATGGAAACTAAATCTGTCTTAATATGTTAAAATATTTTGGGATTATTCAATTGAATATGTTTTAATTTTGATGTGATAATTTTTTGTTAAAAAATTAAAAAGAAAAAGTTTGCAGAAATCAGAGGGAAAAGATTGGTGAGGCAAGCGAGCAGGGGGAAAAGCTCAAGTTTTTCATTAATAGGAAACTTTTTTTCCATTTATTTTACTGCAAGAATTTGCAAACTCTGTAGAATTTCAATGCATCAACATTTCACTGAATATATTTTCTACTGCTTTAATAAAAAGGAAAATAAAAACAGCTTTAACTGAAAGAAATTAATAATAGAAACTTAATTATCCATAATTTTATTAGCTGCAATAAACTAAAATAAAGACTTTCGTACCTGGTAGAGGTTCTTTCAATTTTGGGAAGCTGTCGGCCTTTTCCCTAAGCTCTGCTATCAGCTGAAGAAATGCATCATGTACTTGATTATGTTCTATTTCATAGTCTTCTTTTGGATTTTCAAATTTAAGCTGTTGTAAATAGACAATGTTAGGAGAAGGAACTTGTGTGATACACACAGGATAGAGATCTCCTTCTCTCCATTCTTTGGCAGCAGAGAATGTTTTAAATTCATCAAGTTCAGTCTGTTAGGATAGGATACAGAGGAAAAAAAATCAGTATCAAGAAACAAGCGCAATCAGTTAAACACAAAACATATTGAATAACTTTTGATAAAAAGAAGCAAAATTTAAAAAAATTGTAAGTAGGGTTGCGTTCAAGAGTCGATACTGTAAAGTAACAAAAACCTCGACTTGATGTACTTTTTTTTTAAGTAATAATTTTTTTATTGTATAAAACTATCTACAGATAAATTATATAGAGTCCCTCATTTTTTTAAATTTATTTTTAAAAGGAAACTGTAATTGTAAAGGAAACTTAAAAAACTCACAAACATGCCTAATATGCACTGATACTCATTTAAAAGAAGAAAAAAAAAAGTATTTATGACTAAAAATTATGACTTCATAAGATTTTTATTAACACAATATACAGCCATTATTAGTCTTAAAAGTTAACCCTTTTAAAAATAGGACTGAAAATTGAAAATAAGACTTTAAAAACTTAAATATTAATTGGCTGATATTAATGAAATTCTTTATTTTGTCAATTAAAAGTTTTTATCTTTATTAAATTAAATAATTTACAGTAATAAATAATTATAAGGAATAGCCTTTGAATAGAGAAGTTTCAAAATTGTGAACAAAAAGGTTTTGAGAGAAGTCAAGTTAACATTTAATGGTCCAAAATTTCAACAGATCTTCTCATTTATGTGTTGAGAGCATATTTACTGCTGTAAGTCTCCCCCACACTTTGAGGGTTATGAATTCAAATCGGTGAGAAAGTACATCTATTTTTTTTGTTTAATTTTGTGACTGTCATATGCAAAACTTAATGTGTTTTAGGTGAGTCCTTCAAATCATGAAGACTGAATCTAAGTGTGCGAAAATCCTATCACCAGATGAAGTTATCATGTTCAGGTCTATTTGTATTTCAATAAAAAAGAAATGAAATGGTTAAAATAAAGTTACAAGTAAAATTTAAAACTAAATTTCAATGTCGTATAAAAAAGAAAAAGACTTTATATGACATTTTTTTTTTCATCAGTGAATATTTTGTTCCAGCTTGTGTCAATGCTCCAAATTTTAATGTTGTAAAATGATCAGCGTCACTAAATTTTAGAAATACGATAAAAATATTTGTACAATAAAACTTTAAAAACATGCAAAACATATGAATAAGTAACATCTAAAATATTGATTAATTCACCACTTTTGTGGGAAAAACAAATAGCATTTAAATGTTCAAATCATTACTTAAACTTTTATAAGACTATCTACAATGACATATCCAAAATGAGTCACACATTATATATGGGTAAGTCCTTTTCATTAGCTTTCTCTCTTTCTACTAGATAATTTATAATTTTGTAAAATCTTTAAAAATAATTAGTAATTTTCTTGCTTAACTTGATTTTATTGAACAAAAACATCTTGGCAGTAGTATAAAAAATAATTTTTTTAGTTTTACGAGACTTTTTCTTTTATCAGTAAAAGTTTTGTCTAGTTTATTAAAAATAAAAATGAGAAAGAAATATTTTTGATGCAAAGCTGTGACCTTCAAATTGTAATTTGGTTGGAAGGCAGAGACATGCATAAGTTTTGTTATTGCATTATATTACCGTCGTCGAACAGCCGACCCAATTTGAAGTTTACGGCTACTAATGTTCAACTCCGTAGCCTTGGTAATTTTGAACCTAATCCAGAAGGTAAGGGAAATGCTAGATCAAGTATTGAGAGAAATTTGCCTTTGTGGAGGGCTTCAACTAACCCTTATTTGCCTTACATGGAGAGTAAAACCACGAAAACCTTCCACCGCCAGCCTGACGGCAAGGAGACTAACCCATAATTCGTCTGCAACTGAGGGTATTTTTCTTCAGTACTGTGGTCAGTGCAGAATTCGAATCAACTGGCTTTTGCTTGGATCGAAACCCGGTCACCTCATTGGGAGACGAGAGCTCTATTCCCTGAGCCACCACGGCTCCCAAAAGGCTTTAGACTTAGACAATAAATATACTTAAAAATTGATAAATGTCTTATAAGGATAAATAAAATAATTTCTTACTTGAGATACTGACAGGTGACCTAAATCCTCTTCCTCGGCAGAATCAAATCCCATGCTTAGTAATAGTTCAGATATATCCATACCAGATAACATTTTGATACGACATGGAAGCTTGCCATTGTTAGATGGACCCTGGTATTAAGATAACTATGTTAATAAATATATACAATTTATCTAATAGAGAAGACACATGTAATAACAGTTAAAAAAATGCAAATGAAAAACAATTAAGACAATTTTGCAGGCAACAAATTTATCAGAAAATGATATTCATGTTTTAAGTATCAAATATATTACTATACATATCTTTATAAAACAAGGCTCAAAATTATTGATAGTCTTTTGGTCCAAGACCACACACACTAAATTTTGATTTAAACCAACATAAAATGGTAATCAGAGGTCCTCCGAGAAACAGTAATCAATGTAAAAGGATAATATGCAGTTTTTTTTTTTTTTTTTAATGTTTTGGTCTGTTTTTTGTCACAAAATAGCATGTTTCCTCATAATTCTGAAATTACACATTCTTAGTTTTTCTAATAGTGGCATGTAAATAGACGATTAAAAATGTGTACAGACTAGTTACTGGCCCTTTGAACTAGTGACTAATTTTTTTCTTAGTTTTTTAACAAACTATTAACAAGACAACTGATATAACACTAACAGACTAACAATTTTGGAAAGATAGAACTTAAATATATGTATTATCCTCGTGTTGTAACTTCAATTATATTAAAAAAATTGAAAGTTTGAGCTGTCTGATTAAAGCAACCTTCCTAAAAATCATACTGCTTCATGATTTGAATGTGCATACACCATTAGCATGACTTAACATACACTTTATATGTATTCGTGCACTATGTAAAATGACAATTTGTTCACAGCGACAAAATAGAAATTAATTTTAATTTCTTAAAAGCTTCACAAAATCATTTAGAAAAAGCAAAATGAATTTCTTACCATTATTTCCACATCAACTTCTGTTTCAACTAACTGTCTATGTACAAAATCTATCACAGCATTATCCCATTTGAAAGATTCCTATAAATAAAAATTGATTATTTTTTTTGTAAATTGAAAATATACATTACAATTTAAGACATCAAAAAGGGGGAAAAAGTACTTACATCTAAGCCATATAAACTGCATTCTATACACTGTCGTGCAAATTTCTGCATTATAATTTCTGGTCTAATATCTTTTAGTGGTACCATTTCATTATTACCATAATCAACAAAGTTCACCTAATAGTAATAAAGACATCCCTAATTTAATGGTACATACGTAAACCAATTATGGTAACAAAATAATTTGTAAACGCAAATGGAAATACAAGTAATATTTATAGTAATAGTGGGAAAGTAAGATACATCAATGAATATGCATGCACAAAAATATTACTGGATATTTCATCAAAAACAGGTTTAAGTCCTTCCAAAAGACTGGACTCTCCAGCTTGTTTATGCCAGAGTTATTTTAACATAGACGATGCTTCCATTTTTGGTAGCCAATATTGAAAGGTATTTTTTATCCATCACTGAGTACAGGTGACAAAAGAGCCATTGAAACAACAATTGAATTGAAAAAGTGAAGGACCGGTTTGGAGATGTTTTAAAACCATGCTCTTATTAATATTGCAGAAAAATCCGATCAATTTGGAAAAAAGGTGGGAAAAGTGCAAGAATCCAGAAGTGAGATTGCGTTAAATGCAAGGAATCGTTTTGTCCACTGCATAAATTAGAATTCAAAAATGAAAAAAAAAAAGGTTATGAAACAATAAAATTACAACATGGGTATAAAGCAGATCTACTTAATAAAGTGGTTCATAAATTCTTTAAGATTTTCCTAAGGCTTTTCTCAGTATATAAAAGCACGGTTAATCATTAATATGACATAAATAAACACAAAACCTTGTCTTTGCCACTTCAATCGATGAATAAATCTGTCATTGATCTCAGTAGAAGTAAAATATATCTCATAGTTCTATTTGTGAATCAATAGCATATTAAATAAATTACCACTTTAGACAGTTCTGCAAAACAAGTGATACATTATTTGAATTCAAACAATTGTAGGTTGACTACAGTGATGATGCAAAGTTAGATGGTTTGTGGGTTAGATAAAAATGCCATACGTTTTAAAGTTTCCCTTTTCATAAAATATGGAGCTGGTCTCACTAAAAACAGTCTAAATTTATCACAGAACTTGACTCAAAAATCTTAAGTTGAGTTCAAAATAACCAAGTTATAGATCTGATGTTTTCCTATTTACGCTGATAGGCTATTTATTCATGATTATAAAATAGAATAGGTAAGTAGGTATTCTAGTTACGTCACACTGGAACTGCACAATGGGCTATTTGAGACGGTCTGAATAACATTTCTGAGGATGGTCCGAAAACATGCCATCATAATTTTGATCCTCTGCAGAGGGGCTCCTCTGCTTTGGTAGCCCAATGACTTGTGCACTAAGTTGAGCACTTTATGGTAGAAAAATTTAACGAGGACCAATACCGGACACCCTCTGTCCCTAAGCAGGCTGATCAAAGTGGTCGCCCACCTGCTTACTGACCACAGCTAGTAATGACTGACTTTGGTATTTTACGATCAGTCTACTGCAGGACTATAGAATAGAATAAAAATAGTCATATTAAAACTCAGAGGGGGACAGAAACTGCTCTTCTGAGCAATATATATATAAACAGACTACAAAAGCTTATATTTGAAGAAATACAGATATGTTAAATAATAGATAAAACATGTTATCTTGTAATTATTAACACTTAACAGCTAAAGCCTTTCTCTTTATAATCATGCAATAATAATAAAGCATTGATAGAAAGAAAAAAAATAAAATACTAGTTTTATAAGCGAAACAATTCAGTAACAAATACAAAAGAACTGATTTAAATCATAGTAGGCTATCTTTATTGTTTGAGCAGCTATGGAACAAGTAACATAGAAATTACCTTTATCTTTTCTGAATAGATATTTAGTACTTCAGCTCTATACCAACAACTATCCACACTGAACTTTGCAATACATGCTTCTCCAACAGACGGAGGCTCTTTTAACGGCTCATAACTATCTCTAGTAAACTTGAACTGCAGAGCCTTCTTTATTATATCAACCTGGCTATTACCTGAAAAAAAAAACCCAACAAGAGATCATAATTAATCAGCAATTCATTGAAATATTTTAATACACGCAATAGCAACCATGTTTCTCAATATGACACAAAAATTAGATCTTACCCTGAAAATACGCCCTAATAAATCAAATTGATATTTAGCTCCATAAAAGTCCAAAAATAAATCAAATTGATATTTAGCTCCATAAAAGTCATGAAAAAATAAAATCATAATTTAAAGTTTCATATATAAAAAATACTCTTCCAGTCAAAGTGTGTTACTTGCACCAAATGAAAAAGGAACTTGGACTCTCATTAGCAGATTAATAGAAAGACTTAAAACACTAAGAACTATTGAAAGATGTTTATTTGGAATGACAAAAAAAGGGTAAAAAGTAAGTAATACGAATAAGACAATTCAAAAATCAAATCTTTAACATTGAAACGGGTAGGCTAACGGGCCCTTTTTTTTAATTACAATAATAACTTAATTATTACAATAATAATTTAATTCATAAATAACTTTTCGATGATAGGTAATTTGTTGTAATTTTTGATAACTATTTTAACATTATAACTCATATTTCAAATAACTAAAGCTAATTGTGACAAAGAAAAAAAAAGCAAGCTCAAAGTTTAATTTTAAGAATATTAAACTTAGGAATGTTAGTTATTTCAAGAAATTCCATATACTGTAATTTTCATTCATAAAATAATTAAGTTAATAAACATTACACATTATTTATAAAGGATACACAAATATTTTTTGTTAAATATTTCATATATATACATATGAAATAGTTAATATAATTATTTAAATAAAAGATATTTATAATTTCAAAGATTTTCTTGCAAAGAACTCGTTGATTTTTCAATACATTCTTATACTGATTTTGGCAGAACCACTAAAATATAACAGTTGCGTTTTCTACTAAGATCTTTAATATTTCATGGATGACACTTTTCTTCCTAAGAAAGTGGAAATTTTAAAAAAAATAATAATATAATATTTGAAAATTTTTTTTAAACAAGTTAGGATTGCCCTTTTAATCTAGTTTAATTACTAACATTAACTTCCAAGCTATTTATTTTGTTACAACTGAAAACAAAATGAATGTTTAAAATTGCTAAAAAATGCATAGATTAAAAAAAATAAATAAAAAAAATTAAAAATCTAGCCAGCTGAAAATAGCTTAAAATTATTTGCAATATTCATCAGAATTAAAGCTGTGAAAAAACAAATCTGTTTGCAATTATTAGCGATAAATTAAAATTTTTAATGTAAAATATGCAAACAACTGAAATCAACAAAGTACATACAATTTATAAAAATTTAACTGTACATATTTGTTAGGAAACTAAGAATACAAATAATATTTATATCTAATTTTAAAATTCCACATAAAACTAAAATAAGAAAATAGCTACATAAAAAAAAACTTAAACAGCTTCTAACTTCATGGTATAGCATTAAATTTTATTTGTTAAACTTTTAAACTATTCTTAATCTAAACAATTGCATTTCTCATTTTTAGTGTCGTACATTTATTTTTTGGTTTTTCCAGTTTCTTCTTCTTGTCTTTCAAAAAACATATTTAAAAAAAACAACATAATAGATTAACAATAGCTACTGATTATCAACTTACCTTCCTTTAAAACATAAAGATGAACACTACCATCTTCCCCAACATTAGTTATGTATGCACGGAATGTAGATTCAAGAGGTAACACAGCTGGTAGCCACTGGAATTTAGGTTTTCTAGGTTTGGGTGGACTAGGAACTGTCACCGCTGGTAACTCTATAATGGGAATCTCACCACATTTTTGGGCATTGATGCACCCATTTTTAGAGGCTTCTGAGGTATTTTTTTCTATCATTTCTATATCACATTTTTCTGGAGTAAGAGATTCATTAGTTTTATTTACATCTTCTTTTTTGACATCAGGAGTTTTTGCAGCAGGCACATCATCCTTAACACTACATTTCCTACAAAAGCATGATGAGAATAAAAATTTTGGTTTTAACAAATTATAGTGAATTAAGGGCAAAACAATGTTTTAAACCAGAAAAAAAAATTACATTTCATTTTTTGATTCCTTAATACCTTTAAAATATTTTGAAAAATTCAAATACTTCGACAGATATTAGTGATTTTAGAAAATGATTCACGATAGTCTTCAATTGATTATGAAGATTTAAATTTTTCCCCCCTTCTAATTCCTGTTTCAATATCATTATCAGAAAAATATGTGTCAGGACTTTTTACTTTGAGTGGCTGGGTGGCGCAGTTGGTTTGTCGTCGGCTCTTCTGAGCCCAAGCCTGCGGGTAAGATTCCCGGCCCAGACACCGGATTTTGGGGATGCAGAAAATCCTCAGCGGCCATGTTGTATGATTATGCGGCATGTAAAAGATCCCTGGAGTGCCTTATTGGCTCTTGGCATTTCCGGCAAAATTAAATTCCCAGAGCACTTTAGCATCCAAATAGAGTCTTGGTGCTGCCATCTAGTGTGGCAGAAACTAGACGTCCAAATAAACATGGCCAACTGTATCTCACCCATTGTGGTGGTCCTGAAAGAGTGGATACCACTTCTGGAGAATGCACTAGGTCTGCTCATCGAGAAGACTGATTGTGCAGCTTATGGGAAATAAAAAAAAAAAAAACTTTTTAATTTGATAAATCTTCTCAGCAAGTCTGAAACATTCTCAGTTTCACTGAGCATTGTGGATTATTTCCTATCTCAGACTTGCACAGCTAATGGGAAGGGGGCTAGATCTGACGCCGGGGTAGCTTGACAGGGTCGACAAAGTCATGAAAAATAAATTCCTGAATAAAATGATTTTCTCTCTTAAATATCCCTAGTTTTACTTACTAATTAAAAGCCCCATAATTTCTTCAAATTTTTATATGATTAATCGAAAATTGACGCAAATGTCTATTATTGTATCTTTGCAGGTAGGCTTTTCAAACATTTATTTTTAACGAATTGGGGAGAATGAAAAATACTTTACTACATAATGCCTTTAATGAAGCTTATAATAATTAATCAATCAAAAGCAAAAAACACGATCAAAAACATCTAAATGTAATAGATATTACATTAATAACAGGCACTGTCAAATTTTAAACGTAATTGTATGAATATTTATGAAGTTGGAAAAACATTATTTAAATTTTCAAAATCTTATTCAATGTAATACTTCACAATCAATGTCAGGTGCGGTAAATTTCAGTTTTAACACAATCTAAGATTGAAAACAGTCTTGAAAAAGGTCCTTTAAGTCTGATATCAATCGCAAGGAGCACAAAAACTGAGTTTAACCCTGGCATGTAGTAAACCCTAGTTCCGTCTCTGGTATCAAAACTCAGAGGACTCGGAAGATTATTTATCATTTGCCAAATCATTGAATATAGATAAAACAGCTATTAAGAATGACAACAATCATTAGAAAGCATAAAACTAAGGTTATCTAGATAAATAAAAGCACACAAACAGCCAGCTTATAATAGGAAAGGGACATAAGACAACATTGCTGGTCATTAATCAGTTCTTAATTCTTATGACAAAACCTACCTCTTCTATAGTTTAGACCATTAATTTTGTAACACTTGGTATATTTATTTATAAGTCAACTAACAATAAAACTTCAGGAAGATGTTAAAATTCTGCCACATTCTGCTTTATAGAAAACTATTGTGAAGTTTTATTTATAAATATTTAGAGATGAGGTTTATCTGGATTTATAAAAAAAATAAAAATCTTACTTTCTCACAGGAAGTCCAAGGCCATTCTTTACTAATTCTTCGGATATGCTAAGGTACTCTAATCTAGTGGGTTCAAGAGCACCTCCTTGTATCAAATTTTCAATATATAAATCTGCTGGCAAAGAATTGTTTTCTTTATCAGGTTCTCCCTAAAAAGTTAAAAAAGATTTTTATAATAAAGTAATGCAATGATACAAAAAATTAGCTCCAAACAAAACTTAAAAAAAAAAAAAAAAAAATTGTTTNAAAAAAAAAAAAAAAAAAAAAAAGACAAGATGGAACTAGAAATAAATACCCTTCATACAACTAATACTAATTATAGATTTATCTAAAATGAATTTTGTGCGTGGTCTAACGCACAAAATAATAAATAAAACATTCTCATGACGACAGACTAAAAATCAGTTAATAAATTTTTCAGTTAATTCTTAAAATAAATTTGTTTCTTATTTGTCTATAACAGCATGTTCTAGGGCAGGGATGGCGAACCAATGGCACGCGTGCCATTTATGGCACCCGACACAATATTTTGGGCACGCCACTGATCACATTTGTTATTACACAAATGTTATTACACTATAAAACATATGTAACAATTAAATTAAAATTCATAAGAAAAACAAAAAATAATAAACAATTATTAATAAAAAAATTAACAATTAAAGCTAAAAAAGCAATTAATAACCATAAGAAACAAGCTTACAATGAATAACTAGCAAAAAAAAATTAACAGTTCTGCTTAAACTAACATCTTACAACCTAAATATAAGTTATTTGTCATCTAATTTGCAACAGCAAAAGTCACACTGATGTTACTTTAAGCTGAATTACGCGTATAACTGAGACACAGCAAAATGTTTTTTTTTTTCNGCAATTTTAAAAACAAAGTATTATTTTCCCAATAATCACGAAGTCAAAATTATTTGACGGCACGTCTATGACCTAATTAAAAATTTTTTTAGGAAAAATGGCACGTTGGTGTATAAAGGTTCGCCACCCCTGTTCTAGGGTATAAAGGTACTAGATCGCGCTGATTTAAACCAATGTAAAATTATGCATTTATGTAACGTATGAGTGCTCTGTAAAAACCCCCTTTCATATACATTTTTAAAACCCTTATCAAAAATGAAAACAGAATATTAGACAATTTGGGGGTCAGAAGTTTATATTGAATTGAGGAAAAAGCAAACAATATGAAATACTGAAAAAAAATCTCACTTAAGATAGTAATAAATATTAATTAGTATAGAAAGTTAAAACCCGCCTAATGGGGTTGAAACTTGAAAGAGTTTTTAATATTGGTGTTTTAATTCCTGTTTCTTTCAGCGATTTTGATCTTTTCACACACAAACCTTTTATATGAGATTTTGATAGCATTCCTGCTTTGTAATTTATTTACACATTAATTTGTGGATCTCCAATGTGTAATTTTATTTTCTTCATATTTGACAAGAATTTAAAAATATTTACTAAAATTGGGCATAACAAAACACTATATAAAATGATTTTTTTATGCTTTATAAAATTGCTTTGACCCAATATTTTTTAAAATAAAGTTGTAAATGACTCTTTTAAGATGGTCTAATCAAGGATGATTAAACACATAAATTGTTCTGCAGCACTAAGAAAATTACCAAACATAGTTTTGAAGGAAAAGGGTGATGAAATGGTTGAATCAAAGACAAAATTTTTTTAACCTTAAATGTAAGTAGCAAAACATCATAGCCAACAACAGTCCGCTGAAGAGCATCACAAGCTGTCCGCGACCATTGCGCACTCCCTCCAGTTGGGGTTATTCCTTCAAGATGGCAACGTATGGAGAAGGCATCATCTTTTGTAAACAGATCAATTAGTTTACGAAGATCTGTTCTTGGAACATCATCATTACCACCATAATCAACATAGTGCACCTTGAGTAAACAAGTAGAAGAAATAACAATGTTTACACAATTGATTAAATACATGTGCAATTAAACTGTCAATACAAGTTTCAAAGAGTTTAATTAGTTTCAAAGACAAAATAATTTGCGATGCACAAAAGATTGATTTAAAATTTTTATGCATACATTCCTGAATTTCATTTAGCATTGAAAACAGTTAATATCCAGAAGTAAAAAACTAATTCAGTTCATAGAATAACATGCAGCATTAGAGGAAACATTAATATATATGCTACAGCAATAATTTAAAGGGTGTGAAGAAAAAGAAATGACTGAACTGAAAAATTATTATGGGAGACAAGGGAATAAAAAAAACTGAACTTCAATTTTAAGCTTTTTACGTACTTTTTTCATTAATAAACAACAATAAAGGGGACAGCAAATTATTATCAAGGGAGAAGTAAATTATTACTTTTAAAAAACTGAGAATTAAAAAAAAAAAGATTCTTATTCTTTTTAAGCAAAATAGCTCTTGATTTTTAGAGCCATTATTACAATAGGTTATTACACAATTATTACAATTCACAATTATTACAATAGGTTACCAGGTTAAGTAATTTGATCTGTTTTGAATCAAAGCACTCATGTAAAACTCTTTACAGAGAAGTTAGGCTGTATGAGCAAATGGCAAGCAAAAGTTCTAGTCATTGCGGATGAAATAGTAGAATAGCTATCTTGTATTTACGGGAGACGAGTTAGAATGAGGGAGGAGAGTTTTAACTTTCATCAATTACTGAACTCAGACATAATATTCCTCAAGAAATAAATTTTCAATGAAAAAATTTACAACAATTGAAGTAATTGCAGGTAATTTAGCAAAAAAAAAAATAAATAAATAAAAAAATAAATAAATAAAAAAAATAAATAAAGTAAATAAAAACCTTCCCTTATTAAAAAGATAGATTTTTTAAAATCATTGTTTTCTAAGTTAAAATCTTTATAAAAATAAATAAGTAATGCTTACATTAACAATATCATTTTCCAATTTAGCAGTCACTGTTCCCCTTAACCACTTTTTTTCCTTTTGGCTATAAATAGCATAGGCTTTTCCAATGCTGCAGTCAATCACCTCACCCTCAAGGTTTTCATACACTTTTTGCATCTCCTTCATTAACCTTAAAAAAAAAACAAATAAATAAAAAGCATTTTAAAATATAAATTAAAAAGCAAATTTCCGTAAACATCTTGAACTTTTTCAAAATTTAACTTTTTTATTTTATACTATCAGAAAATTCATAGTGAAAAGGATGAGTAAAATTATTATTATTTTCTTTTTAATTCAAATCATTGTAGGGGACACTGTGAATTAACCATTTATAATATTTTTCCTTTTTAAAAAAGGGATATTGTGCATAAACAATTACTTCATTATCAGGCGTGCTGCAGTTTTCACAAAAAAAAAAAAAAAAAAAAAAAAAAAAAAAAAAAAAAAAAAAAAAAAAAAAAAAAANAAAAAAAAAAAAAAAAAAAAAACTGAATTTTGAGTGGTAACAAATAACTTCAGAATCATCTTTTCCCAAATTATACATTATACAACATTAATTAAACCAGTGATTCCTAAAAGGTGTTCTGTGGGAAAGTAACAGGGGTTACATACTAAGATCTCTCTTGTATTTTGTTTATAGGTGAGGAAAAAGTATACACAGCAAAAGTCAATGGTAAAACAGCATACTTTACTAAGTTTGAAAATAAAAAAAATATGAGGGTTTTGACAAATATAGGGTGTTACCTATGTGGCCTTTGCAAAGATGTAAAAAGACTAGCATTTTATAACACTAAAAACATAACACAGATTTCAAAACTTTTCCATACTCATTTCATAGAAACTAATTATTTATGATAGCTTAGCATTTCATTAATAAAATAAATGACTTACGCTGTAAGTTTATTCTCCATGTCACCAGCAATGCGGATGTAGAAGCACCCCGGTGATTCTACATGACTCACATGCACTTCGATGTATTCCTTATCTTTATTAGAAGGCGGAGGTGCTAGAGTTGGGTATTTTGGTTTCTGGCTTGGACTTTTGATGTTACTTACTGGAGGTGGTATACTTTCTTCAAGAGGAACAGGAGGATTAATAAGGGGATTATAGGTGACTAGAGAATTTGAAGAATCCATGTCAACAAAGTTTTCCTTGGGAGGTGGAATCTCTTTCCTTACCCTTACTTCTGCAGTGCCACTATGAAAGTCATAAGGATAAGTAAATTTTCTAAGGTTGTAAAACAAAATAGCATAGATAAAATTGGGATTAATGGCAACTAGGATTGGGCGATATATCAATGTAACATATATATCATTATGCTGATAAAGTGACTTCTGCTTCGTGCAATGCACTAAAACTCTGACATAATCCGCAGATATAAAAAGACACTTGTGCTGTGACGATTCAACAAGCAAGGAATTTTACGGACCTGATAAAGACTGTGTTAATTTTGTCTTAGCTATGAAAATAATGTTGATTTTGCCAGCTATGAAGACCATGTTAATTTCATTTTGTAGAATACACTGAAACGAATTGAATCAGAAGTCGCAGTTTCCCGTGCGTGGAATAGTATCAGAACGTAGAAAGCAAATGCATTCTTTTGCTCCTCTTTCTTTGATATTAAGTAGTACCATTTAATAGAGGTATTTTGTATTGAATTAGTTAATACTTTGTTATAATAATTTTTTCCCCTCTTTTTTTTTTTTTTTTTTTTTAAATTTCTTCAATGCATGCAAGTGTAATAATTTAGCTTAGTTAGTTATTATAAGCACTTTTTTTGTTTAGTTAACAGCGTTTTTTTTAATCATTCATTATTTTTATATTTAGGTGGAAAATTTATTTTTTTAGTTTTACCACATTGCTTTTCTTAATTTTTAAAAATTTTATCAATATTTTTATACAATAATCTTCATTTATTTTTATTTTCTTAAAAAAAAAAAAAAGTTTGTATCATTGAATAATCACTGGTAAAATAAATAAGAGGAAAATATTTACAATGGCCCAGTAGCAGTTGCAAATCCTTTCTCAACCATTAGAGAATTGACACAGACATCATACACATCATCTGAGTAATAAATCACAATTTCAGACTTATTGCTTCCTGGAATGGTACCTATAGACAAAATTTTTAATTAAAATTTAAAAGAATAAGGAGGATTTAAAGTAAGATAATTTTGCTTTATTTAAATTAAATGGCTTAGAAATTATAATTAAATTTGGCGAACTTATACATTTCTAACAGAAGAATAAAATTTATTTTGAATTATATTTGGCATTAAGCAGGACAAACTTCTTAATGTGGGGGGGGGGGATTTTTTTTAGGGAAACCAAGCACATTTTTTGGAACAGTATACTTATACCAGATGACTTTTAAAATTATAAATTGCTCTTCAAAATTAAAATTATACTTTGCTTTACTAAAATTCAATAAAGGCACATTTTATAAAAGAAAATATTTTTAATCTTAAAATTACTTTTAGGACATTAAGTTTTAAAATTTACCAACATAATTCCGTTATGAGGGCACTCTCTGTGAAAAGCATGGCACGTATAAGAGAGAATTTTTACTGATGCATTAAAAAATATATTTCTAAGTTAATATTCCCTCATACAAAACCCTAATAATATCTTGTCCAAACAAAATATCAAAAAATTAGCTCGAGAAAAAAAGTTATTATTTTTTATATCTTTAAAACATAATTTTTCCCATGCACATAAAAAAAACTATTCACTCATTATTTCTTAACAAAAGTTTTAAAATTACCTAAATGTCACTCTCATGGTCTAATAAACATTTTTAAATTTATTTAAAATGTTTACACTGACATTTCAATATTTAAAGTTTATTAATAAACTATGTATATAAAGGTGTAAGATAATTCTTTTCAAAACTATTTAATCATTCAATTTACTAAGTCGTATAATTTGTCAGTCGTTTGTCTCAAAGATATCATGTTGCTCACCTGGCACAAGATTTTTTTAAAAATAATTTTATGAAAAAAGAGCAAATTTTTAATATCCGCCAAATTGTCCCTGTTTATTACCACCATTCTACTGGTAAGTGCTCTGAAGATCAGATTTACCTGACATTCTAATAAATTCGACTTTCCAAACTGAGGCATATAATAGCACATGTACCTGTGCAACATTTTTATTATACGTGAAAACATTTTTTAAAAAATAATGCATATTTCGTGTAGTAATAATGTGATGATTTTAGTGAGGTTTCTTAAGTCTGAATCTAGTCTTTTGAACTTTGTAGTAGAAATAAAATAAAAAATGTCATATTACTGTTTTGCAAAAATGTTACTTTTCAGACATTTTCTCAGTCAGAAGATGGACTTAACCGCCAACAACGTTAAAGTTAGTTCTCTTTATTTATCTCTATAAAGAGTAACTATGATTTTTTTTAAAGCACTTTAAGTTTTTAAAAATTAATGATCTGAAAAAGTCAAGTTTTGGGAGATTCGCCCTTATACCAATATTTAAATAAAATTTGTAATCTAGTAAGAGAATTCTTTAATCAAATAATTTTAACCTAGGATTTTAATTTTCTTTTAAACAAAGTGAATACATAGTTAACACTTTTGTACAAAAGTAATTTAGTATATAACCCCTCACTTCATCATTCAATGATATTACTGTATTTCATTAGATTTGATCATTTTTAAATCAGATGAAAGAGACAAATCAATAACTGTGCTACTCTACTAATTTTTTATTATATTTGCTAAAAATAAGAAGTGGATGACCCATGAATTTGTCATCATAAATATTTTTTCCTACAAAATTACTGAATCCTGCTGATAAGGTATATAATTAGTTGATGGTACCTAAGTTTGAAGTATTGAATTTTGTGATTTTTAATTGCATTAGTAGTTAAAAAGATGTTGGATGGAAATTCTATGTCTTTTGATTCTCCATATCAATCAATATAAGATCCACGTTTGTATTTGTAGAAAATGGGACTTTAAAAAACACAAAAATCAGGATCATCATATCAAAAAGCTAAAAATCAGGACAAAGTATTTTTATCAGATGAATCAGGACAATTATAAAACCTGACAGGATTCCAAGGACTCAAAACCTGTTTTAGAGTAGAAAATTTCTTATTTTAGGCTAGTAAAGCAAGCTCCATTGTGGAAGAGCAAAATTCAGACGTGCCAACCTAGCAAAATTAACATTCAGGAGTTTCCTTAACAAGAATTCAGGAGATTTCAGGAGGGATAAAAAAAGGCGCACGGTATGCAATATTTGACACTTCTAAGGAATTTTAAGTAAAAAATTTATTAAATATAAGAATGCAAGAAATTTTACACACTAATAGAGCAAAAATTGTGGAANCGGGAGACTCCCGCAAAATGCGGGAGAGTTGGCACGTCTGAAAATTATAGTTTGAAGCAAAAAAAAAGAAGCTTATTAAGTAACGGAAAAATTTTACTTCATTTTTAGAGCAAAAATACATTTTGGGCAAAAAAGCTTTTTTTTTAAGTAATGTGCAAGCATAAAAATTTATTAGAATAATAATCATGCCAGATCAGTTAAATAAAGGCTAGAATGGCATCATAAAGGTATGACGCTACAGAATGGCATCATAAAGGTATGACGCATTATGTTCATTGGAAATAAAAACACCACACATGGGAAAGTATTTTCTCTAAATGAAAACTGAGTTGTATTTCAATCTTCCACTTACCTAATTTATGCACAAAGATAAATAGGTTGTAATTAGGTGATGGAACTGAATTCAAATAAGGTTCCCAAAATCTTTGCTTTTACTTTCTTTACTGTAACTATTAGTTACTGTCATGAATAGTGACTTTAGCTTATGTTTCGACACTTAGTTGCTACCAAAATTTTGTTTTGCAATTCAAATCATTTCAATTTTATGCATCATCAAGTTATTTGAATAACCTTAGTTCATTTGGAAATTATCTGCTTTCCCAATGTCTCTCTATATTTCTTTTAGGCTGTTGACTTGCTTGTTTCCGCACTATATCAGCTTCACTGAAATCTTGCTTTGAGCCTCCTTGTTAAAACACATTTAGAAATAGAAATTTTTTATGCCCTACTTTGTTACAAGAAACTTTTAATAAGTATAAATTTTACCAGGCTTTGTATGTATTTTTGAGGCAAAATTAATGCATTATAAAAGAAGATGGGTGTTTTTTAGGCCGTCTTTACAGAACAAAGTATGCTAAATATAAATGAAGGGAAAAAAACCCAATCAATATTGAATAAATATAGCAAACCTAAAGATTTTACTATCAACTGCTTACGAGATACTTCATTTGTCAACCACTCTTTCGCCTGGAAAACAGAATTATAAATATAATGAGTAAAAAAATGATCACTATTCACAATTATCACAAGTGAAATACACATAAAAAGTAATGAGTTGAAGTTTGAATATCCAACAATCTTCCCAGGAAATAGACTTGAAAATTATCTGTAACAATTGTAGTCAAATAAAAAACAACTCCAATTTTTGCTGAAAGTCTCTGCATAATATCATTTAAAAAATATTTTTTAACAAGGTAGAACTACCAATTATAAAATCAAAATGAGGAGATTTTCTCTCTGAACAATAAGGGCTGTCACTTATACACAAGAATGAAACTCCTTAACTTTTATAAGTGTATTTTAAGGAAAGTCTAGTTCAGCAGCATAATGTTGAGCACAAAATAAATATGATATCAAATAAAAAAATTAACATTAGCCTACTCACAAAATATACATGCCTTGATTAATTAAACAAAGGTAAACTTATAATACTAAAGTAAAATTGCAATACATAAAAACTACATTAAAGAAAGGAAAATCTAATGATGTACGACTTTTCCTAGGCTCTATAGGTGTTACAATCATGTAATATATTTCACCTGTTTTATGAGCTATAGAAGATACAAACATATAAGTGAAAATAACTACAAGGAAACAATCATCTAATAAAAAATAAAAAAAATCACTAGGGTTGTAAAATCTACATTTATCTAAAAACAAATATCTTTTAGAGGCATGTAGTGTACTTCATCTTTCAAGGATAGAATATTCCAAGGATATATATTTATTAGAATATAGGATAATTAAATTTGTAAGATTCAATAAATTCAACACATATGCAAAAAGTTTTAATAATGTATTATTACTGTTAATTTCTCTACTCCTAATTTATCATACTGAGTAACAATAAACCATTTTTGGCATTTACTAATATTAATTTTTATTCAAATAGTTTTTAATGTTAGTATAAGCACATAGTTTTTTTAAAATTAGTTTATGACACATACAGTAGACCTGTGACTATCTGGTTCTCTGTAATATCTAACTTTATGAAAAATAAAAAAAATGTTGGAAATAGACATTGGGATGAAATGTTGGAACCAGATGCGGATGAAAAAAGGATTGGAATAAGTCACCTTGTAAAATTAATTAAGCAGAGGCTAATCTATAAAATGTCAGATAACACCAGGTTAAACTGCTAGTCTTTTGTAGAATAATTAATCACAATCCTCAGCTCAGTTAAAAGTTCTTCAAAATGTTAAACGAAACAAACTTTGAAATTAATCTTAATAAATCAAAAAGTAATAATACTCATTATAAAAAAAAATTTGATTTCAATATTTTATTTTGAGAAGCTTTGGTAATTTATGTCTGTACTCTCCACAATTCTAAAGTGTTAAGAACTTAGGCGTAAATTTTCATATTTATCATTGTGAATAAAAATTTTAAAGATGCTTAAAAACAATAAAATAATAATTTTGCAAAGGCATTTTACAATAGAAATAAAATAAAATAAATAACAGAGTAACAGGATAGAAAATAAAAATTCTCTTACTTACCATTTCAATATGAAAGTACTTTGATTTTCGAAAGCGCTGATTAGGTATAATTGTCTTTAGCAGAAAGAATAAAATTATTTACTAATAAAAAAAGTTAGTTTACATTTAAATTTGAAAGGTAACAAAATATATCAGTAAAAATTTTCTCACATCTATCCTTTAAATGAAAAGATTAATGCAGCTGTAACGAAACAAAATCATTTGTTAACAAACTATTTTAATTGTACAGTGATTCTGCTACCAGTGTTTTTCTGGGCAATCAACTTCTCAACACCCTTTAAACCAAAGTCAAATAAAAACTAAAAATATTTATATCCACTTTTTTTTTACAGAAATTTCTCTTTAAATTGGACAGTTCTCTAAAAAAAGTTTTCTAAATAAAATTTAGATAATACAAATGTTAGTAATAATGAAGGCTAACTATTGTACATTCTTTGAATTTGTGATGTTATAAAAAGAAAATCAATAAAAAGATCCTAAGATTAATTTATACCACAAAAATATTTTTTCACTTCATATAATTAACATATGCATTTAACAAAGATATTAATCAACAAATACTATAACTACCTATTTTATGGTGATGTTTACATTACTTATTTTTTAAAAGTTAAAAAGAATTACTAAGGAATGTAAACAAATCAATTAGTTTATTTTATTAAATTTATGAAAGGAGAAATAAAAGCTGGACTAAAGTCAATGCTAAATTGAGTAATATTTCATAAAGAAAGCACCACCTTTTTATACTTTGGTAAACAAAGAATACTTTTTGAGTAGGGAATATTTATGAAATATTACATTCAGTAAGAAACAAAGAAAATAATTAGACGAAGAAATACATTACAGAATTAAAAGATACTTTAATTAAAAAATTAATAATGTAATCACATAAATATTAATTTTCAGCTTGGTTATGTTTAAGGTTTGTTACAGAAGTTGCTAAGGTTTCATGGGAGAAAAAAAGGCTGGACTTATGTTATGATCTAATATATTAAAAATTCTACTCTAAATATAATTTAATAAGCCTTTCTTACCAGCTTAATAAATATCTTAAGAATTCTTTACTGGTGGAATCAGAAAAAAACCTTTTCTTCCTAAAAATTTCCTTTTATGACAGAAAAAGAAACATTTGCCAAATATAAATGTAAAAGATAAATCACATAAAAAGTCTTACCTCTGAGTTCCAACACTTTTCTTGATTGTAGCTGACATGTGCCAACCTGCAAGGTATAGCTTGAATATTGAGCTTTAAAAATACATCAAAGAGCTTTCTTAAATACTTATGATGAATTATTTCAGTGTTGCCGAAATCCACGTAGCGAACTTCAACCTTTGCACCACCAGGCAGGCCAATTACTTCTGCTCGATACCATTGTTTGTCAAGACTGAATTGAGCAGCACATATCAAACCTAAAATTTTTCAAGGTATAACAGTTGGAGTAGTTTCAACACTTAAATATATACAGACAATGCACAAATTTACATTAAGATAACATAATCATATAAAAAAATTTACTTCGAATGTTCTACATCTAAGCCTAGGCTAAGGGGAAAAAAATGTTTTTATTTTTATTTTTAAAGTTGGATTATTAAAAGGACATGGTGCATTGAATGATTTTAAAAGTCCGTTAAAATTTTTTAATTAGATTATTTTAAGAAGCATAATTCATAGAGTTAAGTGAAAACTAAATTCGGGAACTTCTTTAGCTAAAGAAATATTAAAATTTTACATTTAACACGTTTTATCATTCCAGCAGGGTTTAAGCCTGAAGTAAAAATTATGAGTCCATCTTTAGAAATGGACCATTTTCAGGTAGGGACAACAAGAAAAAAGAATTGTGTAGGAAATGTTTAAATTTCTTGTTATAAGATATAGGAAGTGTTAGGAAAGAAAAACACTGAAATCCCGTTTAATATTTAAAGAAAAAAAAATTATAATAAGTTAAGTGAGGGAATGATAACATTGTGTGGGAATAATGATTTTAGTTATAAACTTGTTTAAGATAATAATTTTAATGAATATATTTAAGCATATATCAGTCCTTAACTACTTTAAAAAATAGCAATGTGAAATAAAAATATCTATATTAACTTTAGTCTTTAAAAGCATTAGAATCAATAGCTCACAAAAGTACAATTTTCTCACAGTGAGGGAATGATAAAATAAGTATTATTTGCTTTCGGAGTTTATTCCCATAAATAACATTAAAATCCCAATACATATTCTTTAACTATTTCATTAGGAAATTTAAATACTTTTCAATACATTTTTAGAAAATAAACTAACTTCATACATTTAAATCAGGAAATGGGAATGTCAATGTAAAGGCAAGCCACACACTGTGGAAGCATGTGGCAAGAAAGAGGCATGCTAATGCAATGTGACGTAATGAGGCATGTAATGTGACGTGCACATGCTAATACAAATGTATGGGAATTTGCCTCTCTTATGTCTTTTACTTACTGCTTGCCTCCTCAGTGTGCGCTCTTCCTAACACTTATCTAATTTGTTTAGGCAGTTTCTTTTTACATACTAAAGAACTTGTTTCATTTTAATGAAATTTGTTTTGCAGTTTTAACAGAACAGGTTCTTAGAACAAATGCTTGGTTTTTACCCAATCGATAATACCAGCAATCGGAGCCATTTTGGATTGCTATAAGTGAGGGAATGGTATAAATTATGATTTTCAAACTTTGTTAAATACAAAATCCATTTGAAGACCAAAAAATTAACTTAGTACGTAGTAAGTTAACTTTAAAAGACAGAAGTTTGACAAGAAAAATAGATGTTTTTCAGGGAGAAATAATGTTTTTTATATTAGTAGGTAGTAAGAGTTGCGAGTGAGAAAGGAGATTCTGCAAAAGTAATAAAAAACATTCTTTTGAATAATACTTTAAACTTATGAGAGAATGTATTAAAAACATATCAAACTATATATGAACAGATAACTTATTCATTTTTCTATAGTAAAAGCTGAAATATACTGCATTTACATCATTTTAGCCGCATTATTACTGCATTTACATCATTTGCCGAGAGTTACCCATGCAATTTATTAAATTCTGATTTGAATTACACTGAGCCCAAATTATAATATTTTGTTAACAAAATGATTTATAAATGCTTTTCTTTTCACAGAAACTTGTTTTTCTAAAATAAAAATGAGCATAAAAAAATTGTCAAGACCTTTATAATGTAAGTGGTTAGAATTTTTAGAAGGTGATTTTGTTACAAAGAAACTATAAACGAAAACAACGACTATGCTTATGTTATTTTACAGATATATGACGTATTGTGGCAAATGTATTTTAAAAGCGCTTATTTTTATAAAAATTGGGAGAAAAAAAACTAAATTTAAATTAGGTTAAAGTGATACATTTTTAGTTTTATTAAGCAATACAAGCATTTTTTATTATTATTTTTACAATCTATAATTAGTATCATTTATAGAGAAGTGAAAATAATTAGAATTTTTCCTTACCCAAATAAAAAGAAAAAAAAAAGTCATTTACAATTATAATGATCAAGCCACTAATATTTTTCTATATCTTAATAAAATTACTTTTTATCATATTTTTAGATTTCAGGCATAATTTTATACTCAGCAAATCTGGAAAGGGTCTCCCTAGCCTTTTCTAACTTTCTAAGGCATACAATTTTCAGTATTTATAGTGTTAAAATATTAAAACTTTATTTCAATTTTTTAGGCATTTCATTAAGAGCAACAATGGTGAAATGAGAAAAAACCTTAAGAAATGTTACTAAAAATAGTTTACTACTGTACATAAAAGTGCACAATTAACATTGTATTGGAAGAACATACCTATATATGGAACATATATACCATGAAGCATTGGATTGCTTTCCTTGTTGTAAGTCTCATTCAGTTCATATATTATTTTAGATAAGTAGGATGCTGTTGACATCTAAAATAACAAATAAAACTGATTAAAAAAAAAAACAAAAACAGATTTTTTGTAAACATTTCACAAAAATAAATAAATTATTACCTGTTGCACATAGAAATTGTAAGGATCCACAACATGACTGACTATCGCTGATATATTAGCATTGACTCTTAATGATTCAGGCGGCATGTAACTTCTCAAATTCTTACTTCTTTTGATAACAGCTGGAATAAAATCATTACAATAAAATTGTTTTCTAATTATTAATTTTATCGATGGAAATAACCGAATGAAGTAAAATATAAAAAAGCAATGCCTTTCTATGACAGCCTATTGTGGGCTAGATAGATCAAAGAGGTTAAGGTAATTCCTTGTGATTTATAATTTTATTGTCATTACAGGATAATGCTTGGAAAAAGAAGTGCCCATTATGCAAATGAATTTAAATAATCATAGAAACGTTGAAATAAACAGTAATTAAAGTCAAAATTAGAACAATTTAAACTTACGGACTGTTTTAATACCAGAAGGAAACAGAGCTAATTCTAGGAAAACAAGCATATCTCTCACAGACACAGGAGTATCAGAAGTTATTTCATTATCAGCTGCTTGGCACAAATCCACAAAGAAAACATTATTTCTCTCTTCATAGACCTGAAATTGAACATATGTTTCCATTTTACAATAATTTATTAAATTTTAAAAGTTAAACCTTTTGATTCTTGAATGCAGTAGCAAAAAAAAATCATTACCTGCATTATAAGAGATTTATCTTTAACGAGTTTGGCAAATGTTTTGATACACTCTTCACTCCATTCATCCTAGAAAAAATAATAATAATATAGTTTATATTTGCCATCAGAGAAGAAAAAATAAATGTTAATGACATTTTTTAGGAAAATAAAATACAACAAAGTCTGGTTATCAGGGTTCTAACTCAAAACTTAGAAATAAGATTCTTCCTTGACTTTTCCAGGTTTTCTAGAAAAAATTTCATCAAAATACCAGACAATTTTGCTGGTATCACAATATTTTTTAAGAAATATATAATTTTTTATACAATTATCAAAAAAAATTACTTTTTGATAATAAAATATGTTGAATATTACTTTTTACAAGAAACAGAATTTCATTAGGGTTAACATTGGCTTCACATGTAGGTGGTCTAAGAATACTAAAATACATAAATTATAAAGAAGAAGTAATAACTAACAAAAAGATCTCGAATATTTCAAAATTACTACTGCAATATTGGTTATTAATAGAAACTAATCAGTCATGTTGTCACCATAGATCAGTATTTGTAATTAAGATTATCATAAACCAGAATTTATTTAGCAAATAGCTTAATCTTTAAAATAAATTATCACCAGCATACTTTTGTCGAAAAACAAAATATGGTTATAGAAAAAAGGATGTGAACTGCGAAAAAGTGGAAGAAAAAATATTTCGAGCAAAATTGTAATCCAACTTCAATAAATCTCAGAAAATAGACATTTTTAAAAGAAATAACTATGCTTGATTTATTTATTCTAAACCTGTTGCTGCTAAAATTGTTTTTACTTACAGTTGCTATGGAGTTTGAAATTTTTATTTTTTCAGGCTTGTATTACTTTTACAAGTTTTGTCTAAAAATTACAATGCTCCAAGACTTTCTCTTTCTCGTCCAAGCCCATTTTATAATAATTTATTAAATTTTAAAAGTTAAATCTTTTGATTTTTAAAAGCAGTAGATCTAGAGGATTCATCGTCCGTTAATAGATTAGGATGCAAAGCCCTGGCTGCTAAAAACCACTTACATGAATTGAAACTATATTTCATAAAATCGAAAATTCTATGATTAATCTGTTTGTAAAATAAATTCTTTTAAGTGTAAATTGCATCATTACAATTCCTATCAATTTTTTTTGGAGAAAAAGGGAGTTGTTTTTGTCTAGCATTTTTAGAAATACTGACATCTTAAATTTAAATATCATGGTACTATTTTTAAAATTGACATAAAAGATCCACGATGCAAATGTGTCAATTTTTTTAAGTGTCCATTTTATTGTTACAACTTAAGTTAGCTCAGCAAAATTACATTTTAAAATCAGTAAATTTTTTAAAAATATTTTATTAACAGCTAATATGCAGTTTATGTAGTTAAACTAACATATAAGTTTTATAAAATTAGAATACAGAGGTCTGGTAAATTCATATAACAATTTAATGCATAGCCAGAAGAATAAATATTTAAATTCAGATGAAGATTTTTTTTTTCACATTCTGTGCAAATTTACAAATTTTTTATTCAAAGGGAAATGATCATTTATCTGAACTTAGACTTGGTCATTCTGACTGATAATAATTCACTAGTGCTTTGTTCGACATAATTACATAAATTTTTAGAGAATATAGATGAAAGTGAATGGTAATAATGATGAACCTAAATAGATCCATACTTGATTACTTAGGATAATCAAAGTTCTAAACTACATATACATTACTTTTCTTTTTTTAAGTTTGATTTTGCTAAATATCTCAACTATTCAAAGTAAGTTTGGCCTAAATAATCAAGATTTTACAGTATAACGAAGAAGATAAAATAATTTATTTCATAATAAAGAAAATAAAGTTTAATGTCTTACTCCATGAATCGGATTGATATCTATAAGAGAGCACTCTTGAGCAAAACTTGGAGATTGGAGGAACCTGGGCTGTATATTCCGGATACTAGAAAAAAAAAAGTCCCAGTGTCTTAATTTTTAACCCCAGAAGAAATACGTTTCTTCTAAGTGCAAGAATGAAAAGACATTTAATACTTCATGAAAACAATAAATATTTCATTTAGAATACATAAAAATTGGATGTTTCATTCAAATAAACGATGCAATTTGACCTAAAAATCATGTTTAAACAATTACATTAAATTTATAAAATTTTAATACACACTATTATATTTTGTAATAATAACCTGTTTTAAAACTAAATTTTGTCAAATTTCAAAGTTTTAGACAATTTCCATGAGGTTATTTTAAGTTTTTTCTTCTATCATAGTGAAAAAAGTTTTCTTCTGGAAGAATGCCTTAAAATACACTGGCGTTCAAAATTAAGAGATTTTTAAGATTTGGCTGAATATCACCAGTACTACTGGACAGATCTTAATGAAAATTTGGTAAAAACATAAGTAGATATAATATAAATTAAGTGATTTTTAACAGTCATAAGATACACTCATGATATCTGGAAAATTTCATTCGTAAACAGTTGTCACAGAATCGAACAAAAAATGGGTTAATACAGGATATGGCCTTTCTCGTACAGATATACAGGTCATAGAACATGATTTGTGTTTTAAAAGTTCCTACAGCAGTTGAATCTCAAAAATAAAATAAAAATGAAATTCATACCCAATACAAATTTCTATCACAACACATATTGCATTTTTGATAGGAGTTTTTAATAACATATTTGTCAGAAATCTCAGGTTCACCATTAAATTTATACACATTTTGTGGATTTTATTTTGTTTTACAAGAACAAACTTTTTCAAAACAATTTATTGATGGCGTGCAAAAGTATAGTTGCTCAAAACAATAAATTAGCAGTAGTGGCAGGAAAGTACCAGATTTCTAAAGGTTTTTCTATAGCATTAATGGTTTTCCTATAGTATATTTCATGTAGTAATTGAATTTATATAAAAAAAAAACACATATGCAATACAATTTCTTATCACAACACATATTGTATTTGCGTCGGAGTTCTTTATTGAAATTTTCGTCAAAGATTTACATTTCAGTTCATCAGATCAAGAACTGATTTTTAATCTAAAAATCGCAGACTTACCAATGAATTTACACAGGTTTTGCGAAATTTATTTTGTTTCATAAAAAAAAAAAAAAAAAAAAAAAAAAAAAACAAATTTCTTTTTCAAAACAACATTGTGATGCTAGGCAAAAATATAGTTGCTCAAAAACAGTAAATTAGCAATAGTGACAGGAAGGAATCAGGTTTTTAACAGTCTTTGATTTATATTTAAAATATTTGAAAGGATACTTATTTTCAATTTTAATAAACAGTAAGGTCAATTAAAAATTACATTTTATAGCAACAAATAATTTATCTGGAAACAGTCACATATAAGTTATACATACTCGTTTATCGAAACGATTTCGGTGTTTCCAAAATCAATGTAATACACCACAGCTCTGGTTTCTTTTTCCCTTACAATTACTTTCCCACCAGAAGTAACCATTGGGGCCTTTTTTCCTACAAAAGCTTCGTCATCCGAGCACTCTGGATCCATAATAGACAGCACTCTTCCTCGATACCATTGGTTGTCAGCACTGTATTTTACTAAGTATAAATCTCCTGAAATAAACAAATTAGTAAATATTACCACACAAATATTGCATAACAAAATAATGCCTTCACAAACTCATACATTAATTTACCCCAGTAGATTAGGAAAGATATAATTTAAAAATCAATATAAATTCGAATTATAATGAAATATTTCACAAATTAGTATACATTTTCGTAAATAACAAAAAAAAAAGCATAAATTTAATGAAAAATAAAGGAAAAAAAACAAGATTTTTTTATAACATAAGTTCGACAGAAAATAAAAGTTAAGAGGTTTAATTTTCATTTATCTGACTTTACGTTGTTCCATATTTTCCTTTCTTTTACATCAGAAACAAGAAAAAATATTTTTGGTACATGAACTTAATAAAAAATTGTTGTTTTTCGCAGAATATAATTTTTTTTTTTTAAGAGGACTGAAATGAATGATAAGCAGATATTCCTTTATTTATTTCAGACGTGCAATGTGAACGAAAAAAAAAAAAAAAATAAATAAAGCAATACACACCAAGATAATGCAAATACATCAGAATATAATAAAAATTTGATGAATAACACAGTTTGTAGCTCCATGAATCTTTTCCTACATCTACTTTTTTTTAAAATAAAACTTTTCCTTCCTAAAAACCATGAAATTCTTAGAAATTTTCAGTAAAAATAAGAAAACATTTATGTGACAATTAACTTGCAAATAGCATTTTATTTTCAGTTGATGTCATAAAACTAAACAAACATGCAGTTTTAAAATTATTTATCTTATTTTAAAGAACTTATTTTTACTTTGTATGCAAAATATAGTCCCAGCAGCAGAACTATATATAATGTTCAGCAGGTATCATCAAAGACAAACTAACAAATGTCACTAGTTCTAGTTCTTTAAAACTTTTAAAAAACAAACATAGTCTAAAACAGTTTATCATTTTCTTCCATTTGTTATCATATACAAGATAAAATTTTCATCTTAAAAATACATAAATTAAAAGAAATGATTTCACTTCACATAAAAAACAAATGAACTTATTTAAAATAATTTAGAAAACGAGAAATATGAAAATGCCAAGTTAGGATATTCTATGAAATTATAGGATGAATTTCCTGATTGCCATATCTTGTTCCGAACATAAATTGTTCAGCGGCGTACATTCAGATTTTTAGCACTTTGCTTTGGGAATTACCTCATAGAAATAAATTATTCTTAAAGTATCCACGGGAATTCTAGTACTTGAATTCCAAAGACTTAATTAAAAAAGAAAATCATTCTCTTATTTCTAAGAAAAAATATTGATATTCTATAATTCTATGAGGTAGATAAAACATATTTTAGTAATTATTATTATTTTAAAAAAAAAAGCTGGGCACACACACAGACACAAAAAAGAGTGATACAATCAAATGTGTAATGTAGTGAGACAAGATATAATAACAGAGATACTGGATATTTAAATATAATAGAATAATATCCCGCCATCATAGGCATTAATATATTTTCAAGTTCAAGTTTTTGATTTTGTTTCATTCTATTAAAATTCATATTTATCCAAATAAATGCAAATATTAATATTCCTCTTCTTTATCAATAAATAAAATGGTAAACTTTTATTCAATTGTATCGTAAAATGAATTATTTTTCAAGGTCATTTTACCAAGTATGTAAATCTATTTTTAATCATTCATTATGTTACGTTTATTCTAAAATGAAAATGTTTCAGTTACAGGGCTGTACAGTAGGGGTGCACAACCTTTTTGAGTGAAGGGCTGCTTGCACAGCAGGTAGATTAACGAAGGGCACAAGCATATGTGGTCATGTTAGCGGCAAATATGATGATTTTTATATAAATATTAGTGTTCTAAGTAATTAATATTTTTATCAGTAAACTTAATAGCAGATTAGCAAAAAGTTAAATGCTTTTAAATATACGAATTTATTTAAAATTAAAAAAAAACAGATACTTTTTTCAAAAAACTTTTTAAATTTTTCACAATAAAAAATTTATTAAATATATATAGATATACATAAATATTAGGGGGGATGTAAATTCTAACCAAAAAGAAGCATACAGAATGAAAATGCAAAAAATATAGGCATTTTAGAGTAATATAAATTTGAATTAATTATTTTAATTTAAAAAAATTTATATTGTTTAAACAAAAACAAATTAAAAGAATTATTTTGTTGCGTTAAGAAGTTTCCGCGGGCCACACATCAACAGTTGATGGGCTGCATTTGGCCCGCGGGCCGCAGGTTGTGCACCTCTACTGTACAGTCATTTTGGTGTTTAATTTATACGGCAAATTATTTAAATTAAATTTTGGTTAACATGTAGTTGGCTAAACTTATAGCAGTGTTATTTCTTGATAAAATAATTGCCAATAACTGATTTCTTACAATGCTAAGTATTGGTTAAAGATTACACAGACAGTTGGGATTTAAATTTAACTGCACCAGGCGTTATTGGTGTGCCATTAGCCCTTCAGCCTAACCATTAAAAAATTTGCAAAATTCCAATATATATTTGAATAATAATAAAAAAAATGTTCGAACACAGAATTTTTAAAATACATCCGAGAGATATAATCAGTTGATCTTCTAATATGCATTTTTACATATACCCATACTTCTCTTTTCTCTTCCTTATTATAAAAATGAAAACATAACAGTGTTACCGAAAAATACTACAGTGTAACGTCCCATATCCGGACGTCCCTTTTCCAGAAGGATAAATTTCCCAGACACTTTTTAACAATCAAAATAAACAAATATCTCTTCATCTTCCCTTCTCTTAAAAAAAAAAAAGTCTCTTGACACGTTTTTTCCTTTTCTAGCTTCTAGTGATTTATGCGCTCAATGCATAAATCACCAGAAAGAGGAAGAGAAGATCGACCAAGACCGTGGAGTGACCGTTAGTAACGCTCCTCCTCTGGAATGCAGGAAAGGAGGGAGATTTGCTATCAGAAGAGCACAACTGAGCCCCCCTCCTTCTTTCCTATGCAGCTGGCGAGTAAAAGAGGCATTTCCTGGAACCTTTTTACTAGAGTATTAGGGACAGAAGAAATACTGTGAAAAAGGGGTAAACACAGCAAACATTAACGTGGAGGGGGAGTCACTTTCAGTCACACAAGAAAAAATAAAGAACCCAATCAGCATGCTGCGCCTTTATGCTTGATTGATAGCAAATGATCAGAGAGAAAATAAGAATTTGTCACTTCCCTGCCCTCAACTTGAGCGACAACTAAGGAGGAAATGGATTTTTCTCATTCACCTACCCACCTTAATGAATGACGGGAATTCCCCCTTCTTGCTTGAATCGTTCCAGTTCAAAGTGGCGGAGAGAGCAATTAATAATTTTGTAACTGTCAAATTTTTTTTGTTTTCTATATTTTAAGCAATAATAATTATTTTTTTCTAGTATTTTGTTTTTGATTGAATAGATATAATTCTAACACTAAAACATTATAGCCCGAAAAATAATGTTTATTTATTTTTTGCTTCTTAGATTCAGATCGCTTTAAGCTTTGTTACCTTGGGGGTCTATTATATGGAAAAATCTAATACCCGGACTTCCGGAAGTCCCACCGATTCCGGATACGTGACTTTCCACTGTATAAGATAATAGCAGAATAAATTTAAATAGATCTTAAAATAATACCTGGAATGAGTTCAGAAGGCCTGTTTTTCCTGCCATCATTTTGCTTACAGTACCGCCTCATTGCTTCAGTAATTGCTCTCAACCTTCTGGCATCAATAAATCTTTGAACAAAGAAAGATGAAGGAGATTTTATGTGAGTCACGCTCACTCTTTCTGGTTGTCCTGAAAATGCATTTTTAATTTATAATAATTATATGATTTATAAAATTTTTTATATTATTAAAATAATTTGATATAAAATGAATTATAGGACAACAGCAACTAAAGTAAAAACTAACAAAATGCAATTAAAATTTAAAAGCACGTTTTTAGAATTTCTTGACTACTTTCTACTCCTTGTTAGCAAAAGTAAATTAATTTTGATTACATAATTTTTGTTGAAAAAATAGAACTGAATGAATAAACTAGCATATGACCATTTTTTATAAAAAAAATAGTAATATAAAGCAATAAATTGTTTTAATGATTTATAAATGTTGGCAATTAACTTAAATTTAATTTACTTTTATCCAGTAAGAATAAAAATAGTGTATGAAATGAAAATAATATTTATGTGATGATCAGTTTTTACATTAAAATTTCATTAAATTAAAATCTATTAAATAAATTTTTTTGCTTGTTAAAACAGTAAAATTAAATGTTTTTTTTAAAAATGAAACATATTAATACTTAGAGGGAAATCGTAGTGAATAATTTAGGTTTTAAAATCTGTACATTGAACAAAATTGTTTATTTTCCTCGTTTGTTTTATTTTGTTTTAAAGTCAGGGAAAAGAGTGATAAAAAAATGAATAGCTACTACAGTTTCACACAAAGAAAAAAATATTACACTTAAAAATAATTTAATCATTTGATGTTTCGGATCACGACACAGCACAAACATGAACAGAGTTCATACTCAATTTATGAAATTTTTTTCGAAAGTTAACACAATGCAATAATATTCAAAGCAGCACAATATATCAGTTAACAGATGAAATATATAATGGTGGACTAAAAACAACAATAAAATTTAAAAAGAAAAGAAAGAAAAATAAAAAGTTAATAAGCATCATAAGCATTAAAATGCTCCTGCATCAGAAATGACTTCATGACACAATTTTGCAGATGAAAACTAATAAATTTTGCATGAAGAGGTACAGATAAAAAATTATATATTATTAAAAAATATCAAGCAAAGAAAAATGTCAATATATCAAGTTTTTTTTTAAATTTTTATTCTGGTTCATGATAATTTCTTTTATTTTCCCAGAGTATTCTCTGATTTTTTGTTAAGTCTCCTACCCTTAATTCAGGTCCAGCTGTGATCAAAATTTAAAAATATTAGAAACTAGATTTTTAAATTTCTTTAAAGAAATATTGAAATAAATAGTTATCATATTAAAAGGACAAAATTAATTTTTTTGACAAGCAATTTCCTATAAATTTTGATACTAAATGGAAAACTATTGGTACCATATTACCGAGAGTGGTCCCAGCTCGAAAAAACCTGCCCATGTTTTTCCAGGTTTTTTTTTCTTCAAAAATTAATGAACAAGATTTTACAATAGATTTTACTTTAAAAGCAAAATAATTGCTAATTATTGTCCTTAATAGACACACTTCCAAAAATGATAAATTGACAAGATAAATTAACTAGATAATTTAGAAATACACAAGTGGGCGACCTTTGCGCTAACATACAAACTAAGGTAAACAACGTTTTTTAAGAGAACAAAAAATATTTATATATTTATAATAATATATAAATATTTTTTGTGCTCTTAAACGTTGTTTACCTTAGTTAGATAATTTAGCTTAAATTGTTGTAAAATTAAGCTAAATTAATTTAGTATATAAATTGAAATGCAGTCAACTGGTTTTGAAAGTGTACTAAAATGCCTTTAATTAAAATGGAAAGTAAAGTATCTATTCTAATATGAAACACATTGGAGCTCGTAAAACCTTACAAATATTTTTTAATTTAAAAGAAATTATTATATTTTTATGAATAAATTGTCATTACAAGTGTTTAACTTTTAACCTGACATAAATTTTGGCTTTTTTCTTAATATGTAGACAGATTATAGTGAATTAAATACTTAAAAAATCAATTGACATGACTACATTTATAAAAATGTATTGATTTCTTTTTTTAGTGAATACTGAAATTAAATTTTTAAATTATGTTTATATATTATTATAGAATGTAAAAAACTGCTTTTATACATTTTAATCATATATAGGTAGAATTCTATTTTTTATAATTGCATTAAAATTGAAATAGGTTTTTTTTCATATTAAAGAAAAAAGTGTGAAATAAAAAGTTTTGTGGAAAAAAACATTTAAAAGTTTATTTTTAATATTTTACTGTTAGTTGTGGGATAGTTGTGGACTAATCTTGCTAAATATATAGTTATACCAAATAATGCCCCTTTTTCCAATAATAAAAAGGTTCATTTATAAGGGTATGTTAAAAGAATGAATGCTAAAAACTTGAATTAAAATTTAGTATAAGATTTCACTTAACTATATGACTGGACTTTCTGTAAATAATGAAAAACAGTGTTTTTTTTTCAACTCTACACCACATTGCTTCTAGTGTTTTTTAGACACTTATCCCAAATTTTTTCTAAGTAGAAAGATTTCAATGTCCTAGCTAAATCATGTCATAACCAAAGTTTTTTCTTTCTTATTATTGTCATATAATTACTTGTAAGTGAATAATAACATAAAATGTACTAACTTCTAGTAAAATCTCGACACTTCAAAGAAGCTTGAATGTTTGAAAGACTAGAACTCACAGATAAACTGTCTTCTGAGAAATTATCCACAGAAGTTGCACATGACTCTACCTCTAAAATGTTGAAAATAAAATTAACACATGAAAAATTCCTTTTTCATAATTTTTTTAAGACCAAGAATGATTAAGCATTAAAAACTCAAGATATTCAACAAAAAAAAAGGATAATACTTTGTACAATGTAGAGGAAAGCACAAATGAAAATACCTAAATTGACATACCATAGTTTCAGTTCCATTAACAAGAACCTTTATTAGTGTCTAAACATCAAATGAAGGTAGTGAAGTAAAGAGACAAACACATGTAAAGTGGTTTAAACAATAGGAACAAAGGAAGAAGCTTGAACTAGGAAATAATGGGGAGACAAGAAACCGGTGTGTGGGTATTTAGTGGAAACCCTAGGGGGAAGCAGATTAAATTAAAATGGACTTCCAAACATTGGGAAATCATGGGATACTTGAAAAATCATTAACTAAAATATTAGAAGCTTCCAAAATAAGTAATGACTCTCAAAAATCAAGTCTGGAAGGTGAAGAGCAGTGTTGAATGATTTTAGTAGAAAAAACAAACGTGTGACTTGAATTCAAACTGTGAAGGGCTATAGAAGATCGACTGATATCCTTATTTTGGACTTATCTTTAGTATTCTTTAAGTTGAATTTTAAAGGTATGTTTAGTTTGTAAATTTCAATTTAATCTGTATTTCTAAGATTTTGAATAAATTTGAGTTTAAAGTTGTTTTTTCCCCTGTAAAAAAATGAAATCTTGCCAACCTTAAAGACCTTATTGCTGATATTAATAGCTGGGGTATTTTTTATATTTCGCGTAAATGTGGCTTTGCGTACGTTGAACTAGCTGAACGTACCTTTAAACTTTGATTTAAAGAACATCAAAGATGCATCCATAATAAGGATGCCAGCCGATTTTCTAAAGCTCTACAAAGTTGAAATTCAAATCACAGGTTTGATTTTCTTTCTACAAAAATCTTTCAACATTGCACTTCACCTTCTGAACTTGATTTTTGTGAGTCATTATATAATTTGAAAGATTCTAATAGTTCATTTAACGATCTTTCGAGTATCCAAGCATTTCAAGATTTGGAATGTAGTATCCCACCCAATATTTGGAAGTCCATTTTAATTTAATCTGCTGCCCCCTGGTTTTCTTGGTAAATACCACACCTGTTTCTTATCTCCCCATCCTTATTTCCTTGTTCAAGCTTGTTCCTTTACCAGTATTGGTTAAACCACTTTACATGTGCTTGTCCCTTTATTTCTTTACCTTCATTTGATGTTTAAACAACAAGGAAAGTTCTTGTTAATAGAACAGGAATTATAGTATATCAATTTATATATTTTCATTTGTGCTTTATTCATGTTGTTTTCTGCTTTAGTATACATAACATAATTGCAAAATATATATTTTATTACTGCAGAAGAAACTTTTCACATTTCCCCCCCCCTTCTTTTTACTATTTGATTAAATATTTTTAAAATACAATAATTTAGAGTAATTTGTTATACAAGAAAATAAATGCAATGGTTTGCATTTATCTTCTAGATAAACAGAAGTGGTTTTTCGAAAAATGACGCTAAATCCACAACCACGAAAACATAAATATTTTGTAATATTATATAATTTAGTTATTCAGAAAATAATTATAATTTCTTTTGACAGAGTAGTTTTGTGACCTGCATGAAGCTTTTAAATTTATATTTACTTAACATTTAAAAATAATACAGTCAAGAATATACAGGTCCACGTACTTTAGCACTTATGGCGAAATTTATGACTGTGTAGAAGTTAAGTGAAATTTCATAGCATTGAGTATTTAATTTAATATCAATTTAGATAATATTTTTATGTGTATTTTAATTAATTGTTTAATATTAAGGTACATACATAAATTTAATGACTTTGAATTTTCGTGTTTTTTTCCCTTCCATAATTTTTTAAATTTACCCCCAAGAATGAAATATTTTTTTATAATTAATNTGACTGTGTAAAAGTTAAGTGAAATTTCATAGCATTGAAAGATAATATTTTTATGTGTATTTTAATTAATTGTTTAATATTAAGGTACATACATAAATTTAATGACTTTGAATTTTCGTGTTTTTTTCCCCTCCATAATTTTTTAAATTTACCCCCAAGAATGAAATATTTTTTTTATAATTAATATTCGATTATTTTTAATAAATATTTACTTTGTGTGGTCTGCAAAATTAAAATGGTTTTGAAATTGAGATTTAATGCAGTATTGCATTGTACTTAAATCAAACTCTGTATTTTTTAAAATTTATTATTTTTTCTCAAAATAATTATAAAATCTATTCAACGTTGTATTTAAATAGACTATAATACAATATTATATGCTTCTTTGTTCCTACTTAAGGTGCAATTTAACATTTGAAATATTTATACTATTTTATTTAATTAAAACCTGAGGTCCACGTACCTAATGTTATTAGCCCCTTGGTAATATAATTCACATTTTGATTATCTTATAACTTATTGCAGTAAAATAGAAAATTCTGAACTGTAAAATATTTTTTTGCTATATTCCTTTATATTTAGTAGTGAAGAGGTTAAGCTTATTTCTAAAGTGAAACAAAACGATTCTAAGCAACATAGTAGAAACAGGGTATTTACTTCATTTTAGCTTTTCAAATTCATGACTTTCCATGACTAATTCCAAGAATTTTTCATGACTTAACAAAGTTATTATTTTCTCCAACAAAAACACAACAATAAATTTAAAAAAGCAATATAATGGCATTAATTGAAATGATAGGTATAAACAAAACTGTTATACTCTGCATCTTCATGTTTATAGATTTCAAATGTAAAAAACAGAGTAGAGAAAGAGTTGAAGCAATAAAATAGCTTAAAAAAAATACAAAAGCATTTTTTTTTTTTGCAGATTTATATTCTAAAGATACTTTTTTTGTTCATCGGAAGGAAAAGAAATACTCCTGATTTTTCTGTTCTCATTTCCGAATAAAAAAATTCGCCAATGACTGGCTTGCTTCAGCTAGAATTTCAATTTGATAAAATGAAAAAATAATTATAATAATTCTGAAATCACGGAAGTTTAAAAGATAATTTGCTATAGAAAGGTTTTTCTTTCATTTTTTGAAAGAACACCATAATTTTAAAGAACATGATAAAAACATTTTATTTTGTAATAAAATATGACAGTGATTGGGGATTTTGTTACAAATTCAGATATTCGGAACACCAAAAAATTGGAGGGGGTAATTCCATTTTAAAAATAAAATTTTTCGGCGACCTAAATCCATGACTTTCCATGATTTTTTTTTAAAAAAATAGTTAAAATCATGACATTTCATGACAAATTTTGTTCAATACCAAAACTCATGCCTTTCCAGGTGCGCGGATACCCTGTACAAACTTATCCATTTTACAGTAATCATGGATTAATTATTTCTTAACAGGTCTGAGTTATTCAACGTTCTTAACAATGAAATCACAACAATATGTCTTCTTAAATGAGTTCCATTTTTTTTCACTGTACAATTACAATAAGTTCAAACACAAAATAATAAATAGTTTATAACTTGTACCTTGAGCACTGGAATCAAATGATTCAGGAATTTCCATAGGAGTGAAGTTAGGAGGAAGTTCATTAACTGACATTAAGGTATACCTGAAATCAATTTTTGAAAAATATTTGAGTAAAGAAATATATTTCTAAAAAGTATGGATGATATCCTAAAGTATGGTATTCTAAAAAGTAAATTCACATAAAACCATGAAAATGGGTTATTGGAAGCATGAATTGATTTAAATGAAAGAAGGAAATAGATGTGTTAATTAACTGTTACATGTGATAGACATACATATATTCTAGAGAAGCGATAGACTTACGAGATGAAAAGCATGATGCTTTAAAGAATATATTTATTCATTTTTTAATAATTTAAAATCAAACAAATTTATAATAATCTGTTTAAGTAATTAGGTCTAAAAATGTACCATTAAATATGGAATCTCATGATTTAAAGTTAATTAATATAAAATAGCACAACATTTTTGGATGGAGTGTCAAAAAATTAAATATTTTAACTTTCAAGTGCAACTAAATTATTATTTAATTAACAATAACTAAGTTATTTTTCTAGTTTCATAGGAACAATTATAATTTGCCTTAAATAGAAGTCAAAAACTATTTAAATTCCTTAATTATATTTGTTTAAAGAAAAAAAAAATCCATAGTAAAAAAATCAAATCTTTCGACAGAAAAATTAATGGAAAATTTATCACAACATCTCTGCATTTATGAATTTCAATGCCATTAATTTTATTTCTAAGTATAATTTGAATTCTTGGAATTAGAATGAAGAGTTATAATACACTTTTCTTATGCAAGTAGCTTTTCATATTAGTTTTTTGGCTGGAACATGGGAGTAACACGGTGACTTTCCAAGGGATATATATATATCTCAGGCTTAAATTAAAAATCTTTGGCTCAGGATATTACAGTGAAGTGATCAAGAACACATTTAGGGAAACCAGTAAACGATTTGAAGTTAACAGTTATGTGGTTTTCTATAGTGATTAATTAAAGATTTTCTCCACATTGAATTACAGGAGTTGTTTCGGTTTACATAAATTGCAACGATTTAAATAAATAATTCAATTTCGAAAAGCTATATCACATTAAAGAGCAACATACCAACTGAACTTTTAATAGATTTTAAGAGATAATAAAATGTGTGAATTTCTCTTTTAAGTGCAGGGTTAAAGAAAATGTATTTTTGTTTTTCGAAACATAAATTAAGTCCTTTATGAAACAGATTACAATTACACGATTTTTGTTAAATTTCTCATTTTTGAGGCATTTAGTTTATTCTCATTCAAACTTACACAATCAGCCTTCCCACTCCATAAAAAAATAAAATTTTTACATTTACTTAAGAGAGAAAGATAAAAGTTTATTTAATATTTTACATAAATAAAATAATAAGTAAATAATAACTAAAATGTACCCTTAAGGAAAGAGCTACTATAAAAAATTTTTTTTTTTTAGAAAAACTTAATGGGTTTTGTGAACATACATGAATAAGCAGATGTTCAAGAAATGTCTTACTTTGGTTTTGCGTTACATTTTAAGCTTCCAATTTTTTTTATTTGCTCTTCCACATCTGCATTTAAATCAAGGCTAAAAAAACAAAAAAAAAAAAACATTAATAATAAGTTCATAATAACTACTGTAATATAATGTCACACTGAAATAGGGATAGATGGTACTTCTTTTACACAACTATAGTTAAAGGTAAACAAATACTTTTAAACAGGTATTTATTGTAGCGGTTTTGAAAGCTGTACTTTTTTAAAAAACACTAAAACCAACAGCAGGGCTGCCATTGGATGAAAACAAGAAAAATAGCTGCGTTAGTTGCATCATATATGAAAAAGTCTCCTAAATAGTCTCCGAGATATATAAAATAGTTGCCAACATCGTATCCTCCTCCAACATAATTTTAATTATTTGTGCTGTAATAGTATAAAATTCAAATAATATGCAGTTAGATACTTACATTTTATAAAATTTTTTCATTTATTTGTGGATTTGCAACAATATTTAGGTAGAATAATTTTGAATGAACTGCTGTAGAAAACTTCCAAAATTTGTAAACATTTTAAAAATATCTATTTTTATTCTTTTTGAGGCATAAAGCTTCAGATATCATAAAAGAAACAATAGTTGTAATTAAAAAAAAATATTAAAAAAAAACTAGGGACTATAAATTTTAGGCATTATAAAAAATGGAGTAGAAATGACATTTACTTTCATGCATAATTTTCTTAACCTTACAATAAAAAATTTCTTTTAGCATATAATAAACAAAATCTGCCTTCTAAAGGAACTTAAATAATTTTAAATTATGTCTTCAGTTTTTATCCATCCATTGATTTATAGTTTTTATTTAATTATTCTTAAACATTTTGAAAAGCTGTATAAAAACTTATAGTAGCCTAAGTGCTATTGAACATTAATAGAAATATAACAAAAAATTGGAAAAGAATAGAAAAAGGGGAAAATTACAAACCCTAGAAAACTTGAGATTTGGTAATAAAATTAAAATTTTAATAATAATTTTAATGCATTACCAAATGATGTTTAAAATATTAACAAATATTTTCGGAAAAAAAAGAAAAAAAAAACATTGGCAGATTTAAAATAATAAGTCACAATAAAAACTAAGGAGAGTTGACAGTTGTGGAAATGACAACATTTAGGAAGGACCAATTTCAAAACCATGTTAAAATCCATAGTTTATCTAAATGACATCAAAACTATAATTGGAATCAGTTAATACAGAACAGCAAAAAAAGTATTCATAATTTAAATGTGTTAATAATAAAGTTTTAAATTGGGTTTTGTAACATAAATAAGATACATAGAAAGAATCTACACTATCTCAACTATATCAACAACACCTCTCCATATATTGTCGAATTCACGTACAATGGATACCCTCATACGCAGATATATCAGGCAATGAAATGGCAGATAGTCTAGCCAAGGCAGGTGCAGCTGAGGCCACTGCGCCTCCAGTGTCTCTTACCTCCTCAGAGCTCTTCTCCATTGTTAAAGCCAAAAATAAATCAGCACGGCTCACTCCACCCAGTCACAATTGGTACCAGGGTACCAATTGTGTAGCTGTTTGACAGCTGACAATGATCGTCAGTCTCAAACCACCATCCCACGTCTCCACCGTGGACACCTGAAATCACTGAGGTACTCTGGAGGAGAAAAGTGTTTTCCCCTCTGTACCAAGTGCTCTTCGGCACAGGCACCCCCTAAACATCTACTGGACTGCCTCGGTCTTTTAAAACAAGACCTTATAGAAAGACCCTTACTTGTTTTAGAGTTTTTGAAGGTGAACAAACTCATGGACCTTGTCTAGCTAGGCTAGAAATGGGGATTTGAAAGAAGAAGAAGAGATACATAAAATCACTTATAATTAGGGCTGCAGGTTTGTTGCGACGAGAATTTCCGCGAAATTCTCACCTTTTTTCCTAAAATCCGCAAATCTCTCAATATGTCTTGACTTGCGCGAAAATTGGTTAAAATTAGATTTTTATTTTTTATTTTCCTGAACCTTAAATTGAAAAATTTCCCGCGAATTTGGGGTCTTTTTCCCGTGACAAACTTGCAGCCCTACTTATAATTTAAAAAAAAAAATTTATATTTAAAAAGTGACTCTCTACTTTGTATTTGAAGTTTGTAAATTCAAATCCATTACTTACTCAATGCTGACATATTTTGCATTTTCATCACAATCATTAACTGGAACCAAATGACATGGCAGATTTTTACAATCTTCCAATTTTTTTAATAATGCAGGAGCACTAATTGCTAAACAAGGATTTTCAATTACAGCTTCCGCATCTGCAAAATGGAAATAGAATGATACAATTAATTTTAACATTCATTACATTTTTGTAAGCAATAAAGAAACACAGAAGAAAGTATCTAAAACACATAGTAACCTTTTTTTGCAGCAGCCAAATCTCGTTCAAAGCTTGTGACTTCTAACCGCTGAAAAATTATAGAAACATTTAAGCATAAAAATAGCCTGGACACTTTACCTAAAATACCATTTAGTTCATAACACTCTTTCAATTAATACCAATAGAAATTTTAGAACAATATATATACTATTTGGAGGCAGAAATCTCTGAAATCTGACATTAAACGAAAACTTACTAATCATAAAACAGTTCTGTTGCTTACAATGTGCTTCACTTTGCTTAAACATATTGTTTTACTTAGCTTATAAGTACCTTGTATACATTTTTATTGTATCAATAGGAAAAGCATTTAAACTTATTTATTTTTACTGAATATTTTTTTAAATTTAAAATTACAATAAATACAAGAAATTTTAGAAAGTTTTATTTAAATACTGTTATAAGCATGTATTTTAATAAAAAGTATTTGTATATCTTCAGAAAAATTCCCCAATAGCTTAAAAATCTTAAACAATATTCGATATATTTAATAAAAAAATGTTCTTCTTTGAAAATTTTAGACACAAGAAAAACATCGAAAAAAAAGTGATACAAATTTTAATATTTTAAATAACTACTTTTTCACAATTTGGTACATTCAATGAATGGTTCAAAGAATAAAAGTTTAAAAAAAAAAAAAAAAATTATTTCATCTATTTATAATTTTTGTAGGAAAAATGAATATTTTTGGGCACTATATAACTGTGCAAAAAAAAAAAAAAAAAAAAAAAAAAAAAAAAAAAAAAAAAAAAAAAAAAAAAAAAAAAAAAAAAAAAAAAAAAAAANTTCAGGTGTGATTGCCTGGTACAATTTTGCCTGGAATTCACTATAATGATGTTGCCTTAAGGTTAAGGAATTGCCTGCTTGTATTGATTAGTAGTGGATTTTCATATTAATTTTGAAGCAATGCACAAAATCTTCATTTGTCTTTATTTTAAATTTAAAAGTGATTGCATGTTATAAATTTGCTCAGAATTCACTATACTGATTTCATTTTAAGATTAAAGAATCGCCCGGATGTTGTTTCAATCTATCTCCACAGACCAAAAAAATTAAGAATCTTCAAATAGGATATATGCTTTATAAGGGTGTAGCTTCAACGTACTTATTAATCTTTTCTTTTTTCCAATATCTGTTTAGTGTTATTAAATAAAGGTTTTGCTAGCATATATTGCTACATGTTTTATGAAACTTCCAGCTAAGTGGTTACAAAACAGATTTAGCATTGTAAAAATGCGTTAGCATTGGTGCACAGACTCCATTTTTATGAGATTTGTAGCAGACTGGTATCAAAAATGTTGCCTGGAGGATAACATTCAATATAAATCTGTCATTCCTTAATTTATGAAATGCACATTTTCTGTTAAAAAATAACTCCAATATAAGTGAACTTTGAATTTAAAAGTAGTGCAATATTTAATTCCATTATTGGCATATAATGAAAGGGGAGCCAAGATAAATACAAAGTGTTTGGCTAGAAGGAAAAAAAAAATTGCCTAACATCAGGTAAAGGAGCATAACGAACCAGTTTATTATTATCTTTACAGGTGATCTTTTCAAATTAAGAGACAATGCACCAATCAGGAGCAAATTATTTGTTAAGAGGAAACTAAATAAAATTATCACAGAATTTATCTAGCTGCTTAGGCACTGACGGGCCATAGTTGAACAGTTCAATGCGAGGAGCAGCTTAAAGCCTACCCAGACTCAGATTGATGGGTATTAGCTTATCTAGGAAGTAAAAGCAATTGGTACAAATTGCTGACCACCATCAAGTCGTTGGTCATGAAATTTTAGCGTCTTGACCTCTCTAGTCCACAAGAATCTGTTGCAGGAATGCTTTACTTTTACAATATCAGAATTAACATAGTTCAGTACATGGCTAAACCAGCTTGAGGTTGAGTCTTAAAAATTAACGAGAGTAAAGTTTGAACTAATTTTATTGGCTGAATTGTAGACCACATTTTAAGCTAGTCCAACCTCAGCAAACAGTAAGCATGCATAAACTACAAGTTTTAAGCACAAGAGAGAAATTATTAATCTCCAAACTAATTTGAGTGACCAGCGTGTTTAGTGTCTTAATGTATGCTCTAAGTGAATATCAAATATGGCTATAAAAAAATTTAAATCAAAATTTGAACTTTTTCAGAAAAGAAATGTGTAAGCACTTTGTTTTGTAGTTTCTTTCGTAATCTTTTTTATTAAATTTTTCTTTTGATGTTTCACAAAACTTTTTCTATAAGAATTTTGGAATATAATTACACAGGCCTGCGATGAAAAAAATACAAGGGGTCTGATAGGTGAACTTAATGTAATTTTTGGTGCTGAAATGGAAAATAAAAATGAAAAATGTCCATCACGTCACAATTTTTAGAAAAATTCTATTTTACTGAAATTTTTATGAACATTTACCATAAAAAAAATTTCATTTTTTAATTTCTTCCCTTTTTGATGGACCAGCATTCTACTTTGGTCAAATCTATAAAAGTACCCCTCTATCACTACTTCCTGTCACCGTCCCTCTCTCTGTAGTAATCTTTCTCTACCAATAGCGTCACGAGAATCCTTATCTAGGTCCGCTGACCTCTCAGAAACACTAGCAAGCGTTATAGGGAGTAATTTTAAAGTTTGCTTTTTTTCTGTGCGTTTCGTGAAACATGGCTTTGAGTTCAAGACATTGTGTAAATTTCCCAGATGACTTTTGCTATACATGCGGCGAATATAGTGCAGTTAAAAATCGCATGAGGAGCATTACAGACNTGTACTATTGAATGAGAGGACCAATTGAACTTGATTACTGATTAATCTTCCTTTGTTTAAATTGAAGAGTCAAACAATATTAATAAAACATTATACTTTTAAAAACAAATATTCACTAGTATATTTAATTATCATTATGTTATCAGTTCTATGTTTATTTTACCTCTTAAATATTGTTCAGATAAAATTGTGACATAATTTGAGTAAAAGGGTTTTGGACAGTTTAAGACAGTTTTGGACTGGGCGGTTTAAACCGTGGATTAATCCATTCTGTCCTAAACCTTGCCAACCCTGATTTATATATATTAATTTTGAAAACTAAATACATAGATGTTTATTTTGGAAATTCAATCTCAAAATTTGGAGTAATCATTTCCTATATAATGAAAACATATTTACTTCCTTCAATTTTAAGATCAAAAAATTACATTTCTATTTGAAATACAGAATAAAGTTGTTGTTTTTTTAAAAATTGATTATACATATTTATTTAGCATAAAACCCACAATCCACAGCAAGATTATGATAGTTTATAAAATCTTTACATCATTAAAATTAAAAAAAATTTTGATAGTGAAAAAAATAAAGGGATACATTTTATTTAAATGTGTTGGCATTATACAAAAATAGATTTGATCTTATGGTTTTATGTAATTTTTCTTTTCAGGCTTTAGCAAAGGCTCAGTAAAAAGTAGTTCAGAATAAAATTGGTGCAAAGAATTGTTAAGATAAAAATAACAGCATGAGTCTAGAATATGCTTAACTATGTGGGGTACTTTTAAAATTCAATTATTATCACTTTTAATGGGACATTTAAATCTGTTTCAGGCTAATTTAAAGAAAGCTAGTTTTAGTACCATGTCTTAATCATCAGTATCTTCAGGCACTACACTTTTTTTTAGTACATAATTATAAAACCAACATTTTTTTTTTTAAAGCAAAGATACCTCAATATGAAAAAAAAAACTTACCTTATTTGCAATAATGTATGTAGTCTATGAAAATGATCATGAATTTCAGAAAATAAATGGGTAGTATCAATTTTTTCTTTTGGCGAAACTTCACATATAAGCTACAACAAAGATTTCAAAAAAGATCTATTGACAGCTATATTTTCATTTTTACTAAATACAATGTATCTTGAAAAGAACTTAAAATGCAAATCAACAAAATAATTGGAATTTTATTTAACATTTTGAAAGATAAACTTTTGCTCAACTAAGCCCAGTAGAAGAAACCTCTTTATCGATCTGCAACATCAGGAAAACAATTTTAAAATATATCAACAGGGCATTAGAATTTATTACTTAAAAAGGAATAATTCTATATCACTTAAATTAAAATGAAAAATAATATTGAATTTTTTTTTCTTTTTTGTTTATTGAAATAGAATTTGAAAAAAAATGAACTAAACAGGGTATAAACTTAATAAAGTTTATAAGTAAACTAAATTTAAAAAATTTTGTGCAAAATGAAATAATTTTGCGTTACAAACAATGTTTTCATAAAAGGTAATATTTTTAAGATGTTGTGGAATTATTTGTGTCTGACTTGAATACTTTAGAAAGATGCTACATTAAAAAAAAAAAAAAAAAGTCTCATTCTTAGTTGTTGGTATCCATAAGCGTTTTCTAATTGTAACCATTACTATACATAGTGTTAAAGGATTAATATCTGATATGATAAACACACTTTAAACAACACCTATAAAGTCCTTAAAAAATTTAAAAAGTCATAGCAAAATGAAGTGCATTATATAATGAAATAAATTTGACTATGATCAATACATCGCTTCACAGCATACATAAGTAATTAATATCTGTTTCTATAGAGTAATAATATTAAAAGTTACTATATATATATATGTATATATAAAAGCTAATCTCACTGTCTGTTTTTGAGTTGTAAATTTACTTCAAAATCATCAATGGCTAATTGCATACTTGACCACTTTAAACTCGTCAGAGACAGAAAATTATATATTATTTTAAATGCTTAAAAACAGACATTAATATTAACTAAAGAATTACTGTAGGGGTAGAACTATATTCACACAACACAAAATAAAATGAAAATAATTTACATGATCAGTATATTTGAGCTGCCTCTGCATTTTGGTAACATCATTCAATACTAACTGTAAACTAGCTGCACATGACTTGTTCTGAAAGAAAGAATAAAGCACTCTAAAATAATTTAAAAATTCAACAAAAAAAAAGTTTTTTAAATTTCAAATAAAACTAACAAATAAATTATTAAAATATTTATTATTTGAATCAATTGCAAAATTCAACTAGTAACAGTATTAGTTATTTTTTATTAGCTTCAAAAAAGTAAATGGCATAATAGTACGATAATTCTTAACTGGTGGCACAGTTAAACAATTTATAAAAAAATATTCAAAAATTTTCAAGTTGAAAACTGAGTAGTTTAGCTTTTTAAAGCTCTTATAATTCTACAGTTGTAACGAACATTTGCAGTCGTTTGCATCAAATTTTTGTATTAAATGGGACAGTCTAGAGAATTTTTCATTACAAGAAAAGTGACAATTTTAAATTAATATAGTCTAACAATATTAGGAATCTGTTGAAAAAGAGATTGACTTGTAACAAATTTTTAATTTTAATAATTCTAAAATTAAATATAAAATGATACTCTAAACTTCAACTTTCTGATATCACAATAAAATAATAACAGTAGAAAACATAAAGATACATTATCAAAGATCGAGAAGTATATTAGTTATATTATGGTAAAATTATTATTTGAGCAAGGTGATGATGGGCGAAACTTATGAATCTTTTGAATTCAAACTTATGAATATAATTTTCTAATGAATTTGCTGATGGAATAATTTTAGTCTCATTATGACTATTTTAGTAATAACTATTTACAAACAAATAATGGTAAAAATAATTCTAAAAATATCATAAATAGTTATTACTAAATAGTCATAAGAATAGGTTGAATGCAGTTTAATTAATAAAGATTCTCAATCGATGCTAAAATTGATAATTTGCAATATATTGAAACATGCTACCCCAAAAATAATAGAAAAAATACTTTCTGACACTCTTTCGCATTTCTCAAAAAATAAACTGATAGTTATTTTATCACTTTAGAGGTGTTTGGGTCATATAAGTTTTCATACTTATTAAGTTTAAAGTTTTCAGAGGTTAGAGGGAGTGGCAATAAATTACAAAAAAGAAGAGTGTTTATGAATATTCTATGCTGGAAAATATAACAATGCACTTAAAGCCTGTAGTACCCTGATTAATATATGCAATAAATGCATAGAACTTTTTAAACCTAGCTTAAATATTCATGAAGATATGGACATTTTTCTAAAATTTGCTTTATGTTTTCTTACTATAGCAACTTCCTGCGGATTATCCACTGCAGCCCATGAAAATTTTAGACCCAAAGGAAACTTTTCAACTGATAATCAGCGGATTATTCAGCAATTTGTTTAGCATTGGAGAAATAGCAAATTTCAAAACCCCTCCCAAGCACAGAATCTACATCATATGTGAGCAAATCTACGTCATATGTGAGTGAATCTACATGATATATGAGGCGAGATTATGTTTAAGGGGCATTTGAAAAAATGTCATATGCCAGTGTGGAGGAGTGAACGAGAATCAGATTGCGAGTATTTTGTCAATATATTTCACCAATAAGGTTCTCGTTTGCGCCTCCAAATTCCCATGGGCAACTTTTTCGCATCCAAACTTAATGGTCTTTTACACTTTCATGGAAGTTTGTCATACCTGATACCCAGAAAATAATTTCACTAGATTATCCATGTTGATGATTTCCTAGTTTTTAAAACTGGTAAATTGTGAATTATACACAGGAAATTATGATATAACTGATAAAATATTCTTCAAAATTATACAAAGTTTTTGATCCATTTTTACTTAACATATATGTAATTTTCAAAATCTGAAAGTATTTAAAGATATGAGCATTTAAAGGCATGCTTTGATCCTATGCATGTGCACATTCATATTTGGTAACTTGTGTAAAACGGCTGATTTGAATATATTGAAAATTTCAAAGATTTCTGGCAATTTTCTAAGCAGTTTCTGTAAATTTTAAAGAAAGCACTGGATAATATGAAGCTTTCCAGAAATATACTTTTGTACGAAGGGTTGCAAATATCCTAACAGCATATGGAACAACATCATCTTATTACTGCCATTTTCCTTCCCTAAATAAGCTTGTAGGATAGTGTCATCTATTAAGTTTTGTTTTATAATACAAGATGTGCATAAATGCATAAAAAACAATAAAAGCCATTTTGTGTACAACAAATTTATCAACTCAGTATGTAAATTGTGAAAGTTAATACTTTTCATAATTAAAAAACAGAGTAAAAAATAAAGACTCAATAAGAAAATAAAATAATAATCAAAAGGATATTTTTTTTTCTTTTACCTTATCTAGGAGAGTTTTAACTTTGTGCCCAATATGGTCTCCCATTAGCATGCAGTGACTACACGTTAACTGATCATCTATTTCACAGTAAAATTCCACGTTCTTATTTTCATGTTCTGGACATCCTTCCTGAACCATTGAATTATATCTGTTTAAAAAAAGTCATCAGGAATAATTTATTACAACACTATAAAAATTAAAAATCAAGATTGTCATTAAATTATCAGTAGAAATGCCTAATTTTCCCACTCAGTTAAATATAATTCAAAAAACAATCCTTTAACAACTTGAAACATTAAAAAAAAAGCTTATAAATTTATTTTGGTAAAGCAAGACATTTTAATAAATAAACCCATTTCGTTAAGTTAAGAGTCAGACAACAGAAATTTGTTTCTTTGATTTGTCAAATCTTTCTATATAACTAAATTTATACACTCACTAGAATTACTATTGGATTTTCAAGTGATATTGTTATACACTAATTTAGTTTTTAGGATAATAAATTTATTTGAAAATTTATCACTGAGGATTTCTCATAACAGAAGCAACATTTTTTTCTTCTTTTTAAATACAATCACTGTCTTTCCAAAAACGTTTCTTACGTGAATACTTACAATTCAGCAAAAATCTTTTTGGCTTCATGTTTCTTTTTGAGTTTCATATCACTATGTACCTGTAAATTCAATAAATAATGTAAGTAAAAATATTTAAATTAGTTTTACTTCCATTTTTTTTGGGGGGTCCTCATGTAAAATATATCATCGAGTTTTCAGAAACAACAATGAACATTAATTTTGGAGACCAGCCAAGGTCACAGCTCATCTCTTTTGTTTTGGCTTCCTTTTACTACTAAATAAAGGATAGTTTAATTTAGTCTAAATAGATATTCCAAGAAGTTAATTGGTATTATCGTAGAATTTATGTTCAATTAAAATTAATACGCTAAAAATTTTTTGCGACACCTCATGAAAAACGGTACCATACATTCAGGTGTATAAGTCAACCCTCTATTTTTGATAACGATAGAGCAAGTTTCTGGTATGCCAGATGAGTAAGTCAACCGCTAGGAAAACCAAATATGATAAATTTCAAAAATGAAAAATAAATTAAAAAAACTTATTATATTAACAGAATTTTCTAAATTTGAAAATATTACACATTGTTCTTGCTGAATGATACACTAGCCCTCAAATTAAGATGCATTAAAAAAATGCTATCAGGCGACCAGACAAATGATAGTAGATTCAAGGCAAAATGGAGTCAAATGTTATTGTAAAATCTATTAAAAAGAGTGGAATTTTGAATTCTTTGGATAGAGATGAAGATGATTTCTTGTGGGACTTAATAGATGAGGAATAAGTAGAATCTATTACAGAGTGAGATACATATGTGATGCTGCAAACGTTATTGAATCCGACACAGATGTTAGGGAATCTTTAAATTTGCAGTTTTATGGTCAAAAGTTTTCATTGTGTTATATTTTTTTAAAAACTTTTCTGAGTTTAAATTTTTTTCTAAACTTAAATTTAAAGCAATGTTTGTAAAAAAAAAATTTAAGGAATAAAATATGATGAAAGAAAATGCAAAATTAACTATACATAGTATTAAAAACACTGGGATATACTGGGATTTAAAGAAATTTTTTTCAGTTATTTTTCCACAAATTTTTAACTATGAAACGCAAAACTAAGAAATGCTGCTTTTGTTTCTCTAGCAATTTAGAAAATATTTAACAGATAACTAAAAATTATTGCTTAAGATTTAATTAAAATAAATTTTTCATTCAAATATTTTTTTAAAAATAAATACACACAAAACAAGAGGAAGCAATAAAAACATCAGTTTTATATAAAAGCATATATTTAAAAAAAAAATAATAATAAAAAAATTTTAGGATAACAGATGATTTACTTTTAATTTTTTTTAATTCCTCAGATGAATTGTAATTAAATTAAGATATTGGCATTTCAATGCTTGCCTTTGAAATTTAGAGAAAAAGCACTTACATCTCCATAGCAAATACTGCAGAAGTTTAACTGGCACTCATCACACTGCCATAATGCCTCATTTTTGTGGCAACGCTGACAAGTCAAAGAAGTTACTGAAATTATATTTTTTCACACTTTAGAATAAAGCAAATCAACAAAACACATCTAAGAAAATTTTTTTTTAATTGCAGTGACATTTTCTAAAATCAACTTAGAGTACTATATGTGTAATATGGTGATAAGATTTCGACAGAAGATGTTACTCAAGGAAGGAAAAAATAGATAAATTTTAACAGCTATATTTTTGTTCGCCACAACTTTTACAAGTCATAAATTAACTAATACAAACAAGACACTTTTTAATCTTGTCAAACTGAATATACAATTCACAATGTTAGATTACTGATAATAGTAATAACTAAACTCAATATAAATCAAAATTATTTAATCAAGAACCCAATGTTGAAAAATAATTTCTGTCAATTTCTAATAATCTGGAAAATTTTTCAGTTCCAATGTTGGTAACGTTTAGTAATCTAACAAGTAACCAACAATTTAGGGATGCAAAACCTGTGGTCCACTGTACCTCGAAGAGCGGCCTGCAGCAACATAAAAAAAATATAGTTAATAAAACTTTTTGAAGAAAAAAAAAAGCTGGAAATTTATAATTGCGTATGAGTTTTTGACTCAACTAATTTGCACAAATTCCAGTTTAAATCAATGTAGCTTCGCAATTGCTTTTTTTTTTGGGCAGCCATTGTCACAAAGTTCCACTATTTTAAAACATCCAAATATTTTTAATGTCATTATGCAAATTATGAATCAAATTTGATGGTCTTTATTCTTGTTGATTTCATTGTAAATCCAAGAAACTTCTTAATCCTTTTTTCGTTAGTCATGGCTACGAATATTCAGGTGATTTTTAAAATCAGTCAAATTTTGAGGGTGTTGCATATATCCCGGGGCAGTGTTTCTCCATAAAATTAAAGCATAATCGTGGAATTACCCAACAGCATATGAAGTAATCAATGTAACATAACAAATAAGTAATCAATATAAATAAATGAAAGGTAGATAAGGGAACAATATTAAAAATAATAAAAACTGTGCATTACCTAAGTTTTTAAGTGGTTCATGATACTGATTCTTTTTCAAAGCACTAGGTGACACATATCTTGTCTTGATGCTAATTTAAAAAGAAAAATTTAAATTTAATGCTCACTTAAAAAAGTGATAATGGCAAAAAATATTATTTCAATTTATCACTTAACAATATCATTAACTGACAAGGTGCATATTACTGATAGCAGTTAGTATTATTGATAACAGTAGTAACAGTTTTCGAATTAATTTATAAAAGACAAAAGATTCATTCTTCCTGAAATGACAGATTTTAAACATCAACAGAAAGTCAAATCATGAAAAATGTTACAATTTAAACACAAATAAGCATCTTTGGAGATCAATTAGTACGTTTTCTGATTATTTAAGACTACTTGTACATGAAGAAATTACATTATAATAAATTGAACTTGAAGATTGATTATTACAACTGGAAGAGCTAGGTTAGCAAAAATCCTAAATTAAAAAAATAAATAAATAAAAAATCTGATTTTTTTTTATTTATATAAATCCGAATTTTTACAACTACAAGCCAAAGCGTTTCATAAAACATAATTAATACATAATATTATAGAAAATATATAAATTTAATTTAAATTTACAGTGCAATGCAATAAACTTGTAGATGGCAGTAAGTAGTTTCTTAGATAAAAAGGGCAATTTACGGAATTAAAGGGGAATATTATTCTTAAGGTTTAACATTTCAGTTTACTTTTCTAAAAATCATAGGCTGTTAAATAACACTTAACCTTGGAAGTGAATTTTTCATGTTCACACTAATAATGCCAAGACTATGGACATCTGGCTGCAGTTTAGCAATTCCACCTTCAGATACATCAGCGACTTCCTAATGAGAAATTGAAATGCCATGAAACTTGTTGTGAAATAAAAAGAAAATAAGAATGTTTAAATCGTAAGAAAAATTGTTAAGATAAGCAAATACAACTCTAATAATGAAACAAATAAAAAAGAGAAACAAAAAAAAGTTTGTAAAAAATATATATATACCTATTTTTTAATATGCACTCTTTATTAATTTCAGCTGCATGAATTTTAAATTCAGTTTGAACTGCATAAATTATTTTCTACTATGAGTATTCTAATAATTGTAAAGATAAATTTTATTCAATATGATAAACACTTTTTTTTTATAATTGCTTTCTGCTGTTATCATTTATCTTACAGAAAATTTTTAACTTATAATGATGATATTGCTCTAATTTAACAAAAATTCAACTTAGATGAAACAGCAATTAATATCAACTCAAACACAAAATAAAACTATTTTATAAGAAATTTTAATTTATTTATTTGAAACTCAAAGATGACTCCACAAAAAATCTTCAAAAAATGACATTAATGAAGAAACTTTTTTTCATATTTATATGCATTATTTTAAAATAAAAAATCTTTGTATTTTGACCAAACCTACAAATAATATATCCATGCTTCACTTTTTTTTTCCAATAATAAACTATATAGTATTTACAATTGAAAATAAATAAATTTATAAAGATGGAATTATTTTAAGAGTTTTAAGAACAACATGCTAGCAAACAGTCATGTTCGTGGCCCACGTGTTCACAATTAATCAAATAATGAGTAAACACTTAAACTTTGCAGCTTCAAGTGTCTCATCTAAGTTAAAGGGAGAATTGAAAAAGTGAAAATGGCAAGGTATTCATAAAGAGCAAGACAAATCAAGTCATTTCATAGCTATCAAACTGCAAATGCAGGATGAAGTTTAAATTTCAATGGATAGATTCGGCACAATCAAAGCAGTTTCTTCTCCTGGATCGTATTGTTACCATTAAAAGCAATGATATTGATAGCAAGTAATGAAACTTAGTTTTTTCTGCCTTGCTTTCATACGATAAATGGGAATGAATCATTTATTTAGTCAGCATGTAACACATTCTTGGAGCTCTTATCAGTTATTAAATTGATAACTAACGTATGAGAGTGATCCTTGCATACTTATTTCTCTGAAAGAAAAAGAATGAAGCAGACAGATTTTGAATAATTAATGGGCCATATGCATGATTTCAGAATTGTTGTCAGTTGTTTATTTTTAGTTTTGTTACTAATAAGTTTCAAAAATTGTGTATGCATAGTAATTCTTAGTAAGTACTAATTCAAGTGTTTCGAACATTGTTTTGTGTGTTCTTCTTTCAATAGTGTATGAACTCCAGAGTTAAAAATCTGCTTGTGCCTGTTTTATTTTAGTCTCCTGCCTTTCCAACTCCAAGAAACAAAAAAAGTTTATAGGCTTTTTCATACAGCAATAAAAGAAAATGTAAAGAAAGCTGCTAATAATGGATATTGAAATTTATCATACATATTTTAAGAAAATTGATGATGTGTGTCTTTTTTTAAGTGTTTTGGGGATTACCTGCAAATTTGCTTATCTGCGTGGGCCACTGAATTTTACGGATAATCAAGAATTTACCAAGAATTAAGAATGTTATTACGACTTTATTTAATTAAAAAGTGCATATTATTAAATATTTATGGGATTGTTTAAACTTCAATAATGGTTTACTTTTCTCAAATCTGGTTTCATAGTTGAGTTCTTACAAACAAATCTGATTTAATGTTGAATAGTAATAAATCTCTAGCAAAGGTGTAGATCTTCTATTGAATCTAGTGACTACGTTATGAATCTGCTAGCAAAAGTTATATATAAGCTGCCAGATTATTTTGTGTCAATTACCGATATTTCTTATAATTTCATTTGGAATTGAATATTTAAATGTAGTTCGGCTGCCAAACTTGCTATTAATACAAATATAGGTGAACCAAAAAACTAGGTGATGATAAAACAAATCCTTAAATGATTGTAAGTGGTACCAAATGAAATTTAAAAGATATTAAAGTATAAAAGTTCAGAATTTTAAAAATTAAAAAAATTAAGTGGNAATGTTGAATAGTAATAAATCTCTAGCAAAGGTGTAGATCTTCTATTGAATCTAGTGACTACGTTATGAATCTGCTAGCAAAAGTTATATATAAGCTGCCAGATTATTTTGTGTCAATTACCGATATTTCTTATAATTTCATTTGGAATTGAATATTTAAATGTAGTTCGGCTGCCAAACTTGCTATTAATACAAATATAGGTGAACCAAAAAACTAGGTGATGATAAAACAAATCCTTAAATGATTGTAAGTGGTACCAAATGAAATTTAAAAGATATTAAAGTATAAAAGTTCAGAATTTTAAAAATTAAAAAAATTAAGTGGAAAGGGATTAAAGTATGGTCTATACTAAAAAGTTCAAAAGGTTGTAAGAGTTGTTGCAACATAGTAAACAATTTAAATAGCCAGTTTATTAAATAATATAGATGGCCAGCAATTTAAATAAAAAAATACAATGTTTTTAAAATATTTAGAAACTTCTTCCAATAGTAAAAAAAAAAAATTTAAAGAAAATTTTTTTAGTTTACTCACTTTACAAATGGGACATTCAAATGTCCCAATTTTAACTGCACTATTAAGGCAATTCTCACATACAGAGTGGAAACATGGAAGGATCCTTGGGAATCTGGTTACATTGTACCTTGCTGCTTCTTCAAAAAGAACAATAAAATCTGTATTAGTACACTTCAAAGTTAATGAAAAGAAATAAGATAAAACAAATGCATCTTAATACATAAGATAATATCAAACATTAAGAGTGTTTAAAATTGTTTTATAAATAAATGCTTTTAATATTATTATTAGAATATTTTAAATAAATAAATGTGTTCATGCTTTTGCAATAAATTTATAATTTTTAGAATAAAATTTTTTATACTTATAGTAAATTTATTAATTTTGATGTTTATTACTTTTCTACATTCGTAAGTTTAAAAAAACTGAAACTGCGGAATGTAAGAGTTCCAGATAACGAATTCATAAAAGACTGCACAAACTAACAGTTAACCACACTCCACTGAGTATTTTTTTAAAAATACAAACAGTGCAAATATTCATTATATAAATAATGGATAGGATATTAAAATAATTAAAAGCTTGAAAACTCATTACTAATTTAAAAAATCTTAACTCCTAAAACCTTTCCATCAAACCATAGGGTTTCGCAGAATATCTTTTGGTAATCGCTGCTCTTCACGGAGAGTATTCAAACTAATTCTTTGGTTATATAGAAACTGACAGTTGCATTTTAACAAATAGTAAATGCTAAGTTATAGGGGTGATATCAATGTGCTTTGTACTGGTCAAATGCCTTAAAAAATATAAAAATTTAGATGCTATTATTCTATATAATTCTTCTGACAGATTTTCAATTCTCTTCAGAATTATTGCTCTATTTAAGCTAATGTATTTGAATTTGCTGGCAGTAAATAGGCAAAGTGTTTCAACAGCTATTGCAAAATAGCCATCACTGAAAGGTCGTTATGTTTTGGCAATTAAGGCTGAATTCTATCTAGAACTTTCTTAAACAGTTTTGAACAATTAGAAAAGGGTTCAATGTTTTAAATCTTTTTTGCATGGTCAAATAGCAAATGTTGGATGTTTACTCTCATAAGCTTCTTTTAGATTATACTACTTGCACGCATTTTCAAAAGATATAGAAAAGAATTACTTGAAATTCTTTAAATATGAATGAATTTCATGGCTTACAATGTATATTATTTAGGCCACAGAAGACAGAAATTTTATTACATTAATCTGTTAAGATTAGTTAAAAACATCTGCTTTGTTTTTGGTCCAATCTAAGATTGAGAAAAAAAAAGGAACTCATTTTCTACAATTTAACTAGATCTCACAGGTTAACGTTTTACGCACTAAAACAAAAATTAACTCAATTTTGAAGAAATTCTGAATCACCAAAAATAAAAATCCTACCTTGAACAAAATGTTTTCAAAATAGATGTAAGTTTATAGAGCAAGAGTTATTTAAAATGCTCGCAGATAATAACGGGAATATTTCTATAATATCTGAATGCAACTTAGCATTTAATTTTTAAAATTAGATAACAAGAGAGTTTAACAAGTTGAATTATTAATTTATTATTAAACTATAAGTTTCAGTAAAAGCATCAAATTTTTTCAATGAAAAAAAAAATTCCAATTAAGCTGAAAAATAAGAGTAGTACAATTATCTTATAATAAGTCTATCGTGGAGAAATATAAACAAGAACATTGTACTGCACCTTTGCTAGAAAACCATGAATTGCAGCTTGGGCATTGAAAGGGTTTCAAAGATTGGAGCATGTTTAAATTTATAGAAGTCATTCGATATTAATTTACACAAGTTTCATGAAAGATGCATAGTCAAAAGAAAAGAAGTTCCTGCTCAGATTTACTTCTATGTTGAATTAAATAAAGCGAAATATGCATAAGATACACAGAATAGTTTTTCAACAGAGTTCATATCACGCAGAACATAGAGGCAACGGCAAACCTAAGGGGAAAACGCAGGAAATAAACATGCTTTCTATCGGCCACTTTTTCTCGAGAATGAAGTGAGCTCTCGTTATTTCGCTTAACCTAACTTTCTTAGTAAAACAACTCCTCCTGCTTAATTTATATTACATACATTTTATTTAAAAATTTGCAATCATAAAATCAATATATTTTTCACAAAATTTATAAAAAATATTACTAAGTAAGAAAATATCAAGCTAATAAACAAAAATTATAATTACATTTTGTTTTTCCTTGTTTGTGACCGTGATCATTTCGATTGTTTTATTTACATCATGCTTTTCTGTGTTGTCTCGTGCATACTTATTTTATGTTAATGGTACCGTTTGAAATTTTTAAAATTAAACGATTTTCTCCCATGTTTACCTAAAAACTGCCATTATTTAGCTTCACTATTCCAGAAGTATATAAATAAAATGTCATTCTTTATACGAAAATCAAATCGTGAAAGTGGTGTCAAAAGAAAAAAAGTAAATGTCTATATTCAATTTTGCCTTGTTATTTAACGTAGATTTTTTAAATATAATTTTGAAGCGTTACTTCGAAAATTGAGAGTACTCTCAAAATTTTTTTATAAGCGTTTATCTCCCAAAACGTCTCATTTCCTGCTAAAACGTTAAAAAATGAAATGCTAAAAAATAATCTGTGTGTATATTTAATCACTGAGACTTAAAAAATGTTAATAGTTTTAAAGATGATATTCAGATTTCGCTAGTATGAGGAAGGTTTTTTTTTCTTCCTGAGATATTTTTTATTTCAGTTACAAATTTTTTTTTATTAATGTGGGATTTTAAAAATTATCCTTAAAAATTCATTAGTGTGTGTTAAAATACAATTATTAATGAATCAAAAATACTGTCAATATTTATATCAAATTATTTCCTCCAGGCAACTTTTGAGGATATTTCGTATCGTGATCTATTGTGCCAGCTACAATTGCCAAGGGACCAAATAGATTTTAAACTTGAAAATTTTTTAATCAAAAATATTTAGATATTTTCCCAGGGGTGACTACAAGTTAGTTCCTTTCTGTTATTTTTTTTTTAGTTTCTCGTGGGCCACTGGCCGGAAGTTTCCAAGACTTGTTGATTATTCTGCCGCAGATCACGCTACAGAAATCTCCCTCAACTTTTCTGTTACCGCTAGTCATAAAATTATATAACAAAATAGGAAAATCTCCCATAAAGTAAATAGGTACGCCTAAACTCACCTGAAAGCTATATTTCCATTCATAAATTTTCCAATGACACCTTCATTTATTACTTACCATTTCATCCATTATATATCCGAATCAATCCAAAATTCATCATTATTTGTAATTTCATTATCATCACTTATCAATAATTTATAAAGACATGCATTATTAGGATGACCAGGCTCAGCATAATAACTGCCAAAACAGAAAACTTAACTTGTAAATCGTGAAATTTCGTCTCCATTTTCATAAATTACTCAAATCAATAGGCATCACAAAATGCAATAACATCTGCTTGAACAATTTGCCAGCACAAAAATAAAAAATTAACATCACAGAAAAATCATTTTCAAAGCAAAATTCTATTAAATTTCCTCAGAAAATATTACGCCTTAATCTTAAGTTTTCTTCAGAAAATTTTTATGTATCCAAACCCCCAAGGAAAACGTTCTTTACTTCTATCAATTCCTCTCCATTTGCACTGTAACAAATGTTTCTTTCATCACCACGAATTCGATTATTACATCATCCACTTAAATGATTGTGCAACTTTCTGCTTACATTAATCTCTCCAACTTACTCTTAAATTGAAACCAGATTATCATCAGCTGTCGCCCAACTTGGTGTTCAAAAACTGTTTTATACTGTGAACATAGCTGTACCTTAAAAGCTAAACCCCAGGCACATATGAATGAATTATTCTCATAAATATCATAAGAGGGACTATGTTGACTCGGAACAAATCACAGCCGATATTTTCAAAACTTTCTTTTTAGATATTGCTATGTTTTATGTTTAAATGATAAGATGGTACCTATCTATTTTGGTTAAGACCTATTTCCATAGTGCCTATATTAGGTAACTATTAACACCAATGCTAGGACAATCGAAATTTGCCACAATTAACTAAACATTAGCGTCAATAAGAAATGGAAAAAATGCTAACAAATTTCAGCGTATTGTGTAATCTAATACTTAAACAGATATTCTAATTTGTGTTTATCTTAGTATGTTGAATTATATGCAATAAAGAAATAAATAACATTGGATGGCAACATTATATGATGTTCTGTTAATTTTTTTTCCTTTTTCGTCCATTGATTGATAATGTATTGTACAAAAAATATGAAACATATTAATAAATCGAAATCTTAAACTTGTATTATGTTTTGCCTAAACTCTTAATGAAAAAATATTCATTAGATGTAATATTTTAATTCAAAACTAACATGGGCACATTGTCAGTTTATATATGTTTTACTTAAAGTAAAAAGTTATCTTTCTATGTTTAAGTCATTGTTTTGTGGCTCTTATAACATTGTAATATAAATTTTGTGCATTCTTTGATCTTGAGTCTTATGTAATTATTTATCTGCAGGGAACGAAAAATCAAAAGTCAAATAAAATAAAAAGGAAGGAAAAGAGCAAACCGGATGACTTGATCTCTAGTGATGATGACCTAAGGTAGCCCTTTAACTTATTATTTTAAGAAAGGAAAAAAAAATATAAGCTGCAGTGTTGTTGCTAAATTACAATTTGTATTTTATATAAAATACAATTTGTATTTTAGCAATCATTTGTATCATTTCTATTTTAGTATCATTTGTAAGATTTGTGTTAAGTAATATAGATTATCAATAAATTATTTAAAAAAAAGAAACTATGGAATCTTATAACGATAGTAGTTACTACATATATTTATTGTGTGAAATCAAATCGAAAAATATTTTTCGGCTTGAAGCCAGAGCTTAAAAAATCCAGGTTTTTTAGAAAAACTCATAAGCGCCCATTTTTTTAAAATCTTTAATTTAAGTTTTTCACATTACGAATAATAAATAACTAAAGTTTTAAAAAAAAGTAATTATAAATTAAAATTTGGGTTTTACTTCAACGAATAATTATGTACATATATAATTATATATTATTTATATACAGGTTATCCGCGCACCTGGAAAGTCATGAATTTCAATATCGAACAAAATTTGTCATGATTTTAACTATTTTTTTAATAAAAATCATGAAAATAGGTCACCGAATTTTCAAAATTGATTTAACCCTCCTCCTAATTTCATGGCGTTCCGAATATCTGAATTTGTAACAAAATCTCCACTCACAGTCATGTTTTATTAAAATATAAAATGTTTTTATCATGTTCTTTAAAAATTATGATGTTTTTTTTTTCAAAAAATGAAAGAAAAAAAACATTATTTCTAGAGTGAATTATCTTTTAAACTTCTGCGATTTCAGAATTTTTATTATTATTTTTTATTTTATCCATAGCTCATTGTAGGCAGGGTAAACAGGGCGCAGCACCCTGCTGCCCTTTTAGTCAAAAGAATCCACCCTGCTGCCCCTGAAGTAAATTAGTGTCCTGATCTAATAAGACTCCATACCCTTTTTGCCCTTTCTTTCTTCAACGCTTTATTTTTTCCCCAAACTCTACAGTGGATTTCTCAAACTTTTATTTTTAACGCTTTTTACTTAGTTTGTCATTGCTGTCAATACATAGATTTATATGAGAAAGGAAAAATAGCCAACACACCCCGTTGTTGCACTTGTCTTTGAAAGTTTGCAGTTACTTCCACTATCATTAAATCATAATTATTATTAATCATTTTAATTATTAAATCATAACTACGGACACTTAAAATCATACATTTATTCTTTTATTAATATATGCATGCATTTTAAGTAAATTACCAAGCTAATTAGCTCATTAACTCGATACATAGGTTAATTTATTAATGAAAATTAGTAATTAATATGATTGCTTTGCTACTTTTAGTAAAGTAAAAAAAATATATTTTTTTTTTACTAATTCAAGGGTCGCATTCCCCCTAAAATTCATAAAATTCCTAAAACTATGTGCAAACCCTAAAATTCCTAAAAATCTGATAAAATTTTGTTGGTGTTCCTAAAAAATTAGAGTTATAGGCTAAATATAAATAAAGAAAGCAATAATCTAAAGTATAAGAATTTAACTACATTAATTAAAACTGTTTTAATTTTGCCACATGGGAATTCTGAGAGAGGTTTTTTGATAAATAAAGCAATGCTTAATGTGAGTCACCATGAGAATACTATTATGTCTCTTAGACTAATCAAAGATACCATTCAAAATTATGGAGGAGTGTTGAAGATCACCACAACACTATTGAGGGCAGTAAAAGAATGTCACAAATCATATCAAGAATATATTAGAAAAATTTTTTCTTAATAAAGTAAGGTAAAGGGTAATAATAAAGTTTTGATTAAGAAGGTAAAAATTAAATAAAAATCCAAGTTGGTGTTAATTTATTTTTTCTCTTGATTTATTCTCACTTTTGCCTGTTCCTGAATTATGCACTTAATTTCTGATAGGTAATATGTAAAGTTGAAATTTCATTTTTACACTTTAGAGATTTTATTACTTGACTTAATAAATTTCAGAGCTTTTTTTTATGGCTTGCAATTATTTATGATATGTGTGGATGAATTGTAATAATCTTCTGTTATGTAATAAACTACCGTGTGATCTGTTTTTATCCTAGCAAAATCATATATTACCCCTAAAATTTTTTGAAAAAAGCTCCTAAAATTTTAAAAAACTTTGCTGCTACCCCTGCTAATTGACAATGTTTTTTAATAGAACGTGTAAAGCCCATGGAAAGAAATTATTGCCTTTTTATAATAATAATGCCCTTTTTATAAACTTTTGCACCCTGCCCTTTTTTCTGCCTAGAATGAGCTCTGTTTTATCAATTTAAAATTCTAGCTGAAGCAAGCGAGTCATTGGCGAAGTTTTTTCAATTCGAAAATGAGAACAGAAAAATCAAGAGTATTTCTTTTCTTTCCGATGAACAAGAAAAGTATCTTTAGATTATGATTCTGCAGAAAAGAGAAAAAAAAAATATTTGCTTTTGTATTTTTTTCAGCTATTTTATTGTTTCAACTCTTTTTTCTCTCCGTTTTTTAAAATTTAAAATCTATAAATACGAAGATGCAGAGTATAACTGTTTTAGTTATACTTATAATTTCAATTAATGTTATTATAATGCTTTTTAAATTTATTATTCTGTTTTTGTCGGGAGAAAATTGTAACTTCGTTAAGTCATGAAAAGTTCTTGGGAATAGTCATGAATTTGAAAATCTAAAATGTAGCAGATACCTTGTATATATATTTTTTTCTTCTGGTGAATTAGGCTAGACAGTTAAAAATATTTTGTTTATCTCTTAATTTGATGGATTTGCTAATAACTTTTTATTATTTTGTAGTGGAATTGATGATTATACTCAAGGGTTTTCCAGTGAAGAAGAAACTGAACAGGAAAAAAAATTGAGACTTACTAAAAAATATTTACAGCAAATTGAAGAAGAAGGTTATTACATTTATTTTTACTTTACATTATATGTTTTTTCTGTGCAATGAAGTTTCAGGTTACTCACTTTGTATTTTCACACTTTAATTTTTACTTAAAATTAAAGAAGAAAAAAATTTTGTTACAACTTGCTGTTGCAAAATATTTAAATTTAATGATCAGTGGGAAAATGAAGTGGTTGGTCAACTTAGTTGCATGTTATGTGATCAGTGTTTACTTGAATAATATTTTTCACTTTTCAAAAAGTAATTTTTATTAAAATTAAATTTATTTCATTTTCATAAATAATATTTAATAGTTTGTGTTTAACAAAGAGATCCTTTCTAATTATATTGCTTGTTAAAGACAATTCTCTTTTAGATGATCAACCCATTATAAATAATAACAAGCCATAACTATGCCTAGTATATAAGCTAAGTAATAAAAAGTTGATCTGAATGCCATACACTTAAAATTTTATACAATTTTTCGTGTGATTCCTCATTTTATTGTAATTTTTTAAAGTCTAATCGGAAAAAAGCTTGAGTAGTTAAAATAAAAACTTTTTTACCCTAAGGTCAATGAGTCTATAATAAAAATATATGTGCTAAATTTAATAATATGTTATTGGCTACGTGTGAAATGCCAGAATTTGCCTCAGCATTTTCTACAATGCTACCTTTATTACCCGTAATATGCCACACACAACCCATAATTTTATTTTTTATCCTTTTAAAAAATTTCTCCTTTTTGACTTGTAGCATTTTAATTACTATTTTTTTTTTTTTTAATCTTATTTCTGTAATGAGATGTTTATTCATAAATAATAAGTAACTTTTTTCAGATCAAATAAAGGCAGTATCCTTTGTCTTTACTGTGATGCAAATCAGAAAAAATTTAACACGATGTTTTTAATATAGAATGAAAGTTAAAATTAAGTAATCTGTGTGTTGCATTTAATGCCATGGCTGTTCTCAAATTAATTTTTTTATTTTTATTTCTGAGCTTGGTAAATGTATTGTATTCAATTCCGCGTTAACTTTTTAAAATTTCATTTGCAGAGCTTGCCAAAAATGAAACTGAAGATGCTCGAGGTGCTGTTTCACAGAGACTAAAAGATGAAGCTGTAATTATTTCATTTATATTTCTTTTTTGATTATGTGTAATATAATGCACAGATAAAATCTTATTGTATTATTTGCAAAAGATGAATTAAAATGGTTGTTAATGGAGGTTGGTCTTTCTTGGGGTTATCTCTATTGAATTCAAAATTGATTATCAAAGGTACGTGATTTTTTGTAAGCAATTTTAATTTTACTCAGTGTCATTTTTTTGGTGGGAGGTGCCACTTGCCTTGGCTTCATGAAAACCGGATTGTTGAATAAAATTTAGTTTAAATAAAAATGACCCCTAATTATGTGTAAAAATTAATTTACCATTTATGAATGATGGAACAATTTTAAATAAATAAACAATTATGTTTTTTGTTAAAATTTGTCACTTTATTTTATTTCTTAAAAATTAGTTTGCTTTAAAAAAAAAAGATGTGTGTGTGTTTGAAAGATACTTAGATTTTTCTAAAATAACTTTTTTTTTCTAATATATCTTTCAGCTCTAAAATTTTTTTTTAGTGAATTTGTGGTTTCATTTTTGTTTTCTATTTATTTATTTCAATTAATATTATTTATTTTCAGGGTAAAAGATCTGGGTTTGCTTGCCCAAAATCTAAAAGCCAGAAAATCAAAAAATAAAAATTCTAATATATTTGCTGTGAAATAAGTATCATATCTTGATAACATTTTATTTCTTCAAGATTTGCATAGCTTTAACTATTTAAACACATCTTGTTGTTGGAGATGTTTACTAATTAAAATATGTATGTCTGATTCACCTTTCGTATTCTTTTAAATAACTGAAAAATTCTTTGCTGTGTTATAAATTTGTTTGATCTCTTACTGAAGTATTTTCTAACTATTTGATATACTTAAATTTGAATAAACATCTTCCATGCCATTTTTTTTCCTTTAGAAAAACAAAAAGACGACAGTTCTAATTGGAAATTTCTTTTTTTGATTCTTAAAAATTGTTCATTTTGCTTAGTTATTTTTTTTCACCATCTTTGAAAGCTTTCTGTCAGTACTTTCATTCCTAAAGTTTTATCCTATACAAACAACAATTTTGCATAAATGGTTTTGAATATTGCTGTAAATGACAAATTGCTATCAATCGGAGCAAAAGCCTGCCAGCACTACTTTCAACTAACCATGTATTGTTTATTAAATGTTGAATGTATAAATTTCGTTTGAATAGCGATGCTTATTTTTTAATTTTTTGAGTGATAATTTTTCTTTTATTTGTTTTAGTTAGAGGAAGCAGGAAGACTACAAAAGAAAAAAGCACATGAAGTATGATTAATCTTACTACTTTTTTGATTTAATGTATGTTTTGTTATATTGTTGAGAATTTCGCAACATTTTATTATCTCCATGCAGTTTTATCTGTGTAAGTTTGAGTACATTATTTTTCCTCATCATGTGTTTAAAATGTTAGCGTGAACAATCTTAAAATGACATCGATTGATTTTAAGGTAAAATCCTGCTAACAAAGTTGGTATTTTCATGAAAAATTAATTTAATAAGCTGCGTCTTTTCAAAAATAGGAAAATAACTCTGTACGTTAATAATCAATTATTCCGCTAATATTTCGTATTAGAGGTATAACGAATATTGTTAGTTAACTAATATTAGACTAATATCGTTCTTAATTTTTAAACAAAAGATTTAACGCTAAATATCTTAATTTAACTTTTTAACATTGCCATAGTTTAAGAAAAAAGTTATCATGAAAGAATAAGGTTCATTAGAAACGCTCTTTAAAAATATGCTGTTAAAATAAAAATGCTGATATAAAAAATGTTAATTAAAAAATCAAAAGAGAAATTGTTCCTAGTTCTTAAATATAACTTGAACGTTGAGAATCATAGGATTATGGTACTAAAATTGTATTACTCTAAAATGTCTGTTTTGAAAGAGTTAAAAGTTTTAAATTAATATTTTCCATCATTTCAAAGATTACATAGTTTCAACATCTACCTCTGGATTCCACTTACAGTTAGTTGTAAAGTTGTCTAATTTAAGTGTACTATTTCAAAACTTTTTCTGAAACTACGTATTGTAATCTCTAAAATAAAGTGCAATCTAAAGTGTATATTTTTAAAAAAAATTCTGTATTTTTAGTTCTTTATTTATTTATTTTTTTTTTTTTACTATTTCAGTATGAAGATACAGTGTCTGATGTTCTCTGTGTGCTTAGAGGGCATAAACTAAGTGTCACATGCTTAGCTGTTTCTCAAACAGAAAAGTTTTTAATTTCTGCATCAAAAGATGGTTCAATCATTAAATGTAACTTATATTATTTTTTTATTACCTTACATTGAAAAGTTAGTGCATTTTATTAATTGTGAAAATGCCTTAGAAGTTTATTTAAAGTTACTTTGTTATAATATTTGCTTTTACAAAATAATTGAAAATCTCTTAAGATATACAGTATTAGAATATGCAAGATAAGAAAAAACTGATGATGGATAACCATAATATCTATCTCAGTTATTTAAGCCTTGAATTATGATTCAAGAGCTTAAATAAGGAGATTATTAAAATATAACAAAAAAAAGTTGTGGAATATTTTTTTAAAAATATACTGTTATTGACATTGAATTGTGAATCATAATTTTCTTTAATCATTGCTAATAAATAAAATAAAAAAATTGGTTCACACTAACAAAACATTTTATGGCAATGTGTAATTTGAGTTCACTTTAAAAGATATTTAACATTGTAATTGCTTAAAAGCATAGTGCTTGTATATGATTTGATTCAGTGTCAAATTATATAGCAGTACATGATTTGACATATAATTAAATCATATGTCGTCCCTATGCTTTTAAAATGTAGTGTTAGACTATGGTTAATAGTGTTAAACTGTATTTTTTTAGAATAGTTTTATTTTATATATTCAAAGATGCCAACTGCTCCGAACAAGACAGAATATTTTTAAAAAAAACGGTAGAGAGCTACAAACTAAACTTTGAAAATTTTTAGCTAATTTTGCTGACTTTTTAAAACTCTCAATAAGGCTCAGATGCAACAAAGTCACATATCACATAAGTCTTTGAAAAATTTAGATGAAGTGGTAATTAAACACCCTATCGATCAAATTTACTAAATCAACAATAGTACATTGAAAGACTATCATTCCAAAATATTTATCTGCTGTCCGGAACAAGTTGGCATCTTTGTATATTAGTTTTCAATGCCATATTGTTTATTGTATTAAACAAGTATTTATTTAAGAATTTAAATAGTGTAATTCAAAAAGTTAATGCTTAATAAATCAAAGATTAATTAATAAAGTTTGTGATTGTGTAGGGAGTATAGAAGAAAAAAAGAAAATCAAAACCATACCTGGTGGAAAGAAGGGCAGTGAAGGATATATTGGCCACACCGACCAAGTTCTTGCTATCTCCCTTTCAACAGATGACAAATTCTTGGTTAGTTTTCCCTTATTTATATTAAACGTAAGAATGAGTAAACAATGTTAATTAAATTGGTTTTGTAATAATATACATTGTAGTTATAATTTATTCTTGTTTGTTTCTTTAAATGTATGCACATAGTCAATTGAATTATCAATTAAATTGCTTTGTGATTTTATTTTATATTGTGGTTATAATTTATTCTTGTTTGTTTTTAAAATTTGCTTGCCTAACATTTGCTTTACTTGTGTACATCCAGTGTTAGTTTTACTTATATATCTAATCATTTCTTTAACTTTCTTTTTTTTTAAAAACTGCTTTTTGGCATTTATGGTATTGAAAAGTTTTTTTTGTATTTGTTATGGTTAAACAAGACAGGTGAATACTGGCCAACTTTAAGACGCACAATTCTAAGCAGTGTTATAATTTTTTTCTTCTCAAGATGCAGTAAAAAAGGTAACTGTTGCTTTCCTTTCAAAATCTTGAAGTTATTTAAGACATTAGAAATGCTTTGAATTGTGTGTTTTAAGATTATATTAATAGCTTTTAATAATTTTTTAAAAATTTTCTGTCTTTATTGGTTAATAAAATTTCATATTTATTTTCCTCTTCCTCTTTTCTAATAGTTACTTCCTGGTTTAGAATACACTTAATAAAATTACAATTTTGTGTTAAATTCAAAGGTCACTAATTGAGTAAATACTTAAGCTAAATATTGGTTGTTTGTTATTTTACACGCTAAGATTTTAAGTTGCCAGCTATACAAGTATTGTTTAATGTTTGTTACCTAAACCTTTATTTATTTAGTTCAAAAAATTTCAGAAATTTATTATAATTGTTATTCTTTTTATTTTTCAGGCAACAGGCGGAAGAGATAAAATTATAAATATTTGGAATCCTGATACTATGGAGCGTATTCATACATTCAGAGGTCATAAGGATGCTATTACTGTAAGTTATTGTGTTTATATTATTTTATAACTATATATTTATCATGCACTGTAGTATTTTTTTGCTAGGTAGCACCATTTTAGTTTTTTTTTCTGAAGTAACATGATTTATTTACCATGCATTAATTTAATTGTGTACATTTTTTATTAACTCCTAAAGATATGTTAAACATTTCGACCTGAAACATCTTTTTGTTTGTAATTTTCATTACTGTATGCAAAATTAATTTGATATAGTTAAATTTTGAAATATGTTTAAACATACCATTTTCTCTTCATTTCTTGTAAGATTTTATATATTTTTTAATTTTTTCAATTCAAACTTTTTAAGAAAGTTGTGTTAATTTAGAAAGTTACTGAAATCTGTCTTAGTTTGTTTTAAACCAATTAATTCTCAAACATTGTCTCACTAATAAAATTCTGCTTTCCAATCAGCCTGTTTCTAACAGAACATAATTTTTTTTTCCATTGGTATATAAAATGTAAAAAATTTCCACTTGAAAAACTCCTTCTGTTTTGGGCGCAAATTGCACCCATGCGTTTCACTCTGTTGTTTTGAATCCTCAAAATGGTCTATTCAAATTAGATCAAACACATAAGTAAAAAAAGTGGAGAATCTTTTGAAAAAAAAATTTCATTTGAGGTAAAATCAAGACATTTTGAAATACGGGCAATGCATTTAATCATAATCAGGGAATTTTTAAATATAAACAGACCTATACTTTGTGCAAGTCTTAAAAACCTACCCTCATTCATATTTAAGACTCAGTGTCTACTAACAAAAAATGTTATACAAGTTTGCTGGCTTCTCAGGAACTCAAAAAGTAGGGCCTCATCAAAGTAATTTTCTTGAGGACCAGTGGTGTGCTGAAGGTCATATGAAAAATCTTTAAGTGTTTTCTTGTACCAGTGACCAAGCTATGGTCAGCATAATTTACTGGGTTTTAGGTACACGTAAGAAAAGTTTTGCTTAATTAAATACTTAACTCTCAGGGGTCGGTCCAGGCCGAATTTGCTACTGTTTCGCAGTACCTTCACAAATTCAACTTTAGGAAAAACGGTAGTTTCACAAATTCAGTTTTAGGAAATTTCACAAAATACTTTTTCGTAGAATTTTATTTTTGTATCCCTTAAGAAACAATAAATCCGTATTTTTACCAAATTTTTGTGTTGATTTTTTAATATAATTTTACATTTTTCATAAATTATGTCTACATTTTCACAAAATAGGTACCTCTCAGAAAAACCTAGACAGACCCCTGACTCTTTTATTTTTAAAAGACATACGCATGTCTATGTTAAACAAATTTTCTATTTTACTGTGAATGTGATAAAGTTACAAGAATAATTCTAGAAGCTTACTCATGATTTTATAATTTTCGTCAGTCTCCGGTTTGGATGTATATGCCCACGAATGCTTTTCCTGCTTCTTTGTTTGAGTAATACCCAAAACTCAGTTTCTATAACCATATATGGTAGCTATTAATAAAAAATTATTTTAATAAAATATAGATTGTTTCTTTCTAGGGTCTAGTATTTCAAAAAGGAAGTCATCAATTAATCAGTGCATCAAGTGATCGATCTCTAAAACTTTGGACTCTTGATGAAATGGGCTATATTGAAACATTGTAGGCTACTTTCTTTTTCTTTTTTTAAATTTTTTAGTTTTCTTTATTTGTCTAGCTTTAATAGAAATGCATTCAAATTGTGGAATTTTTTTTATTCATTTGCTGAGCATAGCTGTTTATTTTGTACTATTTATTGTATTTGTTTATTTTTCTCTTTAGATCATGTGTTTGAATAAAATTTTAATTTAGTTTAACATATTTTTTCCAGGGAATATATCTTGACATTTTATATTAATTTATGCTTGGCATTTTTCCATTTAAATACATTTTCATTGTAGTTATTTGTATTTTTTCTTTCTTTCTTTGCAGATTTGGTCATCAAGATGCAATAACCGATATTGATTGTTTTTTCACTGAAACAGCTTTAACAGCTGGTGCCAGAGACAATACTGTACGGATTTGGAAAATTGTTGAAGAATCTCAGCTTGTATTTCAAGCTAATGGGTGAGAAAACTTTAATATTCCATATAAAGATTGTCTCTTTTGAATTTAAGGCAATAGAACAAGGTGACCAATTTATTCTTGAGACAGAAAAAACTTGAAATTCTTCGGAACTTGGAAATACTTAAGCTTAGAAATCCCTGGAAACTTGACTCTCATCTCAGGAAGCTTTTGGAATATTTAGATTTAGCAATATTTTTTGTCTTATTCATCCCAATGAATATGGTATCACTAAACTCATTTTTAATTTTATTGCAAATGTTTTAATCTATTATTATGCCTTTTTATGTAACCGATTCTGTCTTTTAAAATTTATTCAGTGTCACTTGCATTTATTCATTTATTTATCTTTTTGTCATTTGAGATATTCCAATAAATCTTTCATTTTCAATTTTTAATTAGTAATATCATTTTTCTTAATGCTTTCATTTTCTTTCTTAACTTGATTTTGCAACGTTTTCCTAACCTATGACCACTAGCTAACATCCTACAAGGCATGCAAACTAACACAAACAAGCCATTTAAAAGTTAATAGGCATCCTGCCGAATATATATTTTAAAAAATCACTTCTCCTCCTTGATAATTTGTATGTATTGCTTTGGTAGTTTGTTTGTATTTACATGCAATGCTTGGTAATTTGTACATCTATTACTTTTGTTTTTTATTTTTTGTTCATTACAGAAACCATCGATATTAATTTTCATTTTGTCTGCATATGTAGTCCATTTTTTTAATGTCTAATGCCTATATTAGTTTTTTGCAAATAATGCATTAAAAAGATTTCCTTTTTTATTTCTAGGGCATCAATAGATTGTGTATGTGTATCAAGTTATCAGAGTTTTGTGTCTGGAGGAGATGATGGGTAGGTTTAGGTTCTTTAAAAACATTCACTAAATTTTTTCTTTCCTCTTGAAAAATTATTGATTATTTTTTGAAATTATTATTTAAAGTCCCAAAATTGTATTCTACAAGAGATGCTATTTTTATAATTATCAACTAAAAACACATGTTTTATTCTTTAAAATTTATTTATTTATATTTGAATTCAAAGTTTAGTGTCTGGAAGACATAGTGGGTTTGCTTAGTATCTTTAAAAACATTATCAAAATGTAGATTTTTTTTTCTCTAAAAATTATCACGTACAGTTATTGTTCATTATTCAATTTTAGAAACAATCTTTAAAAACATTCACTTCACAAAGAATTTCTTTAAAAATCATTGATTATTTAAAACTAAGTTATTTTCCAAATAATTTATTATCCATTCCCCCTGTTCAGGGCAAATATTATAGAATTTAGCTCCTTAATATACAAAGAATCTCATTAATTAGTGTGCGCACAAATCAGGTTATTGCTGGAAATTCTTATAACTTTAGAAGGACAGAAGTCTGGTTATTAAAGTAAAACAACCTGCTTTTTTATAACAATATAATTAAATATATTTAACAATATGATTAATTAAGAAACTAAAAATGAAGTGATGAACTACTATAATTTAATTATCCAAAAAAGTTCAATTCCTTAATGGTAATTATTGAACTTTTATATCAGAAAATGTTCCAGTATGTGCTTTAAAATATAAATAATTATATAATAAATTCTTATAAGTCAAAATTTTTTTTTGCTTGTTTTTGTTATACAATACTCATATTGTATAGGCATTTTTTTTCTCTTATAATGAACTAAAATAAAACCAAAGACTAGCCAAACTTTTATCAATATCAATGTTCTAAAATATACCATTTTTAATGTGGGTGCAATTTGTATAGATTATTATATGCAATACTAGTGCAATTTTAATTATTTCCTAACTGCTATATGAAATTGTTAATGATCATAATTGAAATGTAATTATTTAGAGTAGTTATGAAAACAGACTATTATAAAAATATATGAATTAAATCTCTTTAAATAAGCATTTTGATGTTTCATACTTTTTTGAATTGTAAATATGCAATTAGCTGCAATCTAGAAACTCTGTCCAAATAGTTAAAATCTGGAGTGAAGTTGGAAGTTTCTGGCTAAATTATTAATGTTATTTTTAACATGCTTCATCAGATCTCTGGAATTATTCACAGAAATCCATTGACACAAGAAGTTGATAATTATATATTTTATTTTTGTGTTGCACATTATTTAATGAAGGTGATGTCTCTAAACCACAGACACAGTAAAAATTTTGTATTTTGACTTTGTTATAACCTTATTGGTTTTGTTTTTTCAGCTCACTGTTATTTTGGGGCATTCATAAAAAGAAGCCGATGTTTAAAGTGCCTTTTGCTCATGGCTGTGATCCTGAATCAGAAGAACCAAATTGGATTACATCATTATGTGCCTTGCAAAATACAGATCTTGTTGCATCTGGTGAGATTTATGCATAATCCCTCAACCATTTTCAGAATATTTGAACGATTTCATTAATTTTAATAGAATTTATGTTATCAATATGTTTGATCGTAGTGTGATCACATTTCTCTAAGCTATTTTTCAAAAAATGAATATTGAATGCATCATTGCAACTTTCTGAGAAAAACTCATGTGGTATATGATTTCTTAGATTATTTTTATGGTTCCTTAAGTTTGTTAGTTTATGGTTAATTTTTATCTAATATGGGAACTTCCTTGAGAGACAATTTTATATTTAATTTTACATTTTGATACTTTTGAATGAATTTTCATTTTACACAGGGTGTGTAGCATTTTTAAAAAGTGCTTAAATGTGCTTATTTTTAACAAAAATTTTTTAAAAGCCCTTAAAGGTGCTTTACTTATTGAGGGTTTGTAAAAACTGCTGAATTTTCTATCTTTCCTAATGAGATTGTTTTTTTCTTCTTCTTTGCCTTGTTGATTGTCGCCATGAATTGCAAAAAAAAAAGCATAATTTTCATTTTTTTTTTTTTTTTTTTTTTTTTTTTTTTTTTTTTTTTTTTTTTTTTTTTTNTTTTTTTTTTTTTTTTTTTTTTTTTTTTTTTTTTGCAATATTTATCAGAAACTAGTTATTTTATCATGATTATGTTAAGTCTTTGAAAATGTTTTTGCATTTTGGTGATTTTATGTTAATAAATTTGTTATTAAACAAGTAGCAATATTAAACAATAGATTGTAATATTAAACAATAGAGGGAAATATTTTTTATTACTTCACACATCCTAATTATGATTTTTTTTTTTTTTGGATAATGATTAAAAATATTTTTTGAGTGCTTATTTTTTGTTGAAAATTCTGGCTACACACCCATTTTAATGTTATGAAAAATGGCTTCATGAAAGAAAAAAGATACATATCAGCTGGGTTGCAACTAATACAGAAGAATGAAATAATAATGTATTTTTAGGGATGTCTTTCTTCTTATTGTTGCTTTTTAACTTTTTCCACTTCCACAGTAATAGATTTATCATAGCCACTTTAACTTTGAAGAACTTTATTTTTTCCATGTTGTTAAGGCTTTAATAAAATTTGAAATTACTTAAAGATAATTTTACACAGTTATATCATACAGAAAAATTCTTATCAAAACACAAGCAAACAGTTATGGAAAAATCTCTAACTAAGTAAAGAAATGTGTTTAAAAGATAAAACTGAATTTTCCAGGGTTTTTTATATCAATCTTTTAAAAATAAAACTGATACTCTTTCTCCCGAATGAAGCAAGATAATTAGAATAAACATCAAAACAACCGACATTTTTTTAAAAAACAATAGAGCAAAATTGAATTTAAAAACAACGTTCTTTGAATGAAGTCACATTTCACGTTCCATCAAATTGATTACAGGGTCACATGGTATAAAGCGGGTATAAAATCAAGCTTTTTTTAAAGAAGGCTCTAAAACCAAACCATTAAATTTATTTTACTGAAAATTTTGATGTATTTTACATACATTGGATTTATATAGATTAAATATAGTATAGCTCTAAAATTAGTGTATGTTTCATTAAAATTAGTGTATATTTCATTAATATGCAAATGTTGTTTTAGTAATAATAATGCTCTTAAATAAATGTATCATGATTATATTTAAAAAAGCAAATGCAAAAAAAAATTTTTTTTTGTATTATTAAATTAAAGAGTATTTGTGGCTGTTAGAATTGGGCTTCACTTCAGATGCAGTATATTTTGTAGAATTTTATATAATTTCGTCAAAAAGTATGAAAAGTCTAATAGTTTTTGATTTATTTGAAGTATATATGATATTTATAGCAGACCTATTTTTATTGAATATAGTTACTTTAAGGAAATTGCTTTGTTTTCCATCAAAAAACTACCACATGAAGGCAGAAACTTGTGTGAAAACCTATCTATATCTTTAAATGTGCTCATTAAGTGTTACTATTATGCTATTTTTGGCAATTTTTTTGAATTGTGTAATATAAATGTTATATTGTTATCAATGTTTTCATTACAGAAAAAAAAATGGGAGAGAATTTCTTACCCTTTCTCAAAAACAGGGTGAGATTTCAGAAAGTTAAGTCAGTTTTCTAAAATTTAAAAAAACACGAATTGACTTGAAAAAGAATTATTTCTTTAATTATAATACATTTTTAACATCTTCTAATTGAATATTTTTGCTGCATCATCATATGGAAAATGTTCTATATCTACTTTTTCATCAGTTATTATATTTATTTGGCTGAAAAATACCCATATTTGTTTTGTTTTGACCGTTTCTACCGACATTTGTTTAATTTTCATTTGTCCGTTACGGAGTAGAAGATGTCGCCTTAACGAGGTATTTGTCCATCTTACATTTATGCAAAAAAAAAAAAAAATAGAAACGTCTTACATGAAGAAACCTTACCTACGGTGAACACATGGTTGCAGAGAAATGTGTTCTGAAAGGGGTTCGGTGGTTCGGGGGGGGGTGTTCTGTTGCTCGCACTGGTTCTGAACAATACTGGTAAATAGGAAAGCTAGATAACAAGGACCGATTTTCAAAATAATGAAAGATCAAGGAAGAAAAGTGAAACAAATTTTAATCAAAATGGCAAAAGACGAAATTTTTTCCAAAATTCATGCATTTTTAAATTGATTAATAGAGTGCGTGAACTTCTCGCGTTAACCATTTTTTATTGCGTGAAAAGAAAAAAATATGCGAAATTCTCGCGCTGTAGTGAAGACACTGGTTATTTCCTCTATCATTCTTCTCTTTAAAAAATATAACTTGAAATAAATTTTGTTTCTAGCATTAAAATTTCTATATAGGACTAATCAAACAAGCAAATTTTTTTTGGCTATTTCACTATAAAATATAGAGCAGCATTAGATACTTCTAGGGCTAACACAGATTTTAAAAAAAATTCCCTATCATATAAAACAGTTAGCTAAGCCTTACCATATACCTACTTTACCCCACCTCTGAAAACAATTCGTAATAAATAGAATTTTGAAATTTATTCTTTAATTTCTATGTCGATCTGTTCTTTAGATGTCCCTCTGCCAGTTTGAACTCAAATTAATAGTTTTTTTTTACAGTTTTTATTGATATTAGAAGAAAGTTCATCAACAGCTTAAACTAACATGCTTTATATGTAAATCATAAACAGATAGTTTGTAAACATGAATTTTTTTTAACTGTTTCTAAAACTGAAATAAAAATGCTTGCTGCAATCCCAGTAAAGGTCTCAAAAGATATAGAATAAATCATTTCAACTTAAAACTAGAAAATAGATGCTTATTAACATGTACCCACTTTAACCCACCTGTCTCCATATTTCAATTATAAAGTGTATTTTTATACTTGTTATTTAAATTGAAATTTTATTTTAAATTTTTTTCTTTTAATTCATTTAGTCTATTTTTGAAAACATTAACAATGTAATTGCTGTATGTGGCAGGTCAACTAATTGCTCTTTCTTCAACTTACTCAATGTCTGTTTTGTAAGCAAAAAAACAGACAGTATGTGAGTTAGTTGAAAATATTCTATTTTTAGTATGTTGACTTTAATATTATGTGTAACATTATTTTCAGGTTCAAATGATGGCTACATTCGTCTATGGAAGAGAGATGATGAAAATCACTCTCTAATACAAGTGTCTGAAATTAAAATGGTAAACATAACTTATCTTTATTCTCTTCTTCTGTATATTTATTATCTTTAACTTAGCTTATCTTATTATGTACTTATAATTTATCTTAATTTATTAAAAATTAAAATTTTTTATTGTTATTTATTTTCTTATCTTTTGTACTGATCTTATCTACTATTTACAAAATGAAATATTGCAGAACAAGTAATTACCAAATACAAAATGTAGTAAGAGGGCACTAGTGTAATTGCTTTTTATTTTCTAAAAGATAGAAAAGATTTGAATTGAACCTTTACAAAATATGTAATTATGTAATTTTAAGTGCTAAATTTAAATTATGTGTTTTGTTTAAAAAATGTGGCTTTTTTTTTAAATTTTTACTTATAGCAAAATTGAATAGTTCCTCCAATATATAATTTACATTACTTAGAGATTTATTTCATTGACTTATGAATAAAATGCTACTGAGGAATCTTTATGCAAATTTGTTTTTATATACTTGTTAAGTATTATTGTAAACGATAATTTATCTCATGAATTTAAATAAGTTTTTTATTCTCTTTTAGGAGGGATTTGTAAATAGTCTCCGTTTCACACCTTCTGGAAAATATTTAGTTGCTGCTGTAGGTCAAGAACACAGGCTTGGACGATGGAGGCGGATTAAACCAGCTAAAAATTGTGTTGTAATATATTGTTGGAATAAAAGTTAATAATATTTTATTTTAAAATGCTTTGAAGACTTTATGTGTGAAAAAGATAAGGAAAAAGTTTAAATTTAAAACATTTTTAAATCTGCATTATTTTTACAATGATTTTCATAACATTCAAAATAATCACAATGATTTTCACATTCATGGACTTAATAATTTCTTAAATTGTCAGCTGATTTAACCACACATGTGATTACTTGTATATTACTAAAATAGCTTTAGTTGCTCGAAGAATTTATTTTTAATGTTTATATATTTTTTTAATGTAATAGGATTTCTGAGAATATTCCATTAAAGTATAGCTTTTTCATATAACTAATCAAAAACAACTAATGTAATAAAAAGATGTGCAATGAAACTACCTTAAGTGATATTGTATTTTATTAAATCGATGAATTTTCAAAATATTCAAGTGACGAAAAATGGCAATAAGAAAAGGCTATTTAAAAATCTTTAAAACTCTTATATGATCTGGAAAAAAAAAAGAGATCCATGCAAAAAAAGTAGGACCCTATATCTCAGGAGGTTTGTGACTTTTCCGTGGATATATTTTTTTTCTTGCAGAATTCCATGTATCTAACGACTATTGGCTTGCAGACTTCTGCGAATCAAAAACTCGTAATCCAATGAAATTTAGAAACTTTTGCTAAATCCTCTTAGCTAGACGTTTACATGCCGCCAATTTGATTATTTTGATATGGCGAATTTTCGCCATTTTGAATATTTGGAACTGCTCCGAAATCTGCTAATATCGCAATTCTTATTCACTCTATTTTTAATATCGAACATCGATTTTCATATTTTCCTGATTTAAAAGTTGCATGTTGCGATTCGTATTTACGCGATTTAAAAATCGTTAACTGCTATACCTATTCATGCAATTTAAAAATCGTACATCATGATTTATATTAAATCTGCAAACCTTTACTGTTATTTAAAAGCTAGAAAAATAAACAGTGAACCGAAGACTTTATTTTATAAATCCAGATGAGAAATTTTCATTTAAGTGATATTTGCATGGCAGGCTTAATTAAAGGTATATTGAAAGTTTTGAACCGTATTATCAAACACTTGAAAGAAGGCATTTGAACATAGGAACTCAATAGATGGGAATGAAAGAATCTTGAGGAGGTTAAGGCATACAATGGGCTGTAACGAAAATGAAGAATATCTGTCTTGTCTATATATGTCTCAAATAATGTTTTTAAAGGACTTTCCTTAACTTAGACTTTTGTGACTTCATTTTTAAAATGATTCTATTCCCTTAAAATAGCTAACTACTTCCTTAAAATAGCTAGAGAACAATTCGTCTTGTAATTATTTAAAAATTCAGAAAAATATCAAAAACCGAAACTGTTCCATTGAGTTACGTCCACATATTACGCACAACATTTCTGATCTAGAATTACGTAAATGATAAAAAACTAAACCATTCAAAATAATTTATTAACAAAAATACACTAAAACTTTATTCGTGAAAAGTCATGAATCTATACTTCTGAAAATATGATTTTATTGGTTTCAGCACCATGTTCATATGATATTAAATTTGCAGTATATGAGCTTTCTATTTTATAGAATTGTTCTTTTAAATTTAAACACCATATTGTTCTGCCTGAAGTTCTACCATGGAAGATAAGCTATGCGTTGAGTAATATTTCAGCCCCGTTTTTTTTTTTTGTTGTTTCCATTAACAAAATCACAATTTTTTCCGAGTCCATGAGTCGGCGAAATTTAATCGATCGTAATTGTCGTTTCAGTACCTTTAGAAAAAGTGGTTGGTGACACCTCGGCTTTCGCTGATGAACTCTCCATTTCTGAAATTGAGGACAGATGCAGTTCCAAATCTTCAGTTTTATCGTTTTTAGTGATGGTAGCACCCGGCAGCATCGTAGATTTTTGATCTTCTAATTTATCACTATTAGATTTAAACAGAGAAGCTATAATAGTTGGTGTAACAGAAAGATCTGTTTTATCCGCTACTGGTGTTGTAATTTTATCTTTAACTTCAACGACTACTGTTACAGTTTCAACTGATTCCGTTTTTAAAGAATCTTTTGCCACATAAAGGGCGATTTTTTCAGTTGAATCAGAATTTGAAGTTAATTCGGTATTTACTAATTTTTCATCAATAACTGTTGAATGCGAAATGGTTTCTTCCTGAATCTTTGGGGTGGTTAACGTATCACTGGAAGTTTCTTTACTGTACAGAAGTTTTTGTGGTTGCTGAGTTTGGTTTTCTTTTTGTTCAGTTGAGCTTTCTTGTTCCGTTTGAGTATTTTGTTCCTTCATTTCAGTTACACTTTTTAGTGCTTCCGATTCAGTTTCGCTTTTTTGTTCTTTCGATTCAGTTTCGCTTTTTTGATCTTTCGATTCAGTTTCGCTTTCTTGATCTTTCGATTCAGTTTCGCTTCCCTGCTGGTTTGTGTCATCAAATTTTAAGCTTTTACCGTAATCAGATGACAGATTTCCCGACTCCAAATTATTACTGGGTTCTTCCGGTTCGACATCAACATTTTCAACGGCTACTGGTATTTCAGGTTGGGAACTGACTTTGGTCGAAAGTTCGGATTTAACCGATTCTTCCTCATCCGAATCTATTTTTGGTGTGAAAACTTCATGATGAGTAACAGATTGTTCAGTGGTGTCAGCTTCATCAACTTTTAACTCATCATTTTTGACTGAAATTGTTTCTTCCGCTGCTTTTTCTTCAATATCTGAAGTACCTGACTCGATTGGGTTTATATTTTTTTCCGGAATATTTTCCTCTGAAGACTTTTCAGATGATTCTTCGTTCACGGTTTCGTCGATGCTTACTGCCTCTGGATTAAGTTGTAACAATTCTGGTTCTTTTGTTTCAATTTCGAATATTTCTATGACTGTAGTGTCTATATTTTGAGCTTCGGTTGTGTCTTCAACATATGATACACCAGGAACAATAACTGAAGTAGGAACTATTGTTACATCAACTTCTTTGTCTTTTAAATAAGGATTACTTCCATCAAATTGATTTTTTGGTTCTGCTACAAAAAAAAGGAATAAATATACTGTTAGTAACTGTTACAAACAAATAAAGCAAATAATCCATACAAGGTGTTCATAAAGCATCACGTCAGTTAAATTCACCTGATCGTAAGAAAAATTGTAACTCAAAAAGGCAACATATTATTTAAATGTTGAGCCAGTTTTTAACAGTACCCGACACCGATCATGGCAGTGAAACTATAAACAACATGATAAAACAGCTGAAAATTTAACGATGAATAAAATTTTTTAATAGAATTTGGAACACAAATAAGATCCTACTAGCTATTCCTACATTTATCCAAAATTCGGCCTTTTGAAACCTCTATATAACTAACGCCTCTCTATCGCTTTCAAAGGATAAAGAATCGGATAAAATAAGACGTGGGTCTTGATTTTGCGGAAAATCGCAAAAACTGTTCCAGTAGTCTGTTCTAGCTTGAAATTGTAAAATGTCTACTCATGGTTTTGAAATTAAGATCCTGAAAAAAACACAAATAATGTGTCTTCTAATGAGTATTAAAATTATACATTAAAGAGGTCTGTTGACTGTTTTTTTAAAAGAAAAGTTTTGTGAATTGTCCGTTTTCGTGATAAAATATTTTGTGAATTGTCCATTTTAACTATAAATATCTTGCGGAGGGTCTATTTTTACTATAAAATATTTTGTGAGGTCTCTGTTTAACAATAAAATATTTTGCAAAAGATCCGTTATAACGATATATTCTGTGCGTACGATAAATTCCGTCAAACGATAAAAAATAAATAAAAAAAATTCTAAAGTAACTTTTGCCTTAGTAACAAAAATGTGCCCCTTACCAGTGCAGTTGGTATAGCGAGGACAACATTCGCCTGGTACATATTCTGGTGCACAATCCACTCGGAAGAAGCAATCTATAAAGGCGCAGGCTATTGAACTACCCTGGCAATGGCAAGTGTAGCATGGATTTTGGGAATCTCGAATTTCGTCACCGTCCCGGTACATTCTTCCATTGTGCTCACAGCCTAAAATAACGGAAGATGTAATTAGTGTTTGAATTGAATTTTTGTCATCATTAACTAAATATTTTAGTTTTTATAAGTTCCTTTGATCTAATATTGTATCGATAGGGTATTTTGCGAAAGGGCAAACTGATGAAACTTTTTCACCCAGTACACAAACTTAGTTTTCAGATTAGTTTCGTGATAAACGGACCAGGCCCGTCGAGACAAATCCCCCCCCCCCGAAATTCTGGGATTCAAACTTTTTAGTCTTTCTTTGAGCCTCTCAGTAAAAAGAAAAACAAAAACTGTCGAATCAAACCTTTTCCCAGTATACCACATTCGCTAGTGAATCATCTTTCCTTCGGTTAGACTCATCCCCCGAAATCAATTGTTTTGCAGAAATCAATTGTTTTTGTCATATTAATTTATGCAATTTCCGACATATTTTGTCATATTAATTTATGCAATTAATTATGCAGATTTCATTGACATCGAAAACCTCATGGGAGAAATGGTAGTATGGGCATCAAAGTGGAACCTGCTTGAACCCCTTAGTACCGTGTTTCCCAAAGTGTGGTACGCGTACCCTGAGGGGTACAGGAACAGTTTAGCGGGGGTACGTGTTCTTATGCGAAATATCTTGCAACAAGCGAAAATTTCACAAAAATTTATTTAAAAACAAAGCTAGCCATGAAAATTTAAGATTACGTATTTTTCTATTGGCTATTTTTTGCCGAGTTAACAGTTAATAATTAGGGGTATCAACAGCCAATTGTGATTTTTATCTTTTGGGAAATTTTTTTTCAGTAAAAAATACATTCATTTTGTTTTAATGGTACACAGCGTTACGAAAAATTTAGAAAGGGTACACAAAAGTAATAAGTTTGGGAAACACTGCCTTAGTAGACCAGATTCGGCACTTTCAGCAATGGAAGAATGTGATAGTATCTTTTTCCCAAACATTTATTGCTTGTTATCAATATTGGCTACGTTGCTAATCACCACAGCAACTGCAGAAAGAACTTTGTCTACTCTTAAACGCGTAAAATCAGCAACAAGAAGTGCTACTAAAGAAGAAAAGCTTACAGGGCTAACTTTATTAAGCATATTTCGGGATATTCCGGTTTGTCCTAAAAAAGTAATCGAAAAATTTTCTTCAAATCCCCGTCGCATGTCTTTGTAAACTTTGTTTACAAATTGATTATAATTATAATGTATATATACTTGCGAGCTGAATGTTTGCCATGACTGCTTCAAATAAAGAATTTCTAATGCACTTCTTTTTTTTGATTTTACTTTTTTTAAATTTTTTTTTGATTTTTCTGTTAATGAAAAACGAAAAACATAGTTTCCTTACCGCAAACGTAGTCAGGACAGCAATGTCCTGTTCTTCTAACAGCTCGACATCCAGGTTTTACTTCGCACTCTTTCAGAACACATGCAAAGCCAGGCGGTCTGCACTTGCAAGCCTCACATGGGTCATCCGTTGGAATAGGATCGCCATTAGAATACACTGTGTTGTCCACTACGCAAGCTGCATTATGGGAAAAAAAAACACATTAGCATCAATGTTTTTGAATGCAGAAACAAGATAATAAAAGTCATAAATTTGATGCAACACTACATATTACACAATTAAATAAAACAACATGGCAATAACAGTTTTAGTAATAAAAATAAGCTTTTAAATTTTAAATTAAATATATAGTAATAATAATAAAATACTATCTTTATTTTACTAGATATGATGCAAATTTAATAAAATGAGTTTTAAAGTGTTTAGAAAAAACAAATACTCAGTTACTTGCAAAACAATTTTTCACTTACAGGATAAAATTAGTGAACATAACTTAAAATTTAAGGAACCTGGGTTTTAAAAATTCAGAGCCCTTGGTATGTATGTTAGAATGCGAATTTTTTTTACTATCTCAAATTTAGAAGTTTAGGTAATTAATATTCTTTTTTTATCATTTGCATTTGATAATAACAAAAAAAAAAAACATTTATAAAAAAAAATAATAAATTTTAGGTTTTTAGAAATTTTTCACGGCTAATTGGCAAAGAAAAAAAAAGCTGTGTGATACGATATGTAAGGTCAATCAAATTCAAGTATTAGGTTGAGCTGAATTTCTTGCACATTGAAAGTATGTTAAAGAAAATGCATTAGAAATTGTAAGTTACTGAGAATTAAAAATCTAATTTCCATATAAAATGTGAGGGGTACGCATCTGTCTAAGAAAAGCATATTTGATTTTGCTTATAAGGTAAAATGCAATTATAGTGAATAAAAATCCACGACAAAAAAAAATTACTGCATTATAATAATAAATATACTGCTAATATAGATTTATTATTATTTAATGATTAAAATAGATTTGTTAAAAAAATATTTTTTAAATATGTATCTATGTTTTAAATATGTAACTATCTTAGTACCAAGTGTGTATACATAAAATTTTTTATTCATATTAAAAAAATGGTAAGAAAAATGTGCGAAATTAAAAATTAATAAACTATCCTTTCGACAAAAAAGCGACTTTTTTTAAAGTTTACTTGCTATCTTTCTTATAATAGTTTAAGAATTCGATAAATACTTGCTTAATTTTAAAGAATTGTTTGTCTGACAGTTATTAAAACTAATGCATTGAAAATATGTAACATCGGGAAATTGCACCAAATGCAATAACGTCATTTCAAAGGCACATAGATACCTAAATGTTGGGTTCAGAATACCCATAAACCTATTATATTTCATGCACATGTGTTTAAAATATCACGAACAATTAGTGAATAAATAATTTTCCATTGGGGCTACTCATACCAGTAATGATTTAATTTAAAAGAACAAAACTAACCTACTAATCTCGTAAAAAAAAAGAATGGCTAGACTGATTTATTCGATTCTAAAAACCGCTTCCAGGGAAATATGCGATTGTTGTGCATTGTTTGATTTCCATATGTCTGAAGATGCATTTTGAGTTATGTAAAGTTTTTCTTTTCTCGCAGCTTCATGTAAACGGGAGAGGGGGAGTGCGTTGTCTGCTAACGAAAACGCAGACACGAGTCACGGTTCTGTAAGATCGAATTAAACTTAATGATCTAAAGTGTGGGATATTCTGAATGCGACAGTGTTATTCACGTGGATTTCGTAATAACGTTTTAGTTTTACAAATCTCGAAGTATTATTTTACAGACATTGCCAGCCAAACTGATTCTCATACATTGTTAATTAGGTTAAAAAAAAAAAAATTCGGATCTTAAAAAATTTCAACTCTTTAAAGTATATGAATATATGACAAAATATAATCAAAAATAAAATATAAATTTTAACTTTAAAAAAAAAAGTGAGATGGTTCGTTGTACGTGATAAATTTTGCCACTCAAAGCAGTATTTTGAATCTGAAAGCAATGTTTAGAATGTTTAAAAGTTGGAATGTTGCTAGTTTGGAATGCTTAAAAATGGTCTATATGCAAGATTGTTTAAATATTTTCTAGGTTTTCGTTCGTTTAAAAAATCTCTTTGAAAATCCAAAATTACTCTTCCTTTTTTTTTTTTTAAATTGTCAGACACTTTAAAATTACGAACATTATTTCTAGAATAATTAAAGAAACAAAATTCATAAATTAAAAAATAAATAAAACTAAACTTCAGAAAGTACACAAATAATAAAAAAAAAATTTCTAGAGGAATTTTTTTTCCGTTCAATGTCGTAATAAGAGATTTTCGAGAGTTCAAGTATGCTTAGATACCGAAATTTACCTTAGATGAAGAAATTGAGACGTCCTATAATCTACAGCAGGGGTTTCCAACTTACATGAGGCCGGGGGCCGCAATTAAAAACACCAGTCAAATGGCGGGGCGCAACTTTATCAAAATTTTATATAGGACTCTTATGCTTGAAAGAATATTAAATATTACTGTCAGATTTTTATCAAGTTGTACAAAACAAACGTATCGAATTACAAATTTAAATTAGAAATATATTTTTAAGTAGCATACACGATTATTTTTGTATTTGAATAAATATTTTCTTGGATGCAAAACCTGAGAAATAAATTTTTTTGCGCCATTGGTATGTTAAATTTTACAGAAACGAAGAAATTAGGTTTTTTTTCAACGAAAGAAAAGTATTTTAAATCCATATAGTTTTTTTACAAAAATTGTCCCCAAAAAATCACAAATATTATTTTAGTTCGAGGGCCACAAAAAAGGCTTCGCGGGTCGGATGCGGCCCGGAGGCCGCCAGTTGGAAACCACTGATCTGCAGTTCTGGGTTCGAATCCCGGGCAAGGCATGGATGTTTCTTTCCCTCTATCTGTGTTCTATGTCCTTTCTCCTTTGTGTGTGAATGTGACCCGCCCTATAAACGGGTTGTGGTAGTGTGACGTGGGCGACGCTGTTCCACCGCCGTGGCTTCGCCACAGGTGCCCACTGGGTAACGAAAAGAGAATTAGCAGTTCTGGCACTTTCTGTGGCCAATGGACAATAGCTCCAAGTGCCCGCCATTAAAAAAATAAATAAATAAATAAATAAATAAATAATTCAAATAAGGTTGTTTAATGAGACATTTTTATTGCAGACATAAAATGTGCATTAGAACTTACCTGTTTCATTTGCAATGTAGAAAGCTGCTCTTTTTTGAAGACGCAATGGCCCTAAAAGAATCAAGAAGTTAGGTTTAAATCTATGCATAATAATGCGAATCAATTTATTTAGAATTTTTATAAATGGATGGTTAGAACGGAATTATTTCCGTTGATGTTCATAATTCAAAAACATTGTGCTGATACGTCTTCAAATCTTACTTTATTTACTAAAATAGAAAAATTATTAACCCGAGAAGAAGTGAATTCGCGTAATCACTTAAGTGATTACGCCTAACCATGTGATTTAAATCAGATTTAAATGGATACCTAAAAGTGACGTCACGCGTCTGTGTCGAACCTGATTGGCTTCTGAATCGACAAACACTACGATTTACGTACAACGAAATCACTTGCAGGCATCCAATTGAATATTATACAAAATTAAATTGCTTTGTAGTTTAAAAAAATACACATTTTAGTTTGGTATGTACTATTTGTTCATCCGTTCATCGTAAAGAGTGAAAAAAAGAAAATAATCAATAAATCAGAAGAGTGATAAACACTATGACACAAACATAAAAATGAAAGACCCATACTGACCTACATTTTTTTCGGCACTTATCCCTTTCGGAGAGCCGTAAGAAACGTTTTTTCACAACATCGATATTGTAAAACTGCCCATTATTGATGCATTTTTAATCGGTACCAATTATATTAATTGTACCTATATTAGTATATTACCAGCTATTAGCAAAATTAAAGAAGCATCTCTGGAGTCATTAATAGTTGGGAGGTTTTTTTTGAGCATCTCTTAAATTAACTGATATTTTTCCTTTTAGGAATTGATTAATTTTCCTTTTTAGGGAATAGCGTATTTATTATTTTTTTTAATTTCAATTACCAGCTATTACCAAAATTGATAAGACAGCAAAGGCTTCAATAATAATCTGACGATTTTTTGGTATCCCTAAGCGAATAAGTACCTTTTCTTCAATAAATTTGCTTTTTTAGAACTATTGGAACTATTCACTCAAATTTCTAAATAAAGTTATTCTTTGAAATGATATAAAAATTTCTATACCTTACAGTTCATTCTTTATTCATCTATTATAATATAAAATAATAAAAAATATTCATAATTATTCTTTGCATGGAATTTCATAATCGCGAACCAAATTTTTTTGATTCATTTGAAAAGTTCTCGCGACATGGAGAAGTACGTAAAAAGTAAAATTAAGCAGATCAATCTTTGAACCACTCTAATGAGCAAACTATTTGGATTATAATTTCCGGATAACGAGTGCCCCCTATATTTTTTTTAAAAAAAGGGAATCCAAATCCATCAAAAAATGGTATGTTTGTTCAGGAAAAGTACGTTTTTGTGTCTGCTTTCATAACTTAAAATAGTGTCAGTACTGACTTATTAGCATATTTGAGACCACCTCCTGAAACCATTAAGATTGAGTTCTCGTACTTGAAGATCCGATCATTAAATCAAAGTTTATTCAAGATTATTTATTTATTTATTTTTTTTTTTGTGCATTGTAGATTACTGTAAATCTTGTCAATAATACCGTGAAAGTTATGTAGGATACATATTACTTTGATTTTTTTTATAACAAACACATTAAGTTAAATTAGAGAGAGAGAGAGAGAGTTTTTAGAATTCAATCTTCTGAGGAAAAAATGAATTATTCATATAAAATATTAGGGTATGAAGGATTTAACTTGAATTCTTTTATAGAACAATTAATTTTTCAAAATTCCATTTACATTTTGAAAAAGAAATGTTACAAATTATTAGGAAGAAAAATATAGTAAATTAAGACCAACGCATTTCATGAATATACCCTGATCTACTTAGAACTTCATATTGTAAGCCAACCTTATTTTAGTATACAAGCCAAGAACCTCAAACAAGTTCAATAACCTCGATGTGGAAATAATTCCTATCGCTGACCCCAGGTTCAGCTGTGTACCTTCAAGGACAGGGTGATGACCTTTGTAGATTATGCCACTTTCACTTTTGCCACATACCTGGGACTCCCAGGAGATAACAACATTCTAAACTTTCGATTATCTTTGAGACGAGACGAGCATAAAATTTGCCCGATTACCTAATACCTGAGTTGCTGGAGCTTCAAAATAGGAACACTAAAAGAAAACGCGATAAATCAGCACGTGTGACCTAGGACCTTAACCTTCTTGACTAAACCGCGAAACGGTTGAATTGTTGCTGTTGAGGTTGAAATTGCATAATTTGATCTGGTCGCTGCATTAGTTTCTCAGAAAATAGTTTAGGGCTCTTAATTGTTTTTAGAGTAAATTGTTCTTAAAGTTGAATTGTTTAGTTTTTCACTGAATCTCTACGCTTTTGGTACATGTGTGAAGATATAACACTCAAAAGTTTGGGAATATGCTGATTTAGTCCAACTCTTTTAGCAATAAAGAGTTCAGATGTTTTCTTTTCATTTATTGCAAACAGCATCTTATAATCTTTCTGAAAGGAATGAGGCGTTTTCTGCAATTGGGTGCATTGAAACTCGAGAAAACGTGAAATGATTATGCCTAACCATGTGATTTAAATTGGATTAAATTAGATACCAGTAAGCGACGTCACACGTGTGTGTCGAACTTGATTGGCTTCTGAATTGACAAGTGCCACGATTTGCTTACTATGACGTCACTTGCAGGTATCTAATTCTGATATCTGCAAAAGGAAAAGTAGAATTCAAGTAGCCTGAATAATTTTAGATATGATAATCATACTTTTATGTACTGTGTGCCCGCAGCGAGCGAAATAAAATGGTGAACACCCTAAGTAACTTTTGCTCTAATGATAGGATTTTCGCACACTAGCACTAAATTTTAAGGTTGGAGGTCCGAACCTTAAATGTGCTAATTATTTAAAACATATTATTACAATGATTAAGAAATTTAGACAGCAGGTGCAAAGGAGCAGTTTTAACCTTCAATCCAACAAATCATTAAAAAGTTCTTAATTTGTCTGAAAAAGTGTGAAAAACGATTTTTTTTTCTCCATAGAAATATCATTGCGCATTATAGAAATTTAAACTGCAGACGCTTTTTCTTGTTAAATATTTAAAATATAACATTAGTCAATTTTGCTAAATTTCATCTCTATTTGATCAAAAACGAGTGTCACTGAGGGATTATTGCGCATTCTTTAATAATTACTTATCCTTGATTCATAATGTTATGTAAATTAAAAAAAAACTCAGTTGGTATGAGGGGTTACATCAAGGAATTAATAATTTGCTTGTTTATTTTGAATCCGCTTGTGAAACCGCTTGTTTATTTTGTTTATTATTGCGCTTTTGAAACGAATTTTTATAACAAAAAGAATAAAAGTCAACCGTATTTGATTTTTTAAAAAAAGAATTTCATACTGAAATGCAATTTCTTGGGAGAATTGCTTCATTGTGGTAAAGGTTGTCTAATGTATGTTTGATGCTGTCTATAGCATCATTTTTACTTCAAGTTGAACATATAATTTTTATTAATTAATAATTTTTTTTTTAAATTCTATTCGAGCGAGTGTTCAGGTAGTATAGAATAAAACGCAGCAGAATTATCATTACGATAAACTTTTCTTTGTCAAGAAAATGTTAAGGCCGAACAAGACGGATTAAATTAATTAATTGGGAATTTCATGCTTTATTGCAATTAATTCCAATCTTAACGCGCCGCCAAGCACGTTCATTCGACGAAAGTAAATACTTATTAAAATCACGTCAAACATTTTTGTCTATTTTGTTTTTATTCTCATTCAATAATATGCTTAAATAAATAAATGCCACATGATTAGAAGCTTTCGAATAAAAACTGCGTTGCATCGTCAGTGATGCGTTTGTTCTTTTTTATTCCAGAGCATTATTGAAATAATAATTCTAATTGTTTTTTTTTCTTCTACCTTGCAATTATCCTTCAAATCCAGAGAATTGCGTTAGTGGTTGGGTGACATCATTTCTAAGAACAAAGCATTAACAGTAGTTATGACTGTTATTACAGTCACTGCAACCGTGGTAGGCATAATAAGGGTCACGTGACTGTCTAAAAAGCTATTATAATAATTTGTTTTTTGAAATAGTTCTTTTTTAAGCAAAAGATTTTCTTGTTTAAGAGTTCTCATTGGTGTAGAATCTTTTTAAAAGAGTCTTCACACAATTCAACAAAGTAATGAAAATACCTGAGTATAAAATTTTTGTAACACTACTCATGAATACGCTGACTACATTTGTTTTGTTAAATTTCTTCGTTATTTTGTTATTTTTTTTTGTCGTCAGCTTTAATTTAAAGCAAACGCTCAATTAAAACCGAAAAACCTCGTTTGCGTAATCTGGCTTGTTGTGACAGCGTACATAGGTTGGGGTGATAGTAATTAACAACAACTACTATTAAATCGTTAGCAATAATAATTGTGCTTAAATGACATTGTTGTAAGCTTTTTGTAAACAATTATTGTGTTACTGATGATCCTTGAACTGTAGTCATACTCTTGTCTGCCCCTCTTTCGGCTGCTCTGAACAATGCGCAATCTCTCTTATCATAGGGAATAATACGCCATGTTTTCTATACAGCACAAACTTTCCCATTTTGGTAGGAGAAATTGTGTGCCACTTTATTTAAATATGGCTACCACCAGAAGAAATCTTTGGTGCACCCACAAAATTCTTAGCTTATGAAAAATTGTTTAATTTTAAGATATTTGTCATTTCATTGGAATTCTGAAGCAAAATTATGAAAATTTAAAAAAAATGCATTGGAAAAATAAAACGAAATAAATAAGTTTTAACATTGAAGTTTGTAATAATTATCTTGCTCATTCAAGTAGACACTCTAGTACTGATTTTGGCACAACTCCCAAAAAGGCAGACAGCGAAAGTACTGTACTATATCCCCCTCCCCTTAAGCGCAATTTTACAATTTTTGCTAACTTTCCCTTGTATTAAAATAAATTTTGGTTACATAATTTAAAATTTGGACCATGAACAAAAAAACTTAACCGGAAGTTAACATGATTATTAGCAATTACTGCATCTTCAGTA